AAAACTGGTTTTGATTGCAGATAGAATTACACGAAGTGTAAATATTACGGAAGGTCACAAAATATTGCATTGTTGAGACTCGTATGCATTGGACAGTTTACTTAGAGCTATCAGAATATCGAATCAGAATTATGTACGAGTACTATATCTTACATATATTGCAATGTTATTTTCTTAATGGTTAATCACTATGGGTTGGATATAATTAGACTGCTATCGGTGCTGGTACGAATATTTTTCGAGGACTCGAAAAAACCCATTGAGAGCCGCACACACACACAGCCCCATTACTCAAGTCAATTCCATGCAATTTAATCCATCCGCGTCAGTTGCCCGGACCCGGCATCGTATCCCGAAGGATGCTGCCGCCATATAAAACCCCTCCGCGTATTTGAGGTCAAAACTTCTCTTAGCCGAAAAACTAGCCGGTCGATATTGTTGTGAGTGATAGAATTGCCGGGGACCTACATATAGTATACGCACTTATGTACAACGTCTCGGCCCTGTATGATTACGCGTATTTTGCCAGCCAAGTGGCGCGTAGATTCGGGGAAGAGGGGAAAAGTTTTCCTTGGCCATAGTTGTATCTATCTCAGCAGCGGGCGCTGAGAGGACGTGCAGGAGCAGCACAGCAGACCGAGAACGACAACGTTGATTGTCCAATTTATCAAGGCAAACTAGCGCAAATTCAGGGAACGATGCTTTTAGAGTAATGTGCCCCGTCTATTGTAGCCATTCTAGCCAGCATCTTCTCCTTGCTGCGCGCGTCGTCGCTCGGTCGGTACTCGTCGTCTAGAGTTCGTTTAGCAAATTGCCCCCCAACACAGGATGAGCCATGGAGGAAGAAATTGCGCCCGGGCCGCTGCTGTGTGTCGTGTGTAGATGTTAATGCTGTCATTGAGGATGGGGATGGACCGGGCCAAAATGGGGGATGTGTGTAATTTACTTACGAGACTTACTTTACTCTTTCAGTCCCGGTAGTGTAGTGTCATGGCGCAAGATAGAACGTTACATTTTACGCTCTGTCAATATAAGTCCAGCGTTCTTGTGGGACTTTTTAAGGGCAAGCTTTTATATACTAGTGCAAGAAGCCACTCTCAAGAAGTGCCTTTAGAAAGTATAAAACGAATGTCTATAAGAAAAATTTATTCTTTCTCATTCGTCATTTTGAGCAGTTCCAGGTTCAGTTTGACTTTCGCTTTACGTAGCAGTAGATCGACGTATAGTTAATCACTTTCACACGGTGCTTAGTCGGTGGGAGCGAGATAACATCGTAGTATTGTTTACTGTGTTGACTAGCATTATGCACAGAATATTCTAAAACTTTTTCGCACAGTACTCTTTTTCGGAATCACATACGTTTTCTGATTGATGTAACTTTTTATCAAAGTTCACCAAAATCCAAAAATTTTTATCATAATAAATTATTAATTTCATGGAAGTCTTTGTTTTTACTCGTACATAAATTTAGTTCTTACAGATTTTGGTGGGAAAAGAACTTGCTGATACAACTACATGTTTTTCTAATGTTTGTTAGTACACACATACTAAATTAGTTGTCAAACACAAAGCTGTATGAAAACATTAAACAGACGTAAATTAATGCAATGGAGCACTGCTGCCAAATTATTAATATTACAAGCTCGCAATAAGAATTATGCACATATAAAAACTAACACGTTCATGTGCTGTCTGTACATATGGTACAACCGTATAACATTTGAATAAGCAGTGTTATGCCGATTCGACGGATGGGAAGCGGCAATCTAGTTTCACCAGTGCACAGCCGTGGACTGATTGAATTATTGTTGACTCACTGCAGCTCATCAATGAAATGTAATCAAAGATTGTCCCAGCAATCATAATATAAGTGTAACGGAACGACTGAAAAGACGCCCCATACCCACTAGCATTTGAGGTCAGGCGGGGGTATTCTTCTCTTCCAACGGGCCGGAAGATGAAAAATGAGAAACTTTTACAACGGAATGTGTGTATATCCCGGAATGCATTCCCTTTTCTCCCCGTGGCTGTATTTGAGTGCTACTAAATGGGACATGAGCCACCCGGCAGCTGCGCGGAGGCAGAAGAACTGCACATAAAAAGTGAGCAACTATTCAGTTACAAATATTTGGCTAAACTGCAAAGTTTTGTAAAACGCCAGAAATCAGACGAATAACAATGGCGTATTGGCGGCGATTCATAAATACAGAGTTCGCCAATTTTACGTGGCGTAAAAAATCACGATTAGGTGTAAACTGTAGAAATTTGGTTAGATGCTGAGATGAATCGTCAGTTTTCGAATGTTATTAAAGTTGCAACATTGGATTATAATTTTACAATACAGTTCCCTGTAATGCTGCCGCCAATAAAAACGTTTCGCATGATGCATGTCGATGTGTATATGTTCTGCCGAATTTCGCTGTGTGATGTGGTCAGATTTTTAAACTATCCCATATATGAATACTTTTTAAACTTCACCGGCGTGCTTTTCAGACACTGCTTCGACTGGCCATTCCATCTTGATGTGTAGTTGTTGAAGATATTAGGCTTTACGTAATCACGTCTGCATGTACACTCCATGCTGGGTAATGTTGTATAGGAGATTATTTTTGAGAATCGCTGGACTATTAAAGCGGTTTAATATCGGTGATTGCACACATAGTGCTTATTTATTGCATGCCATGATTACCGTTCCACGCAGTCCAAAAAGCGAAATTCCTTCTAGCGGTGCAGCCAGATGGGAGGCCTATCTGTGTCGCACTCGTTATTATGACATTACAAAATCTAAATAAGTACAAAATGGGTTCTTTTACCGGTGGCATGGGCAATATGTAAAAAACTTCTTAAGTGACTCTTCCAGCCGATAAAGGATACATAGTCTGTGCTGATGACAACTGCAGTTTCCGGAAAATTATATGCGCGGGCATACTGCACGATGCATAAAGCATGATACCTACGATAACCGGCTTTGAGAGGTGTGTACGGTACTACTCTAGGGTATTCGGAATATCGTTGGATAGTTTCAGGAGCCGAACTTAAATTATCTTGTTCTATTGCTCACGGCCGTTTGCTAAGAAAAGAAAAAATAAATGCGCCAATTAGAAAACCAGTACTTTAATTTTTACACTTGTTACTGTGATGAAATTAATCATTTAATTTGTCGTTTCTTCACACGTCTCCTTTCCGTCTAGGCTAACATACTGGCAGCCTGGGAGTGTAATTCAGTTCAATATGTTCCTGTCTAAACTGAAATCACGTGAATGGAACACATACGCAGTAGCATATCAAAAAAGCCGGACCATGTGCGCTTGATTTATTTTCTGCTGATTAATGCTCCGTGGACGCAAAATTATCCTGGAGCAAGCGACATACTGCAGTTATTAATAAATCCATCGCCGGGTGCATTGCTAAAGTTCTCACATAGATCAATGCCACACCGCTGCTGAACGCTTTTCTTCGATATATAATATGAACTCAGTAAAGACTAAAGAGTTCAAATCTTTTCCTTTTTTATGGCGCTTTATAGCAGATGCGAATTTGCAAAGTTTTATTGCTATAGTTTTTTTTTAAAACTGACATAGAATGGCTAAATTTGTTTGGCATTTAATAACAGCGTCCGGTTTCGACAGCTGTTGTAAACCGGTATCCAGGCATGGCGCGCGCTAATTGGCCACAGGTTTTCAAGCCCGCCTCGCACTGCGCTAATACCGCAGCCCGCTGTTCGCTACCTCATTCTGCTCATTTACGAATGCTCCATTTTTTCGTTTCGAGCGCATACTGTGGTAACGGTACAGACTTTTATTAGTGCGGCAGTAAGGTTTTGTTTATTTGTCTCGATTAAGTTATTTGCAGGAAAACTCTTGACATCCTTGTTCATCTGCATTCGTCATCTTCCGTGTTTCAAATTCCGGTGATCCTGCATACTGCATAGCCCTGATCGATCTGCGTGGATGCTCTTTTTTGTGGAAGTCTGTTTTGTATGATGTGTTGTGTTCGCCTGTTCGGACACGGAAGGATGTTGCTATTCTTCCCCATCTACGCTTTCGCCACTTAGAATTAAAGTAGTGGACGGAGTGTTAGATTAGGGCAAGAATGCACATCCTACGGAATATCTTCCCCAGTTTAATATCTGTGAAGAATTACGGATATTCGTGCCGGGCGGTGTGCGGCGAAGGCCGCTGCATAGCGGCATCTTTGAAGAATCCCAGCGGCCGAATTTGTGTAAGTCACGCCGAGATGGACCAACCCGGTGGCCGTCGGATGAATTTGGATGAACGCCAGAAATGGCCGTCGGTTTTCGATCCGCTTCTTTTGTACCGGTATTGGTGAGAAAGTCGGTTGCTCAGATGAAATGTCAATATTTTTTAAAGTAGATTGAGTAAAATGTAAATTATTTATACAGTTATTTGTAATTTAAGTAAGTAATACCATAACGATAACGTAGAATTAAACCTAGTGACGTATGATTGTTGTAAGTTTTGATTAATTGCAGTTTCCGAAAAGCAGTTCAAAAATTCACGAGCATACCGTTGCTCGACTTACTGTTGCTCGACTTGCCAAAAGACAATGTTGGAGGAAAATGCCAATATAAGGTTCAAAAAACACGAAAATGTTTGATAAATTTTGCAATATTTTACTGCTTTTATATGGTTTATTGGAGATTCGGCGGGTCTTATCTGAATAAATCCAGTGACTCCAAATCCCCCGCGATTCGTTGCAATTCTTAGAAACTTGGTTTGGTTTCTCATGTATTTGACTTTTTAAAAGTGCTCACCTATTTTCTGTAAGATTTATTTTGGAACTCAAAACTGTGTAGATCTGTGGTACCACGCCATGATCTGTGGTATCACAGCTTATGGCGTGGTAATACGCCATGATCTGTGATACCATGGCGTATTACCACGCCATGGTATCACAGATCACTAACAGATACAGTAAATACTGCACTTATCACCGAAGAATTGGGAGTGAAGTGCGGAAATATCAGGCACATGCTCTAAAACCGTGGTTTACTTCCGAACTCTGGGTTTACATTTTTAGAAAACTTCATCAAACTTCAAACTTCATCGAACTTTTTAGAAACTTCATGGATGTGTTAATGAAAACTTAGCAAAACTCTCGACAGTGTCAATTATCCGAAAATAAATTTTCACAATCCCGCACAATCATCTTATCCCATCCATACTTACCAGGTTAGTTAAACAATGCAACACCAAACAGCAGTACAAAAGAGAAATTATAAATCCAAATCCTCCAATATCCCAGTCTAGTCTGTTTCGCCCTTCTTTCCGGCAACCTGTAAAGTAAAATTGCAGCAACCGATTCTTGAACCATGCAATGCCATAGGTGGAATTACAGACAGATTACTATACGAGTAGTACAATTTACATCACCTGCTCACTTCTCGACAATACAAGACGTTTGTTAAGCACAATAAAATCAAATATCCTACAAGTGCGCCATCGGCGACAGAACATCGTTTTGTGCATTTTATGACTTTTAGCAAGAAAATCCACTGGGTTTACATTCTCCTACCCGTTTGAAATCGCCCATATTGGTGGCTGAAATCGGGATTCCCAACAGACTCAGCGAATCCAACCGTGTCGTTTCAGCCCCATTCTGGTTATCTTTTATAAAAATCTGCGAAAACGGAATAAGCAAAGTAACGCATATAACGCATACATGATTTTTGAAACAATAAATAGCTAATGTGATGAGCAATACGACTAATATGAGTAATATCTATGAACATTGAACAGGACTGTTGGCAGCGTCCAGCTGATTGATTACCTGCAAATTTTGGACGTTCTGGAACTTGACGTATTTCAACGGGACAGGATCTTCACCGGATAAATCAGCGTGCGAAAGCCTGCAACATAAGACAAGCCATTTTAAGTTACAAAATTACAGTGCTCAGATAAACATGGTGTACAGAATTTGCCTCTCTGCTCGAATTCCGGCGCGTGTAAATTATAATTCCCTTTGCGCCCGTAAATCCTGGAGCACCAGGTTCACCTTTTTACGCAGCTATACTGTTCCCAATAATTTTATCAAGGCCTGCTTACAGTATTTTTTGTTTACAATTCGAACACCAGAAATGTATCACGAAAAAATTGTTATTACAACATGCTTAACAGTTAACAACAAAAAACACCAAATAATAAAATGCTACAACGGAAAACGACAGCATCCAGCTGATAAAAATAAACGGTCACTAAGCGGCTTTTCTTTTAATTCTTCTTTAAAACCGCGCTTGCAACGACTGACCACATAAAATGTCTTTCGATATTTTTATAACACATACTCGTACCGATAAACGCTTTTGCGTCTTACAAACTACAAATAATAATTATTAAAACAAAAGAACGAAAATACGAACCTTTCTTACTGTAATTCCAACTCAAAAATCGCCATTTAATAAAAACTGTGAAATAATTTTTCATCCTAAACACATTCAATGTGGTCAGTTGTCAGTTAGTAAATTATCGGTTTTATTACATAGACAGTGAAATTAATTTAATCTGAATATTATTTTCTTTAGAAGTTTTGGCTCAGTAATGGATATTAAAAATTACCGTAGAGTATTAAAAGCGCAATACCACGTACGTCAGTTCTTGTACACTGTCCATTCCCGTCGCTTGGTCAAAATCCAGTGTACGAGGAAGATTTGTAAACAACTTGACGCTCTTCGGACCATTTTGACCAGTTGTCTTGAATTTCAGCGAGTGTAGTTTCACTGGCTGATTGAAAGCGACGGCAATAATCAACTGAAAAAAGAAACAATTCAAACTAAAATAAAATCATGATGTTTAAGTATCGTTCATGAATCGGGATTAAACACTGCGCAGGTTTACTAACTTTAAATGATTATCAAAATCCAAAATTTTTCTAACTAGACTTAAGATACTTATCAAATTCGAAGTTTTTAAAATAAGCTGAATTATATCAGACAATACTATAATAAATCATTACAAATTCATTACCGATTACGTGTATATCGATTACGTGTAATTCATAATTTTCAAATATCTATATACTACACACAAACGTTTATTTACGAAATAAGCTAAAAACTCGAATAAGAAATTTTTTTCGCCTGTTTTCATGTCATTACTTGTTCATCACAGTCAGATTCCAAATATCCGTTATCCTGGAACAAACTGGTAAACGTATGATCATCCGCTTCGTTCAAGCATTCACACTTGGATTTATCAATCGCGCTGGCCAAATCAAACTGCAAACAAACAGGGTATTTTGCCAGTGATTCCCCATTTTTCGCACAATCAGTTGCTGCTTTACCATGCCATCCTTACTCTCCTGCCCAGCCGGAGCATCCGCCGCCGTCGCATGCTGCTTAATGTTCGACTCAATGGCGCCTACATTCGCGCCCTGCACCGTGGCCACTTTTTGCATGTTTTTAAAGAACAGGAACGTTGGCATGGCCCGAATACCTTGAATCCGGGCCGTATCCTGTCAGAACACTCGTATTCACGCAAATGTATGTGACTGCGAAGCGTAGAACGCGGAGACACCTCGAAGAACCAGAGGCAGTTCCTGACACATCTTGAAACGTACCTGCATCTCGTCCACGTCAATTTTCAAAAACACCACATTCGGATAACGCTCGCTGAGCTGCTCAAACTGCGGGGCTACTACGCGACATGGCCCACACCTAAAGAAAAGGCCATAAGTTCGAGATAAGGGTCAGTGTCAAAAGGAGAGCTGTGGAAACCAGGAAGCGCACCATTGAGCGAAGAAGTCCGCCACAACAAGACGACTGCCTGCTGAAGACAGCTCCTGGGCAAACTGAGCATCATCATGCAGGTGCTTGACTGGCATTTTCGATGGCGGCTTAATTATTAATGATACGAAAACAAAACAAATATGAGATTCCTAGCACACCAGCTGTCAATAAACAGATAGATAAGTTTGTATTTTATATTTTTATCCGATTTCGAATTTTCGCGTAAACAAAACTTGCGGACGAAGAAAGTGCTTCGCAACTGGTGAGTAAACATTATACACTGGAAAAGTCGGCTTTGGCTTTTGGCTCGTGTGAGCTGGCGGTTTGAACCCGAAAGTTTGGAGCCGACCAAAGCGGCAAAGCGACAGCGCCTTTGTGTTATCTTGTACTGCCTACGCAGGTAGGTTGCCCAAGTGACTGCTGCTAGATTGCGCATGTGACTGTCCGAATGCGAAATGCGATTTGTGTAATGGGTACGATCCCCGCTCAGGATAGAATACAGGAAGTGTTTTTGTTATAACAATTACCTTGTTTTTGGTACTTAATTTGTATCCGATGTCGTTACTTATTAAAGGAAAGCCAGCCGAACAGTTTTTTAACGATAACAAGAGACAGGAAGTATGTACAGTACCTACGGTAGGGAGTACAACTTACGGTATTACCGGTATATGTATGCCGGCATAAAATATTATTTTATTAAACAAGTTTTTATGTTCAATAATGAATAAAGGCACGTTGCTTTTATAACAATAAAATCGTTCCCTTCATTGCCCCAAGAAGCGGATGCCTCATCGCCCTTTGCAAATTTAAATGAATTTACTTACCCTTAGTGTATACTTACTCAACTCTGGTGCGGCACTGAAGAACTGAAAAGGTTTTTAATTACCAAATTAAAATCACTGAACTCAGTGGACACAGTGGTTAATACTAGAATGTTAGCAATTCAGCTTAATCTGGAGATTACTGAACGAGGGAGCACTTCAGCGAGGCATTGCTATTAAAAATCAGCAGCGCGATGACTGCGATCCGCTCTCAGACATCGTACCAGCCGATAAGCGGCCATCTCTTCCCAAACCAAACTTCTTACGAAGTTCCGCATCGATCATCTCGAATGGCTTCCCTTTCGTTTCGATCGATGCAAAATACATATAAACTACTCCGACTACTGTACATCCCGCAAAAACAGCAAAAATCCATTCCCCTATTATAACTTCCGCGATGGGGGCAACGAAGATGGTAACCAACGAACCCAGATAGCAGAAGGCAGTTGTTATGATCATCCCCACACCTCGCGCGTTGGCGGGGAACAACTCCGGCGGCCAGATCCACGGGACACTGGCCACTCCCAAGCTGAACGATAGCATGAAAATTAGTAGCGCGGATAAACTACCGTACGCAAACGCCGACGAATAACCGGACAGTTGGATGAAGATGACAAGGCCTAGACAAGACACCGCGCATCCGGCACAGCCAATCAGAAATAAGAGCCGTCGGCCAGCGCGCTCCACTAGAAACATCGACAGCACGGCCCCGAGATTTTGCAATCCAACAAGCGAAATTGATCCGTAGAGAGTGCTAGTTTTGTCCAGGCCAGCGTTTGCCAAAATGGACGTAGAGAAGGTAATCACGACAGAAAAACCAGTGAGCTGCTGAATCACCATCGCCATAACACAGATATACAGCGTCTTGCGAAGGATCGTAGTTTCGAACAGTTCAATCATGGAAACCGAGGCTTTCTCTGCGGATCTGTCACATTCCAGCTGTATTTCATTGAGCTCTTCTTCCACTTTGTCCGTGTTGCGCAGCCACTGCAAGGAATGTCTTGCCTCTTCGTGGCGTCTTTTGGACAGCAGGTACACCGGACTTTCCGGACAGAACGGCAGCGTTGCAAAGGTGAACACCACACCGATCAGTCTGGTCCATGTGATGAACGACCATAAATATTCGTTGCCCAGGACATTTGGCAAGCTGACCAGGATGGCCGTCAGCATGCCCAAATTGAAGGTTATCACGGGTGCGCTCTGCATGGCGCCGCGAAATTTTACTGGACTGACTTCGGCAATGTACACCGGTACGAAGATCCCGATCAATCCATGGAATAGCCCAAGCAGGAATCGTCCCACAATGAGCAACGTGACTGATTCAAAAGCGGTGCAGAGACTGCAAGCGACCGTTCCCAGCACGGCAATAATGTTCACCAAATAAATGGAATTCTTGTTCCCTATGCTGGCCAACAAGAGACTAGAAGGCCAAACTCCAACAAATGCGCCTAAAACAAAATGCAAAAAAATTTAAGCGATCCCTAAAAAGGGTGTCAGGTAATTATTTGCTTTGAAAACAAGAGGAAGAATTATTCGGCTTTTGCTTGGGTGTTGGGTCATAATACTGACCAGCTGATAGAACAGATCCGATTATGGCCCACAAAGTGCTGAGTTCCGTGTTGTGCGCCAACATTGTATCCTCATCTCCGGGAGAAATCTCTCGGCACCAAAGGTTGTTGTAATCGGTTTGATTGTACGCATACAGGGTGTCGTTTTGCGCGGCATGCTCATTACAACGGACTTGTCGAATCCATCGTAAAATGACAAACTGCGGGACATTGACGGAAGTGACCAGGTATCCCATTTGGAAATTGTTACCGAAACATGTGGTGAACACTAGATACAACAGCCGCAACGTGCAACCACCGGACTCCATTCCGACTTGTAAGAAAGATTTTGACCTTTGGAAACTTCTGGGCTGGTATGTGGTGATGTACGGAAAAACAATGCCTGTTAATTCTACTCGTAATTTACAATCTGAAACAGACTTGCTGGCTTGGATCTTTGAGAGCGGGGTCATGATCGCGATCTTTTTTAAGTTTGTGGCACCCTTTTTATTAACACCGCAATGGATCATAACTTCGATTTTATATCGCTTTTATCAAGTTCTAAGCTAAGTTGGCTCGTTACCCGAATATATTGTCGCGCTTTACGAACGTTCTCTTTTCGTCGGTATTAGGCTGTGAACTTGGAAAATCAAAGGTCACATTATTTAATCGATGTCATTCACATTCATTTGCCACGAACTCAGTAAGAGATCATCATAATTTGCATTAGAATCGTTAAGGTAAAATCTAGGCATCATACTTTCCGATACATCATAAAAACCGTAATCTCGAAATTGATTTTCACCTAACGACCGTCTCGTGCGCGCTTTGGCAAGATCTGCAGCTACCCCGCCATTTATTTCCCAGGATAGAGATAGCGGATCAATGTATACACCACTGTAACCGATGCGACAGCACTGTAACCATTCCAGATGATAATCATCGTCATAAGGATTTTTGCGTCTGGCCAGTCCCGTTAGAACGTAGCCGCTGTCGCAGAAAACCAGAAACTGTTGAGCATCGTAGTACTCCCAGAATCTAGAAACGGCAAAGGCAATCCTTTAAATAATTATCCAGCAATCTACTGTAACTAGCGCCGTCAACAGTTGAGTCAAAACTAAAAACTTCCACAAAAGCTGTGTTTACTGGTCATGTGTGGGCTTGTACAGGCACGTGGTGTAATCTATGTAGTATCCCGGCGGAGTGCGACAGCATTTATATGTATTAGGAGCATCCTCTCCCTTAGATCGAAATATCACGAAAGCCGCATCATTATCCCAGAAGCCTACGTCAATGCATAAAATTATACCAACAACTTGGTTGGACATCACTTTTACCTGTGTAAAACCCATATATATATGTGCTGTACGCAGTTATCCATATTTATGATTTTACCAGTTATAAACGTGTTGACGGTGTTTGTAGCATTTTTTGGGCTAAAGCAAAATGCTTCCGTTGTCAAATTTCGCATAATACATCCGGAGTAATAAGGGTATAAACCGTTGAGCTGTGGTTTATATGGGAATAAAAATCTGCACCATATTACAGTAAGCCTCTGTAAAAAGCACACAATTTGTTGCATACGACAGTGACGGTTTCAGTAGACAAATTATTGATAATGCAAAATAATTTACATTGTAATCAATCGATTTCATGCAAAAGCCGGTTGTGTGTTTTACGCTATCGTAATCAATTTTGCTGTATCAACCATCATAGAATTAAGCACACAAAATAAAATTTACTACGCTGCATGTAGTGGTAATAATTATAGGATTCTATTAGTCCAGTCTGTCACTATGCACCAAACCATACCTTAAAGTCGTCGTTGTTATCCCTAAAAAATGAACAAAGATGAGAAATACGTCTTGTATACGTAAAAACGTTTTTCGAGAATAATAAATTAAAACTATAACTCCAGTGGTCAAATGCCCCAAAGGAAACCTAGTCACCTTATTCCGATGACCCCCTCTCCGTCCAGACATTCGACATTCCATTTCCGCAGTACATCTTTGGGACCACCGTTTGTATGAACAGTGTCAATAAACGTGTCACCCTGCACAGTAAATTTAAAAAGCGCGTAAAACCAGTTGGCGCGAATATTATAAAAAATGTATTCGGGTGAAAATAATTTTTTATAATACTGGTACAAGACTGGGCTGAATCTGAATTCTGAATGCATTATATTTTCGCCTGCTTACGGTTCCATACTGCAGATAGGTGCCATAATAACGCATGGTACACGAAACCACTGCGAGTCGCATGATTAGAATTATCCCAACAAGAAGAAAAGCGCAACGCAGTGGCATCAGACATTTGATATTAAATAACGATGCAAATTTTGAAATAAGATGTTTATGGTGTTGGTCCACTGCAACAAATAGGTAACGCTGGAAAATCGTTGCCGAATCCATGCTCGAATGATGAATGTGTACTGAATATAGAATTTTAAAATCGGTATCTGGTGTTAATGGACAATTTTGATGTACCATAACCACAACGATATTCATTATGGTCAGCTATCTATAGAAGTACTTCTAAGCATGGCAGTTTTTTAAATCTGTTGAATAATCCCAAGCATGACGGTAAAATTCCATTGCTAAAACGTGCCAATCTGTATACAAGGGCAGACAGAAGAAAGGTAAATTAGAATATCAGCTTCTAACCTCGCGTAAAGCCATTCGTTCGTTTGTTTTATAAGTTGTAACAAATGCATTAAACAACTTAATGTAAATATAACCGGCGTGACCAGCAGCATTCCCTGAAATGAAATTAAACCGTGAAATATTACCGGTCAACGCCACCAGCTCGTTAGCGATGCGTGCGTTTTCCTTATAAAAATTGCCCAGTAACATAATAATTATAATCACCGTAGACGTACGCGATGTACAAGCTTGTCCGGTAATTTCTGCCGGTTCAATAGAGCGAAATACACAAATTTGCGTGTTACGCCAAACGTAGTGTAGTGGCAATCGCTATAGCGCAAACTTCGCGCTAAATATGTGCTTTCAGAACCTTTACGACAGAAATTACCGTAATCCTATCGTTTTTTGAGGAACCTAATATTTGTCCATAAGCAGAGTATTCGAAAATTTTATGGCAAATACCAAGTACTATAGGTATGTACTGTTACGTTGTAGGTAAAATTCTGAAACGTAAAGATTTAGTCAGTCTTATATGGTGTATATGGAGTTTAAATAATTGTTTGCTGCTGGTGTTTGACATAGAAAATTTGAAATGTATGATAAAAACAACAGCGAATTGAACACGTTAGTTCAGTGTTATTTCACGTCAATATCTCATTACATGTGGATAGTCTTTGAAGGCATACGTATACCTACTTCCATTACCTGCACCTAGAAGAAGCGAAAAAAAAACAACTTTCTGTCAGCCACTAGTCGAGACCGATTAAAAATTGCATATTCTTTGTTTGAAAACTAAGTCAGTTTATATTCAGACGAAGGTTTAGGTATATATAATATATAACTAATTGAACCGTATCGTTGATACAAACAGATGTAAAAAATTTGTTAATACTAACTGGAACATTTTGCAGCACTGAGAGCCTGGGACCGATTACAACAATTAATAACTAAAATAATTAACTATTATTTTTAACTTCGATGGCCGAATCGTGGATTAACAATGAAACCTTTATTAACGCAATCAAAGACCGTGCGAAGTCGGAACACTGTATCCAAGATGTTCACGCATCACGGGCAGGTTTTGAACCAATATTGCAACCGAATTCCTGTACAGACAAAATGCAACAGAGCAATAGTAATTTCTATCACAATTTGAGCAATGCGCTGGTGAGACGGACCTGAAACTGGGAAATGCCGGTGCAGTCGCGATAATGCGAAGCACTAGGGATACTTGTAGTACTTTGTGCTAATGTGCAATATATACAGAACAACAAACACAAACACTACAAAAATTCTTGAGCTGAACAGACAGTTGATATGTACAAACCAAGAACAAAAATTTTATTATGATTGCTTTTATTTGTAGCGCGAGTGCAGTTCCGTCTGAATTTCTTCGAACGTTTTGCCCTTTGTTTCTACGGCATGCGACCAGACGAAGAGGGCGAACAGTCCCGAGCAAACGGCAAAGGCCGCAAAAACCCACTCATCCATGGCGGCATGGAGAATGGGGAACAGGAAGACGATGGCGATGCCGGCTAAATGACTGCACGTCGAGACGACCATCATCGCTACCCCACTGGTCCGCTTCTCGAACATCTCTGATACAAGGATCCACGGCACAAATGCTGGCCCCAAGTTATACACGATCATAAACACGAGAACGCATCCGATACTGATATATCTGGAAAAAATAAAAAGCATTAAAAAAAGACATTAAAAAGGTAAAAAAATATCTGGAAATTATGAAATTGTTAAATTATGTTACTGGTATTTTATTGCTATCGTTAGGTTTCAATCGATTGGAGCACAGAAAACTGAGAAAAGATATTTTTATGCAACAAAATTTCAAACGTAAAAGTATCTCTGTTACGTGTCGCAGCAAACGTCAGTTCTAAAAGTATAACTGAAAAGGTCACCAGTGTTAATTTTTGTATCAGGATTTATATTATTGTAATCTCCGCATAATAAACTTATAAAAATTTCTCAAATGACGTACGTTGTAAATTATTGTGGTATAATATGATTTGACTGGATTAGTTAAGAAAAGTTCTTATATTCTTGTGTTATGGAATGCCAATGCACGCGAACGTGAATTATTCTGGTTTTTTTAACTGCTTGAAGTCCAAAAAACTGCGGTACTTACTGCGCCCCTGGGTGTTCCTCGGTGGCATAGGTCATGGCTCCCACCATAGTCCCATTGGTGAGAACCGCCCCGGCGTATCCGATGACCAGCAGTATTTTCCTGCCGGCTCGATCCATGAGCAACAATGCCGCTAGCACGGCTATTATCTGTAGACCCATCAACCCCACGGTACCCCAAATTGCATCCGATTCCGGCAACCCGGCAGCGGTAAATATCCCGGTTGAATACACCAGAAAGGCTCCGATGCCGGTTAACTGCTGGCTGAGGATGATGATACACGAAAGAAAGACGGTGGAACGGAGCAGTGCATTGCCGAAAAAGCCGGTAATGGATATTCCTTCTGGAGTATCGCCGTCGTGGTCGCGTTCCGTTAGGATCATTTTGATTTCGCCGGTAACATCAGATTTATCACGTAGCCATACCAGTGCTTTCTTGGCTGATTTTTGGTCGCGCTTATTAATGAGCAGAAAGCGTGGGCTTTCGGGAAAGAAGGGTAGTGTTCCCCAGAGGGAAAAGTAAGGAACAAGAAGGACAAAGGATAGATACGGCCACCACTCGGTAGTACCTATAAAAATAACATGCGTAAAAATTTTTAATTCGAATGTAGCTCAACAGTAGTATAACTTCCAGAAGCTTTACTCCAGTTCGCCTATCTCTGTTTAAATTATTTATTATTATTTATTTATTACTAACTTTTAATTTCACTTTGGAAAGAACTTAAAAAAATTTTTAAAACACAGAAACTAAAATCATACCTAAGAGTTCGCGAAGACCAAATATGTTGGCAATAAGTGTGCCGGTTACCAAAAACAGCCCCGGTATTGTGCCCATCATTCCGCGCAAATTTGAGGGGCTGATTTCGGCAACATACAAAGGAACAATAGCAATAGCTAATCCTATATTCATCCCGATGATGATGCGGCCCACAATGAGCACTTCGAATGATGCAACCAATCGGCATATCCCTGATAGAACCGCTCCCACAATACCGAAGATATTGGTAAATAACAGCGTTTTCTTGCTGCCGTGTGTATTAATGAGGTAGTTCATAAACCACACGGTGATGCAGGAACCCAACGGCATAAGGGATGCCACCAGTGCCCAGATTGTGTTTAACTCGGTGTTGGATGCCAGAAGGTCCGCTTGACTAGTGCCGTCGATGTTACTGCACCATAAGGTGACGTCATCGGCGTCTTCGCTAAAAGCGGCAACTGTTCTGTAAAAGAAACACAAAATTACATTTTTTTCTGTTGTACGCTAGCGCGCGATGATTTCAATCGCAAGCCTAATTGGAAGATTTGCAAAGCTTAACTTGTGAGAACATAAAAAATATGAATTAGAGCAGCGAATGACCAAACCGGAAGCCCGGCGCCACCTTACCTTACGGCCTTCCGTATATTTTATCTTAGTCCGATTGTGAGCTTTATGCATTACACGTATAAAATTATATTGCCAGTCACACAACAGCTCCGTGGCAAAATTATAATAAATGAAACCACATAAGGTATGTACGGTAACTGTTGAAGTAAACATTTTGAAAAGTTCGACTTTTCTGTAAGTTTTTAAGGTCAAGTAATAAAATCAAATTTTATTAATTATTTGACACTATACTCCTCTTTCAATCGAGTATCCATGAATGGTGTTTTTGAAAATAAATTATATATGGTTTAGCGTAATATACACTACTCAGTTGCATTTTCTACAATTTATTTCCCGTATTAAACAGTTATTCGACGTATCCGTCGCAGTGGTTTGTTTGTCTACGTTTGCAACTGAAAACCCATTATTTTATTGTGTGTACAGGAAAGGTCGTTTCGCTTGAGTAGAAAAACCGAAAAAGTAAGTACAGCGTAGCATGCCGATATACAACACACGACTATATCTTACACGTATACGCATGCCAGTCTTTGTTCTTTGGTGAAGATTTCGATAAGACATTTGTGCGCAAATGCTTAAATATTTATAAGTAGTGTACTTATTTGGTATTCACTTACATCTATTAGGAATAAATGGTTGTAATGAATAAATTAAGTAAGGTTACAGCATATTTCCAGCGGCACTAGCGCAATAATTAATTTATGCACAATTATTGGAATCCTGTGCTAAGCTTTTGCGTGCACGTGTCGTTGTAAGAGAAACCGTAACATAACAGCGCAGAGCCGATGCAGTTAAGAATTCAAGCCATCGAAAAGAACAAAATACAATTTGTATGCTGCAATACATTCTCTTTGAAAATTTGTGCAGAATTGCATGCATTCATTATTCCCGACAGTGTTGTGTTTACTATTGCCCCAAAACCTTATTTACTTTTTACTTTTCGTCTGGCTATTGACTTTACTATTTACTTTACTATTTACTTTTCATAATCTTTCTTCGTTACTTTTACTTACTTTTTACTTTTTTTATCGTATCCTTACTTACTTTCACTAACTTAGTAATCACTAGTAAACTAGTATTTAGTATTCGTGTTTTGCGATAAATCGCAGTATGCAACAAAAGTTTTCAATTTTGCCATAACTATTCGTTTCTTAAGCATATTACGTATCTAAAACAAAAATAACTGCTTGTACTTTGCGACAGTGTGCACACCGATTAATTTTAATTTGTGCTCAGAAATTTGTTTCAATGAAACGATTTGGTTCTGTGTAAAATTACAGTACTTATTTTTTAACAAAAATTAGCAAAAAGTAATTACACCGTATCCGGTGCCAAGTTAAGTATTGCAGTGAAGCAGCACTAGCTGATACGCCTGGCAGTCACGTAACTCGCCCACCTAAGCGGTTGAAGGCGTCTGCAGTGCAGAAATTTTAGCGCTTCAGAAGAAAACCTGTACTGCCAAACGTAACTGCTATAGAAAAAAGCATGTTCAGCAGAATTCTGATGATGCCCGTCACTTTTATCTGTTGCGGATGCTTAGGAAAAGGACTGCTTTACTAATTAAACTATTCCCGTTTCGCGCCTCTTACTTTTACTTACTATTTACTTCTGAATTACTATTTACTGCCCCGGCTGCTCTTACTTTTACTTTACTTTTCACTTTTCCGTTTTGCTGCTTACTTACTTTTTACTTAATTAGTAAAAGGCAAAAACGGCTTACTAAGTAAGGTTTACTGTTTACTTTTACTAAGTAAAGCAACACTTATTCCCGAGTTTTATCACGTTTGCTTAATTATAGCGATAGCGTTCCTGCAATAATTACAGTATTTTGAATGCAAGGCGCACACACCATTGTATAATTTTTCTGCAGTTTGTTAAGGAAAGAAATATGTTACAAGACCGCAATTTATATCAAAATTCGAGGTTTTCGTACTTGGAATTAAACATTTATTTAGAATGAAGTTGTGTCCACTACTATCACTCACTAATATTGCAGGCCTACAGATATTTCGTATTTACACTGCTGAATTCCGATAAGATAACCGGTCGAAGGTATACAAAAGTAATACCGTGTCCTAAGCTTTATGTTCACAGCAAATACTTCAAGATTCTAGCTGCAAAGATAGACACTTCAGTTCTTAGGAAATATTTGGATCAATAATAACTAATAAGGTACGTTATTACGTTACATTTTTTTGGTCAGAAAAATAATCAATGATGAAACCGACTGGTCAGCAACAGCCATACGGCGTGCATAGGTTAATAGTCATTCATCGCATTTGTGAATTGTGCAAATATCGCAGCAAGGACGATTATACGAGTATATGCAGAACGTCACCGCTACAGAATAAATTACGTTCCAGAAAATGTCGAAAGTCTTCTACAATTTTGCAAACTATAGAATCGCCGGTAAGTAAAAGTAGGACTTACACGATCGCAGCCGTTCTACATACCTGAATGAGATTGCACAATTACCGATTTCATTCATGAGCATAAGTGCATAGCCATGAATAATTATTAATTAATATGGCGCCTGCTAATTGAACGATACCTGTTGCATAAAACATTCGTGTCGCCGACAGCCGATCCATTGACAATAATCCCGGCTGCGGCTGGCTCCGGTGTCTCGCCTAATCTCTGACACTTCACCTGTCTAATCCAGTGAATAATCTCCCGTTGCGGCGCATTGACAATGCCCATAGCGAATCCAATAGGGAACCACGTCCCGAATGCTAGCGCGACCACCAGCATTAGCAGTTTACATGTTAAACGGCCCTCATCATCCGTGTGATGAGCCTCGTCGCTGGTCATTCTGAGCAGTTCGTCTTTCCTCTCTTGTGTCCGACACATTTTTCCAACGGCTGGACGCTGGGCTTTTATACACTCACCCCGTGCGGGAACCGGTTCTCTAACCGCAAACGGCACCGCGAATGATGTAAGCCTGAACCGTCCACTTGAGGAATTTACCGGTAATTGGCTAACTGCAACACCGCGCGCGGTGGTTCTCACTTAATCAAGGCTGGCCATGACTGGGTCTGCGGTTTATGGTTTCGTTGACATGACCTGTAAAATGGTATGGATCGAATTATGCAGAATATAGTATTTCCGGTAATGCATTATTCTTGCGGCTCTTATTAACCACTTTACACAACACTGCAGGCAACATGCTAAAACAATGGACAAAATCTGGTAGTTGTAACTTGTACGAGCCGAATACAGCTCACACGTGCTGCATGCAAAACCGTAAACATTCCATTTCCACTTACCGTGCATGGTTATTTGCATCGGATAATTTCCATTGGTTATGCAACATCGAATGTATTCTACTAGCGACACTTGTTATATTCTTTTCTTAGCATTGTAAAAGAAGCACACAAAGTCATATTTTTTCTGCAACGTATAATTATACTCGACGCGATTCATGCTTGAGTGGCGTTTTATATCGACGTGAAAAAGATTTTCCTACTCTACACAGTGACGACGTTTGTAGATCATGCCGGCTATGGCAGCCGTTGTCGGCCATGTACTTGGCTGGAAAGTTTATCGCGGACGCGGAGCACCACTCGCTCACTCGCTATCTTGGTGAGCTGATCGGTAATATTTCTCCGAGTTCTGTTGTGTTGCCCTGGTGGGGTAAGTTTTTTACTAGGTTGACAGTACCGTACGACTTCCGCTCTGAACTGGGCTACATGGTACATTTTCTGTATGTATCTGTACAGAGTGCAGTTTGCACAGTGGCACACAGGCGTCGTGTGCGGTACGAGTGGCAGCAAACGTGATCGAATATTTATGCTGACGGATTGGGTTATTTAAGTGGTTATCCAGAAGCGCGCTGATTAGAATTTTATTTCTCCGACGGAAAAAGCCTGGATGTACAAAGTGGTAATAGCGGCATCATTATATAATGTTTCGTAGTGCGGTCACGCGAATGACATTGATTATGATCACAAAAACACTGCTGCGTTGCTATACAGCACAGACAATATTAAAGTTAATTGTCGATAAATTGGAACTCTTGTGGATCGCAGTATCATTTAGGAAAACTGAATAAATTAATGCACAGCATGAAACTGATACTGTACTTGAACTGATACTTTAATTGCTGTTGTTTCCCGTCGACGTCTGTGATATTGCACTTAATGTCTGATGCAGAGTAAATTCAACAAAACTATGTCAGATCTCTCACAGTACTGTACTTTGCGTCTGTAGTTACGCACCTAGTAGTGACGGTTGTAGATCTATCAACTATGTACGAGAAAATTTTGTTATTTTACAATTTTTATTCTGTAGATATTACTGCTCTGTTCTACACTATCACTAGCTGATTTAAAACAGCACTTATATCTGTATGCTAAAACGGGAAGTCTCGTTCAGCCAAAAAAACCCACTTCTCCATGCGTTTTACAAGCAGCTGGTTTTACAAGAGGAGATATCTAAATTCCGAACGCTAATAAAATAATAATAACCGTAAAATAAATAATGTAGGTGGCTGGTATACATACTATCATTGCATAACTGGTTGTCTTGCACTTCAACTGCTGTTGCTGACACTGGTGTGATATTTTCGGGATAAGCGGAAGCTGAATCGGGCTTCGAGCCGCTTGCATGTCAGCACCGTACTTGCCGGTTAGCGCAAATACACACCGATTTTCAGGATCGGTGGCGATTCGTGGTATTGTTGTTTTGGATTTTAAATTGCACAGTAGTGTGAACGAAAGGCGGCTAAAAATATTGCCATGCAACATCACCGGCGCACATGCACAAGCTCCTCGTTAGTTGCACGCGGTACGTTTAAACCACCAAAGCCATGCTCGTATCGATCCTCTTCAGTAGAAAAAAAAAACAACAGCGTGCATGTGCCAACATTACTATCATAAATCAACTACGATATTTCTTGCAGAGGACCACGTAATAAGCGTCTACACAAGCCATGCAGCTGATCGCCGTGCGGGGGTTGCGGCGGGTCCGAGTAGATAGTGCATTAATATTAATTTTTGTTGGCAGCTCGAAAATTTAGTTAGTGTTACCGGTGCATGTTGTTTGCAGAGGGTTTAGCCACAACAAAAGGTTGTACCTTGAAAATCGGAGAAATCGATGATTATTTGCTCTACATTCAAACGAGGGTTTTAATCTTCATAATTTATTCCTCTAACTTACGATTATTATAAATGAGTGCCGGCGTCGGTTGTGATAATATGCTGTACTTTATAGTTGTATCTGCATAGTCCCATCATCTATGCATGTATAAATTTCATCGCACGGCGTAACCACAAAGCGATAAACAACAGTACATTTGTACTGTTGTTGTTGTGTATAATTACGTACAGTAATGTTATTATTTTGCTGTATAGGAAACTTTTGCACGTGCATTTAACAATCATGCGTAAGAAGTCTGCAGGATCTTTAAAAATAATAGGTTCCATCTATACAGATATATGCAGGTATCAGTTTATGATAATTATTAATATACTTTGTGTTATTTTCAATTTTATTTTTTATGCATTTATGCTATAGTGCAACCGCGCCTGCGTTTTTGTTGGTCGCATTGGTGCCGGCTGCTGTCTATTAAATTATCTACAATATTCCTTGTAGCTTTTGAATTAATGCTACCTAGGTTGCTGGGGCAATGTTTGCGGTAATGAAGCGTGAGCATAGAACGCCAAATGAATTGGATTTGCGAGATCTCACCACCGTGTTCCACGCATACGGAGTATTAACAGCTGTCAGAATTCGCAAGAGAAACTTGTGTCTGGTTTAAAAGTTGAGACAGTTTTATATATCAGGCCGCTTATATGCCGGAAGCCTGTTCTTCTTTGCCTTCAAGGCGCATTACGAATCAAGTCTAGTCGAATTTACCGGTTTCTGATCCAAAAACGGCGAGCACATTTCTCGATCCATTTTAATGTTCATAAAGAGGTACATCTGGGCGTTTCATATTATTTTGCTGCAATAATTTTTTGTACAATTGCCCGACAAAGATGCCTTTCTCTAAATTAGATCACGCTCAAGAGCTGACACTGAACAGCGGACATAAAATCCCCGTTATCGGCTTAGGCACCTGGCAGGTAGGATAACATTTTTTTTACCGGCTCAAAGGATTAATGCGATGTAGCACCACAATTTGCTTGCATATACGTTTTCATCTAATTTGCATTAATACTGTTATTTGCATTGAAAAAATTTGCAGTCGAAACCGGGAGAAGTGCAACAAGCCGTGGAAGATGCCATTGATTTGGGATACCGGCATTTTGATTGTGCTCTGGCTTACGAGAATGAAGGTGAAATCGGTCAGGCTATTGCCAAGAAAATACAAGAGGGTGTCGTTACCCGGCAGGAGCTTTTTGTTACCACTAAAGTGAGCGAGAATTCGTTTATGCGTCATAAATTATGCCATATTATTAAAAAATAGTTAAAAATAATTTTTTAAATGAACGTTTTTGAATGCATTCCGGTAATTTTCCAGTTACCTCCGGTCTTGATCGAGCCAACGTTAGTCCGGGAAGGATTCAACACATCATTAAAGCGCCTTGGTCTGGATTACGTCGATTTGTATTTGCTGCACAATGCTATATCCATCAACCGTGACTACATCAAAACACTGCGTAAGCCGTAATGTCTACATTGATAACATTAAAGTAAGAATCAGGGGAAAAAATAATAGTTATATGTATTATCAACAGAGTGCATGCGAAGTAGGATGCTTATATAAGCGACTATGAGATTTTGTAACTGTATTCATTCTTTTTAATAGCACCTGGATCCGTTTTGAAGCGCCCGGAAGACCCGAGCAAATTTTTCCGGAATGTGGATCACGTTGCTGTCTGGCATGTACGTGAGGCATTACTGCTTTAATTACATAAGTTATTGTTTTTAATCGCGGATAGCAGTGATTTGTTTAGCACACAAAAAGCGATGCTTACTGCATAGTATTATGATATTGATGTTCAGGATTATTTGTGCTATGAACCGACAACCATTTATAATAATTATAATTGTATACATACACTGTTCTGATTTCACCTTTTTTTGATCGAATATTTTAAATCTGAATATTTTGACATTTTCAAAACCAATCGCCGTACTTCGTAGTCGTAATCGCGCTCAGGTTAAACCTGGCAAATACCTAATTTGGCTAAACAATATAAACACAACAAACGTAATCTACATCGGTGATCGGTCGATTAACAGGAACTGGAAAAATTAGTGGACGAAGGTCTAGTGCGCAGTATCGGCGTATCGAATTTCAATCAACAACAACTGCAGCGTCTGATCGATCATGGCCGCATCAAACCAGCCGTTTTGCAGGTGAGCGCATATGTCAGCGTCGCGGACTTCAGTCCAGCCGTGTCTGATAGCGGTGTTCTTGACCTTTGTGGTGTTATTGTTGACTGCAGGTGGAATGCCATGCGTATTTCCCACAACATGATCTGCTGGCGTTCTGTCAACGCCATCACGTCGTTCTGGAGGCGTATTCGCCGTTGGGTAGTCCGCAGCGATGGGGCGGAAATGCCAGCGGCCCCGTGCTACTGGAAGATCAGGTGAACTACGAGAAATGTCTAGTTGGCACACACCAGCAAAAACGTGATCAACACAATATTTACTAAAACTGTGCAGTATTAATTCAAACTAAAGCAAACGGTTTCATTCATCTATGTATCAAGCCATCGCTGACTGACTTTTACTAGAATGCTAAGAAATCGTAGTATAGTGGCTTGTTCCGCTTGAGGCAATCTTTAATAACCGGCACACGCTGGAGTTGTATCGGTTAAAGGTTAATTAAAGCGCATTGCGCAGTAAACGTTTCCTACTACTTTTTACCTGACATGTGTAAAAATGCATTCAAGACGTGTAAACAGGCTCTGTTTTAGTTCTTAGGTTTACTGTTTAAGTGTTAACAGGTTTTAACGGACATAGCCAAGAAGCATGGCAGAACACCGGCGCAAATTTTGCTGCGTTCGCTCGTTGAGCGCGGCGTCGTCGTTCTCCCGAAATCGGTCAATAAAGTCAGGTTGCAACAAAATTTGCAAATCTGGGATTTCCATCTTGATGATGATGACAAACACAAAATGGAGCACATGGGCAAGAACGGAAAGCGGCTGATCGACTACGCGACGTATGTATATGTCGCTGTTGATATCACGTTATTTGCGTTTTTTGAGTTACTTAATTAAAGTTTGCATAGTAGGAAAAGTCTCATATTATAAGTACTGTAGCACAGTACAATAAATAGTTAGGGTTGACATTTTTGGTTTTTCTAAGATCTTCTTTGACGTACAGTTGTTTTTCTTTCATGGCTTTAAAGACTGCCTTTCTCATTTTAGATGGGTCGACTCCCCAAACTATCCATTTCAGGCGCTGCTGTAATGCAGCAAACTGGAAAGAGAATTTGCATGAAAATCACCGAGGGACAGCATTAACATTGCAATGGCTGCTATGACGTTTTAAATAAATCTTTGGCTGTTAAGCTTTTCTAGTTTGTCTTGTGGATGTTTTTAAAAAATGAAACACGGAAATTGTTAAAAAAAAATGACGAAAAGCTCAGTGGGGTCCTTTAGCACTTTGAGGTTTTATGATTTATAATGAAGTGACCGATGCTACAATACGATGATTCAGGTGACATTTATTTTTATCATAAATTCGCAACCGTAAAATCTGCTCGTAATTAGTATAACAGGCCTGCGCGCCTGTAAATCCGAATAGAAAATTTGGAAACAATCAAATACGCATTAAAAGCTGTTTTTTTTTTAAAAATTACTTATTCTAGACCTGTAAGGTTTGACTGTGTGCAGTCTGAACTGATCTACATAGATATTGCACAACCATTCTGCTTATGTTGTGACTGCACTGTCATTACAATCCGCTTGTACTTTGTAGTCACTCACGGTTTCATCGCGAGCAACAAAATACAGTAGTTAACCTTGACTGTGAGTTTTAAAACTACGAGCTGAAATACATATGCAAAATAAAATGACAGGACGTCTTTTATTGCAATAGCTTCACCATTAAAACTAATTAAATGATATTACCACCTACGTTGACGTAGTTACTTACTACAGCCTGTACTGTAGGGCTAGTGCAGTGAGCGAGAGAAAGACCGTGACAGCACTACTGAAGAAAAAGCACTTAGTTGTCAAATACGTATGCATTGTAAAAAGGTCTAAGCGTGAGCATTTGTTTCAGTGACATCATCGGAGTCGTGCCCGTAACGCGGATTAAATCGGAATGGATGATCCGCCGTTCTTTTCGTGATGGACATGACCGTTGCGGCTGGTGTGTCGGGGAACGAAGACACACTTGTAGGGCCAGGTGGTGCGCGCTAAACCGGTTGTGAAGACCTCGGAGGAGGCCGGGCATCCTTCGGCTTTGCGGAATTCATACTTGTGCAGCATATTAGTCATGTACAGCCAGACTTCCATTTTGGCCAGCGGCTCACCGTTGCATAATCGTTTACCTGTAGGGAACGTACAATTATCAAGTATGTATGCACTGGAATTTTCGAGAAACACAACGATGCAGTATTATCATTAAGGTTATACCAATAATTTTGTTCTGCACTGTATGAACCGAAATTGGCTATGCATCAGTATTATATGAATGCGTCATTATATTAATAAAAAAATCATTTTTATAGCAAAATAGCAACAGGTTTTATAGCAACAGTTTTTCGGCCACGAAAAGCCGCATGAATCAGTTACTGCCTCCTCTGATTCCAAATCCAGACACAATTCGTAGAGCAATGGTTGATTCAAAAGCTGTGCAAGCATACCACGCAACTTAAAGAACACTCAAATTGCACAAAGCTAACGCGACTTTTTTGTTTTTATTGATTACTGTTACTATAGTGTTGAAGTCCAGCGTTTTATACTCGTACATTGCACTTTGTGCTTAGATGTGATTAGTTAAAATTACTTGCGTAGTTTACCAATTCCGAAAGGCATGTAGCCGGGAGGTGACTGCTTGACGTTGCCTTCCTTGTCCAGGAAGTGTCCCGGGTAGAATTTGTCCGGGTGCTCCCAGTAGCGGGGATCACGGTGAATAGAGTAGACACTGGCACTCAGGAGACTGCGTTTGGGAATTGTGAAGCCGTCAATGGTCATTTCCTCCAGATTCTGATGGAATAGACCGAGTGGCACAATGGACGCCAGACGTTGGCATTCCATGAGGGCGGCATCGGTGTACTTCAAGTTGGCTAAAATTTTAAACCAGTTAATAATCTTTATTTTTTAAAACGATTATTACCATCCAAATTGATGAAATTTGGACGATTTGCAGACACTTTTACTCCGACATACCTCGGTCTTCCATACGAACAAGCTTATCCGGCTCCACAATGCTATCGATTTCAGCTTGGATCTTCTTCTGCTCTTCGGGATTTTCCAGCATGTAGAGGAAACACCACAGCAGGGTGGTGGTGACGGATGCTGTTCCCGCGGTGTACATGTTGATCATGGAATACAGCAGCTGGTCATCTGGACAGTAAAATCACACAAATAAGATTCTAGACAAGTTTCGCGTTTCTTCCAAATTACACTCGGTAAATCGCGCGCGCAGTCTTTAGCCCTTGTTTAGCGCCCGGCGAAGTCATTTTCCCAAGATTGACTAAATACACTAACTGAGCGGCTAATCCAAGTAACTTATTTTGTGCATCAACACCAGTGGAAAATTACCGTTCAATTAGAAATCCTTAATTAAATGGTCGATAAGTTCCACTGAAGCTTCGTATAATCAGTGACCTTTACGTACCGGTAAATGTATTATTTGGTTCGCCCTGATGCTTCTTAGCCTCCTCAAAGTAGCTGTCCACATAGTTCTCTGGTGTATCCGACTGGATGGAATGCTCCTTTCGCTCCTTGATACGTTTCTCGGCAAAGGGCATGTAGGTGCGCCAGTTGTTGTAAAACTTGTTCCAGTTGGCTTTGTACTCGGGAATGATGTGTTTGATCCAGGGATACAGGTACACCGGCGTCAGGGGCGGTCCCAGCAGACGGGTGTTTTGGGCGAAAGCCTCGGTGAAGCGGTTATACTCTTTGTCGTTGATCTCGTAGCGTTTACCAAAGGCCAACAGTGAGACAATGTTGGCGGTAAAGTGTTCGATGTAGCCGCGCGGATCGACGGGATCCTTGGCATGCTTGGTGAAGTAGGTGAAGTTGTCTTCGATCTCGTTGAGAATGGTGTCCTGCAGCCAGGATTTGCCCAGACCGTAGTCGCGCAGCGTGCGCGTCATGAAGCGGCGGTGTTCGCGCCATAAATCACCTTCCGACTGCTGGATACCTGCAATCGTTAGGTTCTTTGTGTGATTGTGTTGCCAAAGCTTTATAATTTCATGGTTATGTCTCTATAACGCTTTAAAAATAAATAATTCGAGTGCGTGACATTTGTATTTAAGTAATCATTTTCAGGACAATCATGTCGGCCGTGCCTAATTCTTTTATTATCACGTGTTATATCCACTCGTTATGTATCTTTAGAAAGCGTCGTAGTGTAATGGCAGCACGTACGAGCCTCCCACTGAACTTGTGCAGCCTAACGTTGCAATTTTAAAGGATTGGATTTGAGCTTTATAATTTTTTGCAGATAAACAATAGAGTATGTACTTATCTTGCATTGCACTTACATTATCGATGAACTGATATCAATACACGTACCTCGCCCTTTGGCAAAAGTGTTCTGCGGGTAGTCAGGATCGCGACCGGTTGTGATTTCTTCGTTGAACATCTTCTTGGCGGTGTCGAAGTCGTGCATGACCACCAGCAGTTTCGGTCCATATTGCACGCTCACCGTATCGCCGTATTTCTTGCTCCATTTGGCAATGGCGGCAGCGGGATCCGGGAATAATTGCGGCAAATGCCCGACAATCGGCAAAGCTAAATTCAAACAAGAAAAAAGTTTCTATATTAAATAAGAGAATAAAAAAGAAATTTGTATAATAAGTATAATGCACTGTAATATTTATATGCGCATGCAGACGGCGCCGAGATCACACATTTTTACTAAGTCTTGACGCTCGAATGTTAAAATGTTACTGATTTTAGTTATTTACTGCAATACCGGTACAAAAATTACTAGAATCGTCTTACCAGGTGGTCCAGGTGGTAAATTCTTTGGAAACAGTTTCCGCAGTAAAAAGAACGCTGCCACCGCTAAGCACGCAAAGGCCGCGCCCAACGTGAAATATGTGTTCAAGGCGGAAGCGTTGCTGTCGGTGGCCATCTTTTCCGTGGCCATTGTTACACACCGGTGCTCTACGGGTTAACTTTTTTACGCCACCCTGTCTGGGCTGACTGAGTTACCTTACCGAACACGACAACGTGCAAACTGGACTAAATGCGAGAATCTGCTTGGAAGCCATACCGGACCAGTTACCGTTGTTTTTGGCAGAAATTCGACATCAACTAAAAATTGCCGGCAGCGGTCGGTGTTTATGTACAGAGAAATTTTGCGATAACAGTCATTAAATTGTTATCTGCCGAAGAATTTAACTTGTTGCACATGCATGTGAACCACTGAACTGAACCAAATGACACCGTAAGGATAAAAACATTTTGTGGAGTACAAGGAAGCTCGTTCAAATTTTATTATTTTCATACGATGCTTGTAGAGAAATCACGATATCATATAGTACGGTTTATTACACAATAAGAGACTATCGAGAAACATAAAAATAAACTGTCTAAATTAATATAAAAATTAAATAACATTACAGTTTTTTATACTTTCAAATTGGAGTGTTTTTCCCAATGATGGTGAAGGAGTCATAGTTAAAAACTGCTAGAAGTATTTAATTATTAACGATTTATAATTTCCCTGTAACGAAATAGTTGTGGATGCCCGCAAGCGAAGCTTTGAAGGCTGGTAGCATTATAATGACTCATGCTTCAGATTTTCGACATATCGTTGAAAAATGACATTCACGCATCGTGTCGCACATTTTTACCATGCCGGGCAAGCGATGAACTGGTTTGGTTTTGCTCTTTTGCCAAAACTCTGAACTTGACTAATGCAGTTTTCGAAAAATTCGCTAAGGTAAAAAATATATTTTCCACCAATGTCCAGCGGCTAATCATGACCTAACAATAAGCGTCGTTCTGATTTAATTTAGGACTTGACTTATCGAGCATAGCAAAATGTTTTTCGGTAATATATAAAAAAAAAGTTCTGCAGCTGCGCAAGTACAGATACGTACGTGTACGAACGTCCGGTCTATTTATTATCATATTACGAAAAAGCTTGTGAGGTAACGGTACTCGATGTTGTTAAATTGTTTATGATTGTTATTTAAATTGTTAATTTATTGCACGAACGTTACCCTTGCGCAGAGTTAAACAAACTGGGAAGGATTGAAACCATATATGAAATACTGCTATTTGTAAGGGTTTTTTATTCAAAATGCAACCTCAAAATATATCTTTAAAATATAATATGTGCTCTTGATTGGAAAAATCCTTGCTGCAGAAGGGGCGCAGCTTTGTTTGCCTGTCAGATTTACCATAAGAACCGCAGTACTACATACAAACATTTATTGGCCGGAAGCGGTGCAGGAAATTCTTTTTTTGTGAATAAGCTATATATTTGGCCTAGTGATCGCCATACAAAACTTCAGAAAGTCTGGTTTGTCAGACCGCCTTGTCTTGAAGCCGGCGGTATATAATTGTAGTCAGTAAAACACGGTATACACTTCTTCCTCATCACAACCATCATGCCTGCTGAATCTCATGTTGAAAATTCCCCGTGGATCGGATCATTTCGAACTACCGGTAACGATGGAAAAGTGGAAGAATTCCTAATGAGTGTCGGTAAGGCTTGCAATTTTCATGGTTTTTTGTCGTTTTATATCACGTATCGTTAACGTGCCAGAACTTCTAAGTATCACTGCTTAATTTTTTAACTGGAGCATAAGTGTCACCATTACTTTTCTGCTATAAGCGTTTCCACATGGAAAGCAGTACTAAAAAAATTTTGTTATACTATTGTTGATTGGCAAACTTTACTCAAGTTTGAAAATCAAGATCAGTTATTTGTTATTCAAAATAAAATAGTTTGCAGCAGCTGCAACAATTTCTGTATGCGTGACGCAAGCTGTCAAGTATTTTAAGCCGATTCATTTTCATAAAAACTGTACCACAGAGCGGTGCGGTAACAACAGTTACATAAACCCTACAATATTACAGAACAATTTTGCGATTAGAACCATTTCTAACTGCAGGGCATACCAAAGAAAACGCTAAGCGACTGGGAACTCCCGTGACAACCTTTACCTTCTCCAATAACGACGGCAAATGTGGATACAGAATTGAATTTGAAGGATTTTCGAAAGACACACCCTTTGAACTGGGGAAGCCTTTTCAGTATCCTGCCAAAAATCGCGGAGAGGGAGTGATAATTACGGTACGAAAACGAATGCATTCTTCATGATGTTGTAAAAAATAAACTACGTTCTAGGATTATGTTAAAAAATCCGACTATATTTTTTTCGTGGTGTTGTAAAAATGCGAATTTGCGTCCAAATGTAATGAGTAAACTAATTGCGTAGAAATTTTAACATAACCAGAGCGCTTGCAGCAACGGTACGACTGGACCGAACCCACCCGTACCATGCGGTCAACTGTGAAAACTACCGAAGGATTTGACTTTACCGAAGATTATACTTTCGCTCCTGATTACAATTCGGCGGAATTGGTTCGGACATCTCCCAGTGTGCAGTCACGTACTGTTTTGCAGCGTATCGCAGAATGTAAACCACTTTAATAATATCCATTCTCACGACAAACTGTAAAAGTGTTTTGGTACGCATTCCAGTCGAAATGTGAATCCGGGAACGTCTTCTGAGAAAACATGATCGTAGTGACACAAGAATATGATGATTACCCTGATAAGTATCGCCTGCGATTTCGTACGTAGCATTAAAACAACGAACAATGGTAAAAACATCGGTAATGCCACTGAAAATTATAAGTGCAGTAGTAAAACTGCCCATACGCCGGCATACGGGACCGGTATGCATGTGTAGCGGTATGCAGCTATGACCTCCATGTGCATTCCATGACCTCGGTCAGCAGCCACTCCGCCGCCACACCCACAGCACATCCAATCACAATCCTTTCGACCGTCCCATTTAAAACTGTTTCCTTTATTTGTACTTTCTGAGATGGTTTTCAATTGTCGCAGCTGGATTGACAAAAGCCCACACAATTTACTGCCATGCGCATTCATGTACACTCGTACGAACCGATTCCAAAAGAAGTACTTACGATACACAGAATACAGTACCGGTTACTTTAACTATATAACCGCAAGGCATTAGTACAATCACCAGATTTTAATAAATGTACCACATAATTTGTATAATTAATTGTCAGATCATAGAGTATGCAGAGATCATCCAGTTGTAAGCCGATCGAAAAAGCGTGAAAGAAATTTTAAATCATAGGACAACCACACTAATAAACACGAGACTTGGTAACGCGTGGATCAGTGACTCCGGTAACTCCAGATCCAAGAACGTAAAGTTCGCTTCAGTATCTACAAAATCACCAATTTATAAACAGTCGTATGTATGTATGAAAATGCTGATAGACTTGGCCGCATGATTACTTACTGCTTTGCGATTTGCCTGAATTAATAAGAGTAGTTTCTACTACTCTTCAAATCCTGTGTCCAATGGCAGTCGCTCGTTTCTTTAATTTCACGCATTTCATTTATTCACTATGGGTACCATCAAGCGGATGTCCCTTGATGGTACAGCAATTCAAGTAAATAAATAATTTTCCTGCATTCCTTCAAACCGTATAAAGCGCACGCTCACGTTATTAAATGCGTTTTCATAAAGCTGTCGTGCCACACCAGCGTACAGGGATACACGAATTACATAACTTAATTCCGAACAAAGGCTTTCAGTTTCTTTCCCGCCAATCTTACTATAATTAGTAATAGTGTCATACAACTGTGGTGTAAATTGGTAGACTCAGCAGTAATAATTTGAATCTCATCCGATTCTGGATCTGGATCGGCGCACTGCTGTGATTACTGCTCGTATATTCGCTACTCTACACGAAGTAGTCACTCAAACTCAACTGCGTCTGGCTGGATAATCATTCGTTTGGCAGCTACTTGATCCCGGTGCGTCGGCTGTTTTTAACGTTCCGATGAGCTATCTCACATCTTCCGCTCGAGTGCTAAAGAATTAATCATCGTCTTACGAGCACACCGACTAGCATCTCGGGACTTTTTCTCCGATCACTTTTCTGCCAGATGTTGCAGTGAATTTTTTAAAACTTTGTGCTTTACAGCTGTTACGTGTAGTCAGTCAATGTCCTGATACGTATCGGTACTAGATTCGGCACAATGACGGATCTCCTACAGAAAGCCATAAATATTAAAAATGAATATATCATTCCGCAAAAGTATGTTCCGGCTTATTAAAAAATTTCGAAGCAGCGCGTTGCAATCGATTTTTAATAAACTGTGATTTTTTGCAGTTTAACACAGTACTATAACCACTCGTGTACGGCCAAAGGTCAAGATCCCAAATGGTGGATATTTCTCTGCAGCAGCGTGTTATGTCCACTGGTGCTGAACGGCTTTCTGGGCATTTGGTTCATCACCAAACTGATTATCAGCAAAACTGTCAACCGGATCAGTTCCCGTCCAAACACACCGAATGCGGCTACCACCGATCATGCGCTTCCGGATGATCTGTTCGGAAAGGAATCCTCCAAAACGGTCAAAAAATGGGAGATGCCCTGGTCGCAGAAACTGGAGAAGGAAGCCAGCAAAATTATCTTGACGCAGACTACTGTTGGTCATTTAATAGTGAGTACACACTATACAGATGTATTGCTTGTGTAACACATTTCCTGCGTAGTAGTACTTCGTAATACTATAGTATAGTACAGCAATAAAGATAATGCTGCGCTTCAGATAAGGTTAAAATCAATAAATTTAGCGACAACAATACAATATTAAAAATTGGCATTGATTGTTATAAAGTTTTGCGCTTGCAGACAGTAATAGCGTTTATCGTCGCCATGCTTTCGTTCGGGATTTATGTATTTGAAGTGTCAGAGTAAGTGGTGGTTTAGTAAATTTGTAATGTACGAGTACTAAATTTTAATTTTTTTTTACAACAATATGTTCAGCTTCGTCCCTTCAAACCAAATTTGCTAATTCTGACAGAGCAATAACTAATACTGTTTGTAGCTTCGTTCCTGCGTTGGAAATTTGCCGTCCGTGGTTACAAACGATCACGTGGCAGGTGGATTTAGGTTGCAACATATTCTTCCTCATTCTTTTTATTATGCGGGTAAGGTGCGAATGCCGACCTGAATTAGCTGAGCTGCGCAAAATAATAACAAAATCTAATACTTTCTACGTATATCTGCACATTGTGTACGCTGTGATTCATGTAACGCTGGGATAGGTTTATCATTTAAAAATTGTTATTAAGAGCGCTTCTGTCGAAAGTGCTGTAGCTGGAATTTGGTTGCAGTACATGGCTTCCAGTCGCAAAGGTCTGTTTTTGTGGGAACTGTACAGTATCGTAGATTACTGCACCATCCCACCGGCTTTTGTTGCGATGGTTTTGAACCGGAACTGGTCAGGTATGAAGCCGTTTGCCGATTCCAGATCGCTGTATACGACTATGTACCATGTAAGGCCGACTAAAGTGTAATTTAACAAATGCGACCTTATAATAATCCACTACTCCGTATGTCCTTATGAACAACGAAGATAATAACGAAAAACTAAAACTTTCTAGCTAGTCGCATCCTTTAATTAGGTATTTGGTTTAGGGTTACGGTTTATGCGTGTGTTGTATATTTTCTCCATCCCTGATGTAATGCAGTACATTGGCTTATTGAAAACCCGGTTGGAGATCAGAGCAGCTCATCTGATTTGCCGGCTGCTTGGCGCGGTTTTTGTTGGCAGCGGCATTTTTCACTTGGTGAGGTCATCCGGCACGGACCATGCTGACAGCATAATTAATTACAGTGTTGCTATTTTCAGTTGGAAAACTTTTCGGATGTCGTTGATCCTGAAGACCACTCATACCCAAAGTTCGTTTACTATACGATCATTACCATTTCCACGGTGGGCTATGGCGACATTTATCCCAAAACCGGCTGGGGACGAGCCTTTGCCTGCCTGTTTATTATGGCCGCTTTGGTAAGCATTACGGCACTTGCAAAACGTTAGCGAAACAATACACACGTAAAAAATATGCAGTATAATTTTGCAATATGCAAATAAAACTAAGTTGCTACCATAAAAAAGTTTATGACATTTTAGTTTATGCATGTTTCTGCTGCGTTCCGTGTTGTTTTAATCATTTGGTTTTATTTATTTCGTTAATGCACTTCTTTAATTGTTTTATGAGTGTTTCTGTTGATAAAAATACTCGTACCAAAATTGTTACTGCTGATATAAGCTAATAGTTTTCACTTTCAACCAATTACCCATGATGAACAGTCTCCTGTTGTTAGGGATTATTTGCATCTTCCATTCCCGACATCGTCAGTATGTTGACTGCGCGCTTTCAGTATGGCGGACAATTTAAAAAGGAGCGCGGTACCCAGTTGAGTGATTGTCGTTACACTATTAATTCTATTGTTAAAATGCTCTCTAGAGAATTTATAATTTTAATTAAAGTTTCTACCTAAATTTATAGCCATGCCATCGTTTGTGGACACATAACGTATGCTGCCGCTCATCGATTTCTGGAGAACTTCTTCCATACCCGCAACCAAACGAATAATCTCAGCGTGTTATTTATCAGTCAGTAAGTTATTTGAAAAAAACGTTTTGTATGTAAGCAACAGAAAAGTTTTTCTGTAATTGGTCGAGCCGACTCGAGCATGAAATTATCGATAATTGGTATGATAAATATCAGTTAAACTTTGTAAACAATTTCTAACGTTTGCCGACTGCCAGAGAAGTTGCTAAACGTACCGGCTCTTTGACAACATGCTAAGATTAATTTATTTGCGTCTACCAAGCGGGATTTATTTTTAGCGAAAATCCCGACTTGGAAATGGAAGCTCTGCTCAAGCGAAATTTCACGCATGTCGAATATTTACAAGGTGACGTGTTGAATAGTTCGGATTTGAGGCGCGCTGCCATTAAGGATGCGCTGGCGTGTCTTGTTATTGTAAGTATTCTGCTTTTCATAATTATAGTGCAAATCATAACAGTTACTATTTCAATAAAAAAGAAATTAAACTACAGGCCGATAAAAAGCCGGAAAGCAGTCACGTGGAGGATGCTACAAATGTTATGCGTGTTATTTCCATAAAAAATGCCTGCCCATCAGCCCGGATTATTGTACAAATTCATCATACGAATAATTTGGTAACTAAAGTAATGAAACGAAACATAATCCAGGTGTTAAAACTAATTTCCGATAAACAAGTTACTATTGCAAAAGTGATGTAGCACTGGCGATATTTATGTTAAAATACGGTACAGCACTACAATGTTACAATGATTTGAATACATATATAAGCTACAGTAGAGAGTGTGAGGAACTTACCGCTTATTGTGCAGTCGGCTAATGCACGAAAAAATTAATATCGGATTGTACGGAATTTGATGATTATACGAAGCAAAAATTTGACTCTCGCTGTAAACGTAAATATATAATGTCAATGTGAGAATGTACAGTAGCAGTTCTTTTACTTTATTGTAAAGGTACACTTGACAAACTTGCCAACCTGGAGCACATTACGTGGAGATGTAGCAGTTTGTTTGGCGGAATTGAAAATGGGATTGTTAGCGGAGAGTTGTATTGCTCCTGGTTTCTCCACTCTGGTGTCCAATCTGATGCAGTCGTATTCCACATTAGGCAACTACACGGTCGCACGTGCAAACTCCAGTAATGCGGTATGACAAAAACGTTGTGTCATATTATGTTTAACGAACGTTTTAAACTTTTTTTACATTGTGTAGAATATGTCAAATATTATAAATTTTTAATTTGTTTGCATGATTGTATCGAGCCAAAACAGATTTAAGCCTTTATTCCAGGAAATGAATCCAATTGATTTATATGTGAAAGGATGCTCAATGCGGATCGTTTTCCAACGGTTTAGCGAATTCTATCTCAACATGAACTTTACCAATGCCGCGCGGTAAGCGTTTTATTACAAAAAATGCGGTGCCCAATGCTTTTCACTAGCGTTTTAAACATTAGAGTAACTCTAAGTAACTTTACAGTCACTGTTATTCGTACTTGGATTTATTGCTGATTGGATTATTCGAACGCCCGACTTGTTCGGATTTCGTAACGGGACTCGGAGGGATTCTCATTAATCCCAGTACGACGGTCATTAATGGAAACCACGTTGGTGTATTTCTTGCAAGATCGGCCACGGATGCCGCACGGTAAAGAACCTAACATTTACGCTTCAGCTGCTGTTATGCAAATTTATTTTGATGCAGCGGAATAGCTGTACGAATACAGCCTTAGCGCATGATACCTTGTATTACAAAATTGTGTCGGCAGATCGTGGTTTTATTGCAAAGATTGTCATACCGGTGTGAAATCAGCGGCTGATGTGAAGTTTTGCGGATGCGAAGCCAGTAAGCAGCAACATTAATTTCCACACACATGAAAAGAAATGTTACAATATTTGTTTGCTGTTGTTGCAGGAAAAGTTGACAAACGAATAGAAAAAGAGCAAAATCCCATCCGACAATTTTGGTTAAGTTGTCAAAAGGGCACAACGTACGGCAATGCTGCAGACAAAAGTCGGTTGTCGTTTGCTAAAAACAGATCAGGATATGAGCGACAACTAAGGGCATTTAATCTCCGGTAGGTGTTTCATATGTTGTCTTAACTATCAATAACTGTATTCGCATAGCTGTTATGTAAGTTATTTATATATTCGATGTTGTAAACTCGTTTTTGAAATATTAAATGCATAGGATGTGTTAGTAAGCAGCTGTAAGCACTTATAAAGATCTAGATTAAAATGAATTTGGCAGAAAAGGGAGTCTACGCTTATCCATGTTACTTGAAACAGGAAAGGGAAACGCTCCACCGGACTTACATCTGACGCTCTGACGATGTTGTACGACAACGTTGGCAAGAGTCACTGGATTCCCGCCAGACGATTTGAGGATGCCGTGCTGGTATGTCATCTGCTTTATAAACTACAGTAGACCGGCCGGCGGCAATAAAACTATGCCTCATAAATAATTAAGAAATAAAAGCGCATCCCAGAAATGATTCGTATGTATCGGCCAATAAGACTACATGCAATTCACATGTTTTGCAACGTCTAGGATATAAAAAATGCCGCCGGACGTCGATTTCAAGATCACACCGTGTTATGCATCTTCGCCGAGCCTGGAGCTGGATCATTAGGTTTAGCGCAGTTCGTGATTCCTCTGCGATCCGCCGGAATACCGGCACACAAACTGAAGGATATCATCATTTTTGGCAATTTGGAGTACCTGGAACAGGAATGGCATAAAGAGTGGGCGCTACGACATTTCCCAAAAATTACCATTATAAAGGTTCGTGCAAAATTAGGTATCTATATATGAACACAAAGTACAAATAATTTTTCAAATACAGTAATGTCTTTGCTCTAGGTTTATTCGAAAAATATTTTTAAAAAATAATCAAAATTTTTAATAAATCCAGACTTTATCCAGATAATGTAAAATATACTTGTACGTAGATATCGTGTTATCAGTATTGCTGCTAGGCACCACTTTCTTGTGGAGAACGCGAACAATGTAAGGCGCCGCACTACGATTTCGCCCAAAATCATCGAAATGCCATCAGCCACGTACAGCAGAATGTATCGATATCTCGGCTTCTTTAAATATTTTGACCGCTACAATTCTGCAACTTGAACTGCAACTGCAACTAAAATTTACAGTATTGCACTCTGCAGTCAGCAATTTATTAATAATATTGTAATTTTAGGGCAACCCCTTAGACAGAATGGACCTGGAAGCGATTTCCATAAAATCCTGCGAAGTCTGCCTGGTGATATCGTCCAAGACCGGCCACTGCAAGGATGAAATTGTGGACGACCAGGAGGTCATTCTGGCCACGTTAAATTTGCAGGCTATGGATTTTGAAGAAAATTTTCCGGATGTGGATCAACATGCGGTACCGGTTGCCAGTCGCTCCATCAAGATTGTCTCCAGTTTAGGTAACACGAATGTTAAATCACTCCTGTTCCCAAAAACAGCAAATCCAGTGCTAACGTACAGAAACATGATTTATAATTTTATAGAACACGATGACAATGTTAAATTTCTGGAATGTGAACGGGATGACAGTCTGCCGGTCAACGCATTCTTTTTATCGGAGCCGTTCGTTTCCGGTGCAGTGTTTATGGATACTGTATTGGATTCCCTGATGATAACGGTGACAATAAATGAAAAATTAAGAAATATGCAGCATAACTAACCTGGATATTTAAATGCGCTGCATTTCTAGACCTTTTTCAGTCCCTTATCCATTTCGGTCATTCACGCTCTTGTATTTGGTTCTTCGCAACTGCAACCAGAAAGCGGCAGTCCAGACAAAGACAGCCGTGCCCAGTTTTCCACACCCGTCGTGCCGCCGTCGTTTCTGAAAATCATTGATCTGAGCAAGCCAAAGTATTCCAAGCACGCGGTAATTAAACAATGCCAAATCCAAAATTAAAATTATTCTTAAGATTATTATTCTTAAGATTGCCTTCTCGTTTCCTCAGGAAGCATTAAATTGCAAAAACATGGGAAATACATTTGCTTGATGTAATACATGTTTGACTGACAAAGGTCACATTAATTTTGAAGCAGCTATTTTTTAAAGAAAAATTCTGACTAATTATTTTTTTAAAAAGGCAAACATAAAATCAGTTATAACTAAATCTTCTGTCTGTTGTGTATACATACGTATATCCGAATAAACCAGGTTCGCACAAAATCGTCACATTCAGTGGCTAAATTACTGGCTTCTTCGGATAAAGTATAACCTGATGAGATTATTAATTTCAGAATTCATCCTACAAAGACTTCGTTTGGAATGGCTTCACGCAAGGCCTGATTTGCCTGGGTCTCTCACGGCGTATTTGGCCGGACGCGGCACCACCGCAGAACATGAAACGCTGTATTATCACGAACCCGGCACCCGATGTCATGCTGTTGCCGGACGATGCGGTCTTCGTCTATGCACCCACCCACCTGCCGGTGGGTGCCACCCGTAGCCCGCCTGAGCCGCGCAAGTATCTCAGTCCGGTGGACGAGCTGGATCAGCTGTCACAGGATTTGAAAGAGAAAATGGGACAGTATAAAAGTCTGAATCCGAAACCGCCGAGTGTTCAGTCTTTGCCGAATGCAAACGCGAGAAATCCCTATGACAGTTTGCCACGTAAACCATCCTAAAGAGGATTAGTCGAGAGATTTCAACTGTTTTTTGTTTTGTTTTTGTTACCAAATGTGAAATCTAGCGCTAGCCTGCAACACTATGTTTAAGCTTATACAAGAAATACAAAATGTGTAACACTGGGTACACTACCTAGGGTAGCAGGTGCTAGTAGTAGTTCTTTGCACACGAAGGTTGTTTTATGAATGTTTGACATTTACCAACGATGTCCTCAACACTGTGTAATATCTAGCAAGTACTGTAAATTGCTACTTGATTAGTAATCAAGATCGAGGACGTTATAATTAAGAAGCCAATGCCAACAAAAATCAGATTTTATTTAACCCTGATTACAAAATTCTGAGCACCTAACAAAAGCTTGGATTAAACGGCAATTTCTTTCAAGGCAGGCTTGCTAAAGAGTATAAACAAAATACACATATACTGTACAAAACGTAATCAAAAGATATGCATTTTTGTGTATAAATATTACCCCTTCGAAATCATCGAGTGTTTGACATAAACAAGATGTTAACGTGCCATGCATATATGATATGGAAAAGGTCATTCAAATTCTTGAATAAAAATGTCATTTAATTCACTCAGCAAAATTATTAATTGAACGAATCATCTTATTCGTCGCCCAAACAAACGGCTGCCTTCTTTAGCAATTCGTTCATTCCATGCAGACGAGCAAAATCGAAATATGCCAACGCCGTGTCCTTCTTCACATCCGCCATCATCATGTCCTGACAGACACTCCGCAACGCCGACATCCCGTACTTATCCGCCACACACCACATCTCCCGCAGTTCTCCCAGCTCCGCCGTGAACGGCTGTCGACTGTACGCGAACTGCACGACCTTCTCCAAGACCTCCCCGCGCAGGTCCATCAGCACGTACTCACCGTTGGTACGGTTGCGGTCAGTGTGGTTCTGGAACATGTCCAAGAAGAGTGGCGACTGAGCCGCCAGGATGGCCCGATGGGCGGGAAAGCGGCGGCCGTCACTGGCGATGAGAAGGCAGTCGGAAAGGAGACCGCCGTCCAGGAGGGAGCGCAGTTCCACCGGCTGACGCTTGACGTGGTACGTCATGTTGACGTAGATGTCGCCCGCGCGAAGGATGTAGTCGCACCTGCCCGTGGTCTTCGACGTCGTATAAGTTACCAAGGAGGACTCCGAAAACTGTCGAAGCCGCTGCGGAGCGGAACGTGCGGAATTTTCCTTAAGCCGGTCCTTTGTCGGGATCCACAGTTCCGGGGCTGCATAAGCTTGTGAGCTGAAATAAATTTTTTGTGTGTATACAAGTACATACGACTAGTCATTGTGTATAATATTTTACAAGTATAAAAAACCGGAAAAAATCTACAGCTCAGGTTTTTGTCTTAGATAACAGCGAATTTCAGAAAGGTCAGTATTATGAAGTCAGTACACCATCAGTATCAATTATCGATATGGTTACGCCATTTTTACCTACGCGGTATTTGAAGTACGTAGCATTTTGCACCATATATGCCACAAGACGCACCTGATAGTGATCTCCGCTAGGGCGTCGTAGGGATCTTCGACCCCGTGGAGCGGTGTCAAAACCGCACTAGTATTGATGTAGCCGCTCGACAAGTCATTATTCATCTTAATGGTCAGCGTCCATGAGGACTCGGAGATCTCCGGATAGTCTTGCTGCTGGGTCACGCTGAACTCGGTCTTATAGTCAGAGAGTCCCACATTTCCAACTCTCGATCCTTCAGCACTTGGGGTTTGCACAAATTTATCCGTGGGGATCTTGTACTGTAAGGTCAGGGACTGTTTCTGAGCGCTCAGCGACATGATTTTGGTCGTAGATAACAGTTTATTGTGAAAAGGTCAGTATGGTTTTATCACTGCACTGCAACTGGCCAGCAGAGTCGAAATAATTTAGCAACAGTTAAAAACTGCGAATGAACTGCAGGGGTTTTAATACCCTTTAACCGGCTAACTGTGGGGTGCAGGATTTGAGTACCTAACTTGCGTAATGTTACTAAGTAAGAAACCACCAGATAAGCGTTCATCCGGGTCACCTAATTGCCTGCCAGTTACCAATATCCATACCGGCCCATACAGATTACATTAAGTTTTACGTCCGTCTGGTTGTGCAAGCTGGTTAGAAAAGGTCGAAAAGTAAAACCGACTCGATCCCTTGAAGTACTAAAACAGCCAAAACCATACTTCTATAATTATGACACAGAAAACTTGTTATTTTTACAAGTTTTAATATTCCATACTTCTTCCCATACTTAAGACCGTTAGGACATATTTTTTTAGCAGAACGTTTAAAAAAACTGCAAAAAACCCTACGAACTGCGTTCAAAACTTAGGAATTTTTTAAGGCCGAATTTGACTAAAACTGATCATGTGTTGATAAGATCATAAAAACCGCGCATAATTACGTTTAATTTTGGACAGTAAGGTTGTATGAATGTAAAGAAAACATATTATATTTATCATTTTATGCTCAAGTGTGTTATTTTGGGATATTGTGTATAATATTCTGAATGGAAAACGCAATGTAAATTTTTGATCAGTTGATCTATCCCAAAATTGATTTTGGGCTGTTAGGTTCACTTACATTAAACCAAACAGCTCAACACATGGTGAAAGTAACTTAAGTAAGTATGCTAATTAAACAGTAAGAAAGTGTAGTCGCTTATTGCGCGTACTGCATTACCGAAGAATATTGCATGCGTATAGCGGGAATATTGTACATGATAAAATGCAGGCGTTTGTTTTAGGCAGCGTGATTTCATTGTTTTAGTGTCTTCAGACTTCAGAGCACCATGAGGTTGGTTGAAAAAGGTGAAATAAAAACAGATTGTATTGTACATACACGTGAACTTTCGCCATCGCGCACTCCTAAATACTTTTTTGCATTGCTTTATGACATTTTGTAGCCAAAGAGTTTGTATACGTAGGCGTCAAATCCGTTTGGGCGCGCAACATCCGGTTCGTAATTATTAATGTCCAGGTCAATTGCTCTGTGTAAGTCTTACGCCACGCGCAAGCGGCAGTCGGGTAAAAAATCATGACGTCACGGCGCGTAAGCAGGTAAACGATTTGATTGGTAAACCAGAATTCTGGGATGGGTTTTCTGCGTGTAACCGTTGCGCTTCGAAATCGAAGCGCAACCGTTACCCAAACTACGAGTAACTCGTAACTCTCCTGCACAGATCAACAAAATTTTTGTTTGTTTTAACCAGAAGTGCATCCAGCGACCCAGATTGACACTCCTAAACTCAGAATTAACTTTTTTGATATAGTACCACATTAACGCATCAAAAATAAAATTTTCGGTTCCACTTCAATTTTCAGTTGTTCAGTTTCTTTCTTGCCACGGAAGCGTACTCGACTTACGATTGGACGATAAATTTTTCGCTGAGTCGTGGACAGATTTTTACGCGCGCAATTTGAAGAGCATCGGCTCATAATGAGACTTCTGGTACACCTCCGCGCGTGTAAATTTTTGGAATTTTATTTCATTAATAATTACGAACCGGATGTTGCGCGCCCAAACGGATTTCACGCCTACGTATACATACTCTTTGGCTACAAAATGTCATAAAGCAATGCAAAAAAGTATTTAGCAGTGCGCGATGGCGAAAGTTCACGTGTATGTACCCGAATTTCGTACTATGTACCGGGCCAAATCCCTTAATGCTGGTTGCTTGCGTATATCATTCTGGGATAACGTTTCCCGTCATCGATTCGAAAGTAACCGTAATAAGCTGTACTCGAAACGCACTTTAAATGTGTTCTGTAAGATACAGAGGCGGAAGTTCTGTAACGTTTCGATACCACCCCCTTACCGCTGATTGGACGCCCGAGTTAAAGTGTTCTGTATCTAAAAGGAACTATCCTGGCTCCGTTACGATACAGAACTCACATTTCTTGCTAGGTCAAATTTATTTTTTGATGTGGATGCACAGTCCGCTGAATGGCAAAATTCCACATCGGCGTACTTTACGTGCAATTGCCTTTCGCTTTTTGCCTTTTTTCACCAGTCGTTTGCTTGACAAAACTTAAAATCGCCTGAAAAACTGAAAGGAAACGGCCACAAAATTGTTGTGAAAAGTAAATAAACCGTTGACCAATTCAACTACGGTAACTGGGCGCTTTTAGAGTCCGTGGTCTCGTTGCTCTGTAACGCTCTATAAGATTCAGCGCTGCACCATTGGTAGATTCACTTTTACAGAACTCCCGGCTCTCTATCTTAGAGAATGCATTTAAAGTGCGTTTCGAGTAGTACTATAGACGAAATACTGCTCAAATGGTATAGTTTTTTCGTTCGTGATCTACTGCTCACTTTATTATTGTGATCTACTGCTCACTTTATAATTATCATTCTTTTGTATAACGCAATATTGTACATAAAAACCAAGTATCTATTTATCCAAAAATTCATCGTTGTAAAGTCGGTATATTAAGTGCTCTCGCTTATTGTGTAGTAACGTTTTTTATTTACTGCTACAATTGTGAGGTTTCCAAGTAGTACGTTTCCGAATATAGGAAATTAAATCCGGCATATCTTTGGGTATGCCTACAAAGGCTGACCTTTAAAGTATCCTTGGCGAACACTGCGAATATGGGAAAATCAAATCCGGCATATCGTTGGGTATGCTTACAAAGACTGACCATTAAAGTATTGTTGGGTGTGCTTACAAAGACTGACCTTTAAAGTATTTTTGGCGAATGCTGCGAAGGCTGTGAACATGGGAAAATCAAACACGGCATACCGTTGGGTAAGCTTATGAAGATTGACCTTTAAAGTATCCTTGGCGAACGCTGCGAAGGCAGAGAATAAGGAAAAATGAAACCCGGCATGTCGTTGGGTATGCTCACAAAGACTAACTTTCAAAGTACCCTTAGCGAACGCTGCGAATATAGGGAAATCAAACCCGGCATATCGTTGGGTATGCTTACAAAGACTAACCTTTAAAGTACCCTTGGCGAACGCTGCGAATGCTGCGAATATAGGAAAATCAAACCCGGCATGTCGTTGGGTATGCTTACGAAGACTGACGTTTAAAGTATCCTTGGCGAACGCTGCGAATGCTGCGAATATAGGAAAATCAAACCCGGCATGTCGTTGGGTATGCCTACAAAGATTGACCTTTAAAGTACCTTTGGCGAACGGTGTGAATGCTGCGGAAATGAGAAGATCAGAACCGGCATAATTACAGTGACCGCAGCAGCCATTTTGGCAAACTGTGGGAATAAAAGAATATAGGAAAATCAGAATCGGCATATTTACAGTGGCCGGAGCAGCCCCCTCGGCGAATTGTGCAAATGCTGCAAATATGAGAAAATCAGATCCTGTATATATAGAGTAACTTCACAAGCCACATTGGCGAACTTTGCGAATGCTGCAGAGTCTTGATAATTTAGGTCTGACTAGCAAACTAATCTCAACAGTTCTCCTGTAATCGGCAGCGCCCATACGCCCATACTATCGTCACCGACTGGCTTTTTCAGTGGCTGCTGTATAAACCGAAAGACTCATAAACGCTAATATTTGCAGACGAACCCACATTAACTCCAGAATGCATTGCATCTGATGCAATAATTATCGTTTTGAAATGCGTACGTCATTTGCGTAGGCTACATATATGGGGTTACTGATCTCATTCTTTACCTGTATTGCTTTCGTAACGTCTGCTAACGTTCGTTTTGTTTAAATTGTTGCGTCTGCAAATAAGCTTGTGCTATGCGTAAAGCTAATTTTACAAATTTCATAGGTTCATGGCAATTTTTACTATAACAGTGTTAATTGTTTTGCATTAGTTACTAAAATTATGACAGCGATGACCGGTACTTTACCAGAGGCAACTACGTCTGTATACAGTCATGCACAATAAAACCATTGTAAAACTACCGCTCAAAAATTTGCCAACTTGGAAAAATAACATAACCATCGGACGTAAAATTTCCCTTATCATCTACTTGCTTGTTCCCGATATAGTACATGAAATCATTTCTAAAGCTTATATATGCCCCCAACCAACCTTCCACCCCGTCCGTAAATACAAAGTGATCCATCATGCTCATCAAGGTGATCTGCACCTCCGGCGATTCGTTTACAAACATGACATTGGGCTCGGTGAAGATCTCTTTGCAATACGTCACATTGTTGCTGAAGATGAAAAAATTCACCGGCGCATCGACGCGCTGAAAATGGATTGCAGCGCGTATTAAGCGCTTTTCTGTAGCAGAGAATTCCGGCGTATTTTCCACCTGCACAAAGAAGCCCACCAAAAAGGGCAGCGCCCAATCAGTCACTTCCGGTTGCCGCTGCATGATCTCGGCGACTACAGCGTTAACGTATAACAAACTATGATTAAGGATATCCGTGTGCAAGGTCAGCAGGGTTTGGATCGTCTGCCGGGATTCGGGTGCGTTCATCCATTTCTGAAGGATCCGCCCATTTCCTGAGGACATCTCAGAACGTGACGGCACTTTGAGGTATTTGCCTTTTTTCTCGGTGAACTTCTGGGCGTCCATCTGCGACAGTGTCATATTCTCAAACCGACTGATAACGGCATATTTGTGCAAAAAAACCGGCACGGATTTTGTAGCCACTGCGGCGCTGAATAACGCTCCCACGGCCACCATCCACTGGGCAATGTCAAGTTCAGTGTCGGTGTCTGTGAAGTCGACGGTTAGGTAATGGGGCGTGGCTGTAGACGGGTGGTTATGGTGCTGTTGGGATCGATCACACCGTTGGCGGCATACGTCCGCAGATTCAGCTTCATAACCAGACGGTTGTTCGTCCATGGCACGATATCGTCTTTCTTGTTGGTTATCTTGGGGAATATTGTGGCTGGATGGACGTCTCCCGAGTTCAGTACGATCAGTTTCTGCTCAGATAACAATCAAAATATTATTAACCAAATAATTAATTATTTAACGTTAGTCGAAAATGATATTGTTAATTCCGTACGTTGACCACACAAGGTTTTGGTAATTCAAAAGTTAATTACTAACTTGCCTGCTAAAAAACAATGCAGATGGTAGTGTGTCAGACTGTACGAGTAGGTACATATTACATAATATGTACAATAGGTAAGCGGTTTCTTAAAGCACGTGCAGTTCTTTCGTAACCCTCAAAATAATTATGTTTATTTTTTGTAATTTTAAAAATTATATATAATTCATTACGGACGTACCTCAACTAATGTCAAATTATAGCCTCCGTCCTCGATAGGTTGCTCCGAAGCAGTCGCCGCCGATTGGTAGTTCGTCGTTTGAGACACTTGTTCGTTTTTAAGCTGATCAGGGCTATAAAACACATTAAACAGGATTTGCACAATACGTCAATACACTAAAGTACAGATACAGCATATTATGTATATAAATATTATTGTACACCACAATTGTACATGCCTTGTGAATACATTGGGCTAAGAAAACTACAAAACAGTGATGCAAATTTTCAATATCACTTCTTAGTTTGTGAACTATGCGGTATCATATAAACCTGCTTACTACTTGTATAATTAACAGTATAACGCAATGCCGAACATTGACTTCGACGTCATGCACACTCACAGGTCAGAGAGCTGAGCAGATTATTTATTGCCTGCATAATAAATCACTGTTGATATTTCAGCTTCTCAGCAGCAATTTTAACGCTCTTTTTAAAATGTAGTCTCTTTGTACTGCGACACTGACAGTAAATTTGAAAGAACAGAAAATACATCTACGATAATTAGCCAAACTTTTCCTTATTTTGCAGTGAAGTAATGATTATCACAAGCAGGGTACAATATGAGCAGAAAACATTTGAAACAATAATAAAAACAGTGAAACCGGCATATGTGGGGCCACGAAAGCCACGTACACGTACCTGCTGTGATTTTTTCCGATTATGGCATATAAAAAGATGAGCAGGCTAAAGGGCACAAAAAGAAATCCCATATTGAATCTAATAATGAAGACTAAATTTAAACTGTTGGTGCCTGTGTGCTTGTATCTTTATTTGTTATTACTGTTGTCATCCCCGCACGTTGCAGACACGCCGGTAAAACAACTTCGCTCAAAAATGATATTGCTGATTTTTGTAGGACAAAGTACGCTACGTTGTCCTTCAAAGATTCTTCACAAGAATGAACTGGTAACGATGCACAAAACCTAAAATGCAACATCATCCGCCGGCACAAATCGTTTATTCTGTAAGCAAAACGGAGTAATGAAATCGAGAAAATATATTGCCTGCGTACTTTTTGCAGTTACTGTACACAGTATTGTCAGAAATTCTAAACACAAAGTAATATCTGCCAAGTACATACTGTACATCTATTACTTTTAAGAAACCAAGAGACAATTTGGTGGTAATAAATGGAAACTGTAATCATGCGTAGAATAAAAGTACCAAGAATGGGATCGTTCCGATCTGTGGGTTTAACAATTTAGCGTATAGCTTTAACAATTTAGCAGAGACGTCTCACAAAATTTCGATTTGTCCTGCGGATAAAATTTTGAGGCTCAAGACCTGAGTGCATTTTGACGATCAACAACCGTTAATACATATGTTGCAGTTGACGCAGTATAAAGTTATGTTGCACATACAGTAAATCGTTATTAAGCAGTATTCTCTGCCCTCGGAAATATTTTGCTGCAGTTAATAGGATATTTGCTGTATATCGACAAAATACCTGAACCATGCGTTACGATGTCGTCGAATTTGGTAAAATCGCTCCGAGAAAAATTATCAGTTGGAATTCTTAGTGCAACAAATCGTGTACGTGTATCCATGGACATCGTTTTCGAATTTCGACGTACTCGGTAGACACCTGATCGCAATTTCACACCTCCGAGCAATCCTGCTGTAAAATAAGCATTTCTGCTGTATTCGTGCAGCTAGAATACTATTTGCATTATGTTCGGCTTCTCCAGCGAGGATTTTTTTTAACGACTGAGAGATTTTCAACAGCACAGAAATTGCTTACAACTACCTGGATTAAGTTTACGGTCTTTTTGATAACAGATTTTTTTTCGTGTTTCTGAAGCGCGATTATGATGTCTTACTAGATAAATAAATAAATACTGGCTAATGAATGCAAACTACAGGAAAATCGCAAGAATGAGAGCTGTAATAATATATTACGGTGGTACCTGTACATAGCAATATAATCAGTATAAAATTAATAGCTTTTATCTAGGCTGGTGATGGTACAGGTACGTGGTTAGGGGTTGCCACTTTATGACCTTTTGCACGACCGGGATGTGCCTGCAACCACCGCTTTCCATACAACCGGCATCTCAAAACGCCCCGAACTACTCTGTTTCCTGCACCTCGACAAGTAGAAAAGAAATTACCAAAATTAAAAGGCCGGCGATTAATTTGTGCTGAAAGGCAGTGTTTACTAACAACGAAAAGTTGACATTTCATTTTGCACTCCATACGTACAGGTACCTCATGTCCTTTTGTAATTTCGAAAACAGAGAAGCTTCCGTAGCGTCAGTAGAATCAACTTTGGAAGTAAATAATCTCATTTGTTGCAGTAATTTGTGATGTCATGTCTGTTTCCTATGACAATTTGTTGCAAAGCAAATATGTTGGCTAATACTAGCGTTTTGCGTCGATCATAAGCGCGATTCCATTGAGCCACGGACAATCCGTGTTCCAAAGTTGACTGATTCTCCACGATGTTCCCCAATTCCATGAGGTGTAAGTAATCTTGTTTGGTCAAACTGCAACCTTTATTACAGCGCGCTATTAATGCGTGGAACAGGAAAGGGACCAAAAAAGCGAGCAATGTCCCAACACACGCCGCAAGGCAGATATAGAGATATACTAAGTAGGGAAGGCCTAACACTGTGCCGGACATTCCATTTTCTTGGCCGCTAGAACCCCCCAGTGATGACATTTTACTGATACGGTATGCACGTAGAAATATGCAAATGCAATGCATGCAGCGACAGGAGCGAATAAAATTAATGTTCGGCACAAGTGGGAACCGCGCGCGGTTGAAATACACTTTATAAACCTGCTTGCAACAGATCCAGGAATTTTCGGCCTTGAGGAATATTTTCTGTAATATGATTCAGTGTAGAAAGAAAATAATAATCTCAATTGTCTGCGTCAACAAAGTGATAATTATTGATGTTATTAAATATTGCATTACAAATTAATACGGATTAGAAAAAAGTTTGAAATCGGATCGCTGCAGCAATTTAGTAGCACTGAAACAACGTCATATGCGTTAAAGTTATGTGCTGTTCTTAGAGCCATTCACAGGATGACATCGGAGGGAGTCTCTTTCGTAGTACACGGTACTGAAATTAAAACTACTTACGCGTTTAACAGCCGTAATTATCACATTTTCTGTTTTAATTTCGAAAACAAGCTCCTCACACTGGCTCAAAATTGTGTACTTATTTCCCTCTTTTAGCCCAAATTTCCTTGATTTCGTCATGAGCTGCCAGAAGGATTCAATGCCACAATTTACCCCAAGCCATATGGAACACCACTGTTTGTGTGCCTTGACGCAATCATTTTTTCCACTATAAAATCGCATGAGCAGAGCCGGATGCCGGTGCGTTATTCCAAAAATGGATTTCCTAATTTAGTGATACTTTAAGTGTAAGTAATTATTTCTGCAGTAAATACATAAACCAGATCAAGGTTCCTTAAGACCCTCCTCAGGTTTAACCTTGAAGTATGTGCTAATTAATATAATGGGAATCGGAATGCGTTAATCGGTTCTTAAACGAAGGCGAATTTCGCGGGAATATTAATTAATCCGCCAGCAAGATTAATACAAAGAATTAAGCACGGATACGTGTGCAATTGCATAGCGAAATATAACAAATTAGAAGCGCTATATTAATACCATTTAATGTTACCGCTTCCGGACTCCACTGGGGGCACTGGAGCCCCGGCTGCTGGGAGGCTGGTGCTCTCTGTGATCGGCTGTGTGCGGTGACCGTGGGTCAGCGAGAAGCCGGCCGACCGGGGGTCGGCGGAAGAGAGCGACCAGTGCCCTGCGCAACCGAAGGCCCCTTTATTGAGCAGGTGCGAAATAACAGCACAAGAAAACAGCAGGGTGTGGCGGGTGGTAAAAGAACAGAGATCACTCGCGCGCACACGATATCGAAGGAGCAAAGACAGACAGCAGTGAGAACTGCAGATCGAACCATGCAATGCGAGCACACGAACAGTACCAAGTGCAAACAGCATGCCCGTGCGTGACGGCGGCCGCTTTGATCTAAGCGCCACGGCGACGCGCAGCGCCACCAACAGACTCACGTAACTCGCAACACACGGCGAAAGGAGACAGAGCGGGAGCGCATGTCCTCCAGCTAACATTAACATCAATTAACTCGTTAATTGTCATTTAATGTTACCGCTTCCGGACTCCACTGGGGGCACTGGAGCCCCGGCTGCTGGGAGGCTGGTGCTCTCTGTGATCGGCTGTGTGCGGTGACCGTGGGTCAGCGAGAAGCCGGCCGACCGGGGGTCGGCGGAAGAGAGCGACCAGTGCCCTGCGCAACCGAAGGCCCCAAACAAAACCCCAAACAACCCAATATAAGAATTGATGAGCAGTTGCACGGTTCTGCGGATGTATTTGCTGAAGATTCGGAGTTCAATTGGGAGAAAGCAAAATCCGGCTATCTTTACGTCGCCAGGGCTGACGTCGTTACGTTGCCGATAAGGAGCGGTGCGGTGTGATGATCCCGGCGTGGTATGGCAGGATCCGTGGTGTCAGCATCCAGTCAGGTTTTTCCAAGCAAAGTGCAACCACCGCTAGTGACCTGCTTGCCGTCGGAAGTAAGCGCACCGGAGGTGGTGGCTTTGTATGCTGTCCGAGGAAGGTGCAACCGCTGCTGGGGTCTGCTTGCCGTCGGAGATAAGCACGGGAAGCACCGGAGGTGATGGCCTTGTATGTCGTCCGAGGAAAGTGCAACCGCCGCTGGGGTCTGCTTGCCGTCGGAGGTAGGCGCACCGGAAGTGGTGGCCTTGTATGCCGTCCGAGGAAGGTGCAACCGCCGCTGGGGGTCTGCTTGCCTTCGGAGCCAGAGGTAGGCGCACCGGAGGTGGTGGCCTTGTACGCCGTCCGAGGAAGGTGCCACCGCCGCTGGGGGTCTGCTTGCCGTCGGAGGTAACTGTGGCCGTCACTGCTGGCTTGCCTTGCCGTCCGAAGTAGGCGGTTGCAGTTAGTGGCACGCATTGTCGCTAGATGTAGGTGCAGTTGTGGCTGGAGGCTTACCTACCTGTTGGACACAATCCGGGCGTAGTTGCAGGTAATGTGTGGTCGTCGGAGCAGGATGTGGCCGTGGTTGAAGGCCTGCTTTGCCGTCCGCGGTAGGTGTAGCCGTCGCTGTTGGCTTGCCTTGCCGTCGGAGCTGGGTGCAGCCTTAGTTATAGCCTGCCCTGCCGTCCGAGGTGGTGCAACAGTCATGTTGGCTTTCATGCCGCCGGTGGGAGGGAAAGCCGTAGCTGGAACAACCCGCTTTGCCGTCGGAGGTGGTGGAGCCATCGTTGGTGGCTTACTGTCCGCAAAAGTTGGTGACGACATAATTGTTGGCTTGCCCTTCCGTTGGAGAAAGGTGCTGCCGTCGTTGGTGTGGCCGCTTGCCGTCTGAGGAGGGCATCGCCGTAGCTACGGAGCATGAGTCGCGTCCGTGGAAGCTGTAGCCGGCTTTAGTGGCCTGGTATGTCGTCCGTGGAAGGTGGAACCGCCGCTGGGGTTCTGCTTGCCGTCGAAGGTAGGCGCAGCCGAAGTTAGTGGCCTTGTATGCCGTCCGAGGAAGGGGCAACCGCCGCTGGGGTCTGCTTGCCGTAGGAGGAAGGCGCAGCCGAAGTTGGTGGCCTTGTATGCCATCCGAGGAAGGTGCAACCGCCGCTGGGGGTCTGCTTGCCGTCGGAGGAAGGCGCAGCCGAAGTTGGTGACCTTGTATGCCGTCCGAGGAAGGTGCAACCGCCGCTGGGGGTCTGCTTGCCGTCGGAGGAAGGCGCAGCCGAAGTTGGTGGCCTTGTATACCGTCCGAGAAAGATGCAACCGCCGCTGGGGGTCTGCTTGCCGTCGGAGGAAGCGCAGCCGAAGTTAGTGGCCTTGTATGCCGTCCGAGGAAGGTGCAACCGCCGCTGGGGCTCTGCTTGCCGTCGGAGGAAGGCGCAGCCGAAGTTGGTGGCCTTGTATGCCGTCCGAGGAAGATGCAACCGCCGCTGGGGTTCTGCTTGCCGTCGGAGGAAGCGCAGCCGAAGTTAGTGGCCTTGTATGCCGTCCGAGGAAGGTGCAACCGCCGCTGGGGCTCTGCTTGCCGTCGGAGGAAAGCGCAGCCGAAGTTGGTGGCCTTGTATGCCGTCCGAGAAAGATGCAACCGCCGCTGGGGGTCTGCTTGCCGTCGGAGGAAGGAGCAGCCGAAGTTGGTGGCCTTGTATGCCGTCCGAGGAAGGTGCAACCGCCGCTGCGGGTCTGCTTGCCGTCGGAGGAAGGAGCAGCCGAAGTTGGTGGCCTTGTATGCCGTCCGAGGAAGGTGCAACCGCCGCTGGGGGTCTGCTTGCCGTCGGAGGTAGGCGCAGCCGAAGTTGGATGACCTTGTATGCCGTCCGAGGAAGATGCAACCGCCGCTGGGGTTCTGCTTGCCGTCGGAGGAAGGAGCAGCCGAAGTTAGTGGCCTTGTATGCCGTCCGAGGAAGGTGCAACCGCCGCTGGGGCTCTGCTTGCCGTCGGAGGAAGGCGCAGCCGAAGTTGGTGGCCTTGTATGCCGTCCGAGAAAGATGCAACCGCCGCTGGGGGTCTGCTTGCCGTCGGAGGAAGCGCAGCCGAAGTTAGTGGCCTTGTATGCCGTCCGAGGAAGGTGCAACCGCCGCTGGGGGTCTGCTTGCCGTCGGAGGAAGGCGCAGCCGAAGTTGGTGGCCTTGTATGCCGTCCGAGGAAGGTGCAACCGCCACGGGGGTCTGCTTGCCGTCGGAGGAAGGCGCAGCCGAAGTTGGTGGCCTTGTATGCCGTCCGAGGAAGGTGCAACCGCCACTGGGGGTCTGCTTGCCGTCGGAGGTAGGCGCAGCCGAAGTTGGTGGCCTTGTATGCCGTCCGAGGAAGGTGCAACCGCCACTGGGGGTCTGCTTGCCGTCGAAGGTAGGCGCAGCCGAAGTTGGTGGCCTTGTATGCCGTCCGAGGAAGGTGCAACCGTTGCTAGCGGTCCGGTCTGCCGTCCGAAGGAGGTGCGGCTGTTAGGTCTGTGCCCGCTTGCCGTCGGAGGAAGGCGCCGCCGTAGCCGGGGGGCCTGCCTGCCGTCCGAGGAAGGTGCCCTTGATAGATCACCAGCTCGCTGTCGGATGTGTGCTCCGCCGAAGGTAATGAGCCTGTCAGCCGTCCGAGGAAGATGCGGCCGCCGTTAATGGGCCTGCTTGCGTCAGATATGGGGACAGCTATTCGTAGGCGGCCTAATTGCCGTCCATGGAAGGTGTGGCTGCATCTGGGGGCCTATCTTGTCGTCCGAGGATGGTGCAGCTCTCGTCAGTGGCCTAGTATTGCGCCCGGCCGTTGGAAGGGGGCTGTCGCTGTCGGAGGTAAAGCGGCCGTAGTTAGGGTGCTTCGTTGCTGTCCGAGGGAGATGCAGCCGCAGTTGAAGGCCTGTGTTGCCGTTAGAGTCACGTGCAGCCGTTGTCGGTGGCTTGACTGGCGTCGTGGTTAGGTGCGAGTCGCCACCGTAGTTGGAGGCCTGCCCTGCCGTCCAATGAAGGGCTCGCGTCAAAAATGGTGCAGCTTTCCTTCGTGGCCTAGCTTCCCGTTAGGCCTAGCCACAGCAGATAATTGATGACGGGTGTAACTTGTCCGCTGAGCAGTGGTTGATCTTGGCCGCTTTTCCCTTCGCACTGATGGTTCTCCGGAGGGCCGCTTAACGAGCAAGTGGCGTTCAAGCTGAGTGCGAGCTGTTCGCTTGGCTCTTCGGATGCGGTGTGGATTTAGATGACGCATAAAGAGCTGATCTGAAATTCTGGCGAGGATATAACCAGTCACCGATGGTGACAGTCTGACAGAACCTAGAAAGCGATAAACGAGGAGCTGAGCCATCGCACAGATGGTAGCTAGAAATCAGCTATCGCAGATGCGCGGAACACGGCGCGCGGAACGGATAAACATTCCGAAGTCCAAAATGCAGATCAAGGAAGATGGAAGATCTCGATTCCGAACAGAAAAGAACAGAGATCACTCGCGCGCACACGATATCGAAGGAGCAAAGACAGACAGCAGTGAGAACTGATCTAAGCGCCACGGCGACGCGCAGCGCCACCAACAGACTCACGTAACTCGCAACACACGGCGAAAGGAGACAGAGCGGGAGCGCATGTCCTCCAGCTAACATTAACATCAATTAACTCGTTAATTGTCATTTAGAAATAGAATATTATAATTATTATGCAATTTACGATGTGGGCAGCAAAAGAGGCATCCACGGGCATATATGTACAAAGTAATATCTATAGATCATAAAAGGCTATAAAAGGCTTAATTTGTTTGACAGTACTGTTAGTTGTGCCGAACGGTATATCCATTCGTGCATCTCTCGGTGTGGTCTAAACCAAAACTCCACTAAACCAGTTGCATCCGTTTTGGCGTTTCTAAAGGTGAACTGAGAGGATACATTCGATCCCACTGTGTTTTTAGAGGGAATTTCACCGTACTGAACCATGCTAGGAATCCATGTTGGTGACAGTGAAGACGTGTAAGGTTCCTCCCTCGGTACAATCAACAGCCGCCCCTTATGACGCCACATGCACTGATTGTGAAATTTTTCCAGTACACGCTGCGATAGCGGCAAGCGAACCGCAACGGTAAAAACCGCTGTGTCGCCTTCGGTAATAGTTTGCGGGACCAAAGACTGGGCGAATATCTCTTCAGCATGGGTGACCAGTGGTACTAGACTATAGCGTCGTATTACGGTTTTTTTCGTCAGTCTTTCTTCATAGCACACAATCTCGCCACTGGACTGCAAAGTCACGTTGAAAATTTGGAAAATCAAACTGTCACCGTACTGGGCGAAGTTATAGTGCTGATTGTTTAGGCTCTCCACAGGCAGCGCTTCGCCGTGCTGGAACAGCGTTCGGCCTTGGAAAGTCAAGGAGATATCCCGGGAATTTTTGTCTGTTGATGCAAGACAGCCGAAGGAAACGTTTTGGCCAAGACGTGGACGTCGTATAATCGGTACGGGGTCGTTCTTCGCAGTGGCAGCTTGAGGAAATTTTAAGGTCACTTTGTCATCTTCCTGGTACGGAATCGCACGGGCAATTATGTCGTCAACTATAATGTAAAAGCATTTTCTTTCTGTTTGACCAAGCAGAAATCGTCGCCAGGGTTGACTTAATTAACTATAATTCAATTATCGAGTTAATTATGTTACCAGCTGGTAGAATTACGAGGATAAGTCCTTATTCTTTTCAAGCCTATTTGTGGAAGTTTATACGAGTACGTAGCTATTTTATTTAGTTTTTAAAGAATATACATACTTATATTAAATTAGGATGTACAAAGAGCCTTATATTAACTATTCTGTGAAAGCATGATTTTTTTATTTTAAATTTTAGTCAATCCTTTGCAAACACCGAAACTTACGCAATAAATTTGCTTCGCTGTCTTTTTGCACAGTGCACGTGCTGCACCATCGGTACATTACACCCAATAACACGGCATGGAGCACCAATGTGAAAGGCGGTGGCAAAAACATTTTCCGGGGAATATATGCATGGCGTTGGTATTAAAGTAAATAAGTTTAATAGTTTATAAAACTCGTTTTAAAAATGAATACAATATGCCGGAAATTATCAGTGAAGTATCAGCGACGTACTAGTGCTTCTAGATATCCAGGTCTCTCACAGTAAATATATTCCTTTGTAGGTTTTAAAAAGTTGTAGTTAAGGAAAACAAAAACTTGTAAAGCAAGCTAAATCAAAACAGACACGAAACATACATTATGCTAAAACATAGTATTATATATAGTAAACATATGCATGCAAGTTACTACTGTTTTACTTGCAGGCGTTGCTAAGAGGCGCATTAGAACCCACGATTACGATAATATATTAATTTAAATTTTAAAATGAGTCTGTACTTGCGTTCCTACTCGTACTTACGAGTACAGTATTTTTAATTAACTGGCCGTGTTAGCTCCAAAATGTCGTTATGGCTGTGTCTTTTTATATTAGCTATGCAGTTGTGAACGGGGCTACCACTTTGTATATTAGTTTTGAAAATACAAAGTATACCGGGCAGTCACTGACAAGGCTATTTTGAGGTTTCTTACTACAAACTATTCAGTGTGGAAATATTCAAACTGTTTCAGCCCTTAATTAAACTAAAATATGGAAGCCACAACTCATAATATCTGGAGAAAGAAATGGTGGATATCCCGAGACCTGTGTTTGATAATACTCTGTAATATGCGGTGACGGTTATTGTTTGTACATTCGGTATTAATTTCTGCATACAGTTTTGAGTTTATTTTTGCTCGCGGAATGAACACAGTCAGATACGTATTTATCGAAGCCAAGAAACGTCACTAGTCTCAATTTCATTACCTAATGATACAGCAGCGATCGTAACGCACAGAAGACAGTGAAATGATATAACTGTATTATACCGATTTCAAGCAAACACATTTAAAAGGATAGAGATTTCATCTTGAACCTGTATGATTTCTATAATGCCATTCTGTAGATCACGAAACACCACTGAAAAATTACTTAATAATCGTTAGAATTCCCAGCGACTATTTGAAAAATGGTAACTTCGCAAAGAGTCCGGTGGCCGCTTCCTTCACGTAGTTGACACCGTTTTCGACTTGCTTCATAACTGAAATTATAAAATCTAGGTTTTTATTACTCAACCAATAAATTGTAAGAACTTACGCATGATGACGGCATGCAGATTAATGTCCTCAACAATGTTTGTTTGTTTAATGGGCTTAATGTCTGCGACGATCAGCTGTAACCTGCGCGAGGCCGAAGACTACTCTCATCAGAAAAAGCTTTCGCGTAGCGAAAGCCTTACATCAAAAGATAAAACCATAAGCACTAACAATTCAAAGTAGTGTAATATGTGGCATGTAAATTGGTACTTCATTAGTAATCAAGATCAAAGACGTTGTAATTAAGTAGCCACTGCCAACCGAAATTAGATTTTATTTAACCCTGATTACGAAATTCTGAGAACACTAACAAAGGCTCGGATTAAACGGCAATTTCTTTCGAAGGCACACTTGCTAGAAGCGTATAAACAGATAATAGCATAGATTATTTTTCTACATGCGGCATGCATTATTTACACATATACTGTATAAAACGTAATCGAAAGATTTGTATTTTCATGTATACATATATACCCCTTCGAAATCATCGAGTGTTTGACATAAACAAGATGTAAACGTGCATGTATGATAGGGAAAACGTCATTCAAATTCTGGATTAAAAAGGTCATTTAATTTACTCAACAAAATTATTAATTTAACGAGTCATCTTATTCGTCGCCCATACAAACGGCTGCCTTCTTTAGCAGTTCCTTCATTCCATGCAGGCGAGCGAAATCGAAATATGCCAACGCTGTGTCCTTCTTCACATCCGTCATCATCATTTCCTGACAGACACTCCGCAACGCCGCCATCCCGTACTTATCCGCCACACACCACATCTCCCGCATTTCTCCCAGCTCCGCCGTGAACGGTTGTCGACTGTACGCGAAGTGTACCAACTTCTCCAAAACCTCCCCGCGGAGATCCATCAGCACGTACTCGCCGTTGGTACGGTTGCGGTCGGTGTGGTTCTGGAACATGTCCAAGAAGAGCGGCGACTGGGCTGCCAGGATGGCCCGATGAGCGGGGAAGCGGCGGCCGTCATTAGCGATGAGAAGGCAATCGGTAAGAAGACCGCCGTCCAGGAGGGTGAGGAGTTCCACCGGCTGGCGCTTGATGTGGTACGTCATGTTGACGTAGACGTCGCCCGCGCGGAGGATGTAGTCGCACTTGCCCGTGGTCTTCGATGTCGTATAGATTACCAAGGAGAACTGCATTTGCGACCACTGTCGAAGCCGCTGGGGAGCGGAACGTGCGGGGGATTTTCCTTAAGCCGGTCGTTTGTCGGGATCCACAGTTCCGGGGCAGCATAAGCTTGTGAACTGCAATAAATTTTTACTGTGTATATATAATCATTGTAGGTATGTACATATTTTGCAAGTATAAAAACCTGGAAAAAATTTGCAGCTCAGGTTTTTGTCTTAGATAACAGCGAATTTCAGAAAGGTCACTATTATGGCATCAGTACACCAAAATAGTTATCGATATGGGTACGCCGCTTTTACCTACGCGGTATTTGAAATACGTAGCATTTTGCGCCATATATGCCACAAAACGCACCTGATAGTGATCTCCGCTAGGGCGCCGTAGGGATCTTCGGCCGCGTGGAGCGGTGTCAAGACCGCACTAGTATTGATGTAGCCGCTTGACAAGTCATTATTAATCTTAATGGTCAGCGTCCATGAGGACTCGGAGATCTCCGGATAGTCTTGCTGCTGGGTCACGCTGAACTCGGTCTTGTAGTCATAGAGTCCCACACCACCGCTGGATCTTTCCGCACTTGGGGTCTTCACAAAGTTATCCGTGGGGATCTTGTACTGTAAGGTCACGGACTGTTTCTGAGCGCTGAGCGACATGATTTTGGTCGTAGTTAACAGTTTATTGTGGAAAGGTCAGTATTATGCATGGTATTATCACTGCACTGCAGCTGGTACTGGTAGTTTATAGCAGAGTCGAAATAATTAAGCAACAGTTAAAACTGCGAATGAACTGCAGGGGTTTTAATACCCTTTAACCGGCTGACTGTGGGGTGCAGGATTTGAGTACCTAATGCCCCGGTCATACTTCGTGTTCGAAGCCTTTAAAACAGTTCTGATCAAAAAATGTGTTAACAGTATGATCGCAAGCTGTTCTAAGCACCTTTTTCTTAGAACAAAAAACTATGACCACTGTCAGGAGATAGGCGCCACTGCCCAGGAGTGTGGGTTGAGTGGGTGTCGCACCGACTCCGATTTCGTGTTCTGTGTGATACGTCCACGGCCAGAGAGATTGGCATGGCATATGCAGGCCGAGACGTTTCGATTTGATTTAGTTGGAGATTTTGGCTCGACAGCATGGAGACGTCCATGCTGTGCGAGATGGCCTTTGGATATTTGCGCATGCTAGAGTGACCCTTTATTAACATCTTCGACATTAATAAAGCGATCGTTTGTGGCGTCGTTGTTTTCCGTTGCATTCCTATGCAGCGCAGGCATAGCGCTTACACCACTCTTCGAACAAAATCTTGTTTTAGTGGGGAGGGGCTTAATCAAGCTTCTTAAGATGTTTTAGTACTTTTAACCAATAGCATCGCTCATGACCGGAACTGGATCCTGGTTACAACACCGTATTCCCATTTTTTCATGTCTTGATAATGCGGATATACATGTACTTGAATTTACGTAAAAAAGTACTGTCAAAAGCAGAGGTGATATATTCTTGAACTTATTTGGAAAAGTACGAGTTTTGTTACTATCATTTAAAATCGCGACCAACATCCGTAATATTTAACCAAAACTTGCAAATAATTTAACCGGCACAAAATGAGCAAAAAATGGTAGCGTAAAAACGAGGCTCGTTTTTTCCGAGCATTGCGACGAGATGTTACGGCGCACAAAGAATAATAAGAGACAGTAGTGCTTGTTTCTTTCGGAAAAGCGGAAACTGCATCGCGTAATATTGGTAAAAACTGTTTTTAAAATACGAAAGCCCAAATTCAAATTCTTCTACTTTTTGGAAGTTCGTGGTACTCTGATGAAGTGATGCTACTGTAGTCTGATTTTTATTTTCAAATTTTTGGATCAAACGGGTGAAGTCTCTATTACCAGAACAGTGTTAGCGGTATGACCAGCACACCGATAAAACTGTCCTAAGCATACTTCTGCGAACAGCTTAACACTTAAACACTTAACACTTAAAACAAATTCTTTAGATCCTGTGCTAAACAAAAAGTTCTAAAATTTTCGTTAGAACACGAAGTATGACCGAGGCATAACTTGCGTAATGTTACTAAGTAAGAAATCACCAGATAAACGTCCATCCGGGTCACCTAATTGCCTGCCAGTTACCAATATCCATACCGGCCCATACAGATTACATTAGGTTTTACGTCCGGCTGGTTGTGCAAGCTGGTTAGAAAAGGTCAAAAGTAAACCCGACTCGATCCCTGGAAATACTAGAACTGCCAAAACCATACTTCTATAATTATAACGCAGAAAGCTTGTTATTCTTACAAGTTTTAATATTCCATACTTTTTCCAGTACTACTTAAGACCGTTAGGACATATTTTTTTAGCAGAACGTTTAAAAAAACTGCAGAATACCCTACGAACTACTTTCAAAATTTTTTAAGGCTGAATTTGACTAAAACTGATCATGTGTTGATAAGATCATAAAAACCGCCCATAATCAAGTTTAATTTTGGACGGTAAGATTGTATGAATGTAAAGAAAACATTTTTTTTATTCAAGTGCTTTTTATTTTTTTCCACCTTGCTAAGCCAGTTTAAACATCCAAAAAACACACAAACGTCACACAGCATAAAAAAACAGCGGAAACATGCGGCCGAATCACAGAGAACATTTGATCTAAATTAGCCGAGACTGGTGTCGTTCCCAGGATGGATGCCGCATTTCCACGTTGAATTTCGATGCTGAACCTCTGGCGCAGATATTCCGTTGCGTAATGCGCAACGGAGTATCGGAACTCTCAAAACATATTACATTTATCATTTTATGCATAAATAAAGTGTGTTATTTTGGGATATTGTGTATAATATTCTGAATGGAAAACGCAGTGTAAATTTTTGATCAGTTGATCTATCCCAAAATTAATTTTGGGCTGTTAGGTTCACTTGCATTAAACCAAACAGCTCAACACATTGTGAAAGTAAATATGCTAACAAGTAAGAAAGTGTAGTCGCTTATTGCGCGCACTGCATTACCGAAGAATATTACATGCGTATAGCGGGAATATTGTACTCGTACATGATAAAATGCAGGCTTTTGTTTTAGGCAGCGCGATTTCATTGTTTTAATATCTTCAGAGCACCATGAGGTTTGTGGAAAAAGGTGAAATAAAAACAGATTGTATTGTATTGCTTTCGTAACCTCTGCTAACGTTCGTTCTGTTAAAATTGTTGCGTCTGCAAATAAGCTTGTGCTATGCGTAAAGCTAATTTTACAAATTTCATAGGTTCATGACAATTTTTACTATAACAGTGTTGCTTGTTTTGCATTAGTTACTAAGATCATGACAGCGATGGCCGGTACTTTACCAGAGGCAACTACGTCTGCATACACATGCACAACAAAACCATTGTAAAACTACCGCTCAAAGATTTGCCAACTTGGAAAAATAACATAACCATCAGATGTAAAATTTCCCTATCATTTGCTTGCTTGTTCCCGATATAGTACATGAAATCATTCCTAAAGCTTATATATGCCCCCAACCAACCTTCCACCCCGTCCGTAAACACAAAATGATCCATCATGCTCATCAAGGTGATCTGCACCTCCGGCGATTCGCTTACAAAAATGACATTGGGCTCGGTGAAGATCTCTTTGCAATACGTCATATTGTTGCTGAAGATGAAAACATTACACTCCTTCTGCAGGATGTGGGTTGGGACACCATCACGCTGCAGCTGACCATCAAGCGGTCCAAAACGGATCAGCACCAAAACGGGATCACCCTGTCTCTGACGTCCAACGCCGCGCCGGCAGTACACAGCGCCTGCGTCACTTACGGGCGACAGCGCCAGCAGCAGCGGCCGCCTAATCTACCGTTCTTCATTTTCGGCAGCGGCCGATATTTGACCCGCACAGACCTGTCACAAGCGCTTAAGAGAACTCTCCCGGAAGGAGAGGACTCTCGGCGCTACTCATCGCATAGTTTCCGCATCGGCGGAGCTACAGCAGCCGCCACCGGCGGCTGTTCGCCGGAAGCCATACGCGAACTTGGACGATGGAAATCGTCCGCGTTCAAGCGTTACATCCGCCCGCAAAGTCTGCGCGTACCATCATGTTTGGGGCACTTCCTCACTCGCGCAGCTCTCTCGCAATGGTACGCACAGAACCGCACCGGAAGGTGCACTCATACATCCTGACCACGAATCAGGATCCATCACCCTGGCCATGTATCAGGTGCCGTAAAACCTCCCTGGCCACGTATCAGGGAGCAGCTATTCACCTGGCCACGCATCAGGTGTCCCACTCCACGCATACGCTCCTTCCGGTGGTCGAGCATGTTCTGACGTTTCCACGTGACTCCGCGGCCGAGCTGAGGCTGGCCACATGCCCCAACACAAGCGCCGGCGTTTCTCGTATTATGTCGTTAATGCAGTGTTTGCTAACAGCGAAAGGGTGCCATCTGAGATTCTCTAATGGAAAAGTTGTTTTTATTAATGCTACGGACGTTTTTTGTCTTCAGAATTACAAAAGGTTATAAGATGTCTGAAGTTCTGAACCGCATGGAGTACAAAATCAGCTGTTGCAGTATAAATGTGTAATATTATATTTCTTTCTTACAACTATTTGTCGTAAAGAAATATTGCTCTTTCTAAGTTTTGACCTTTCCGTACGTCTAGAATAAGCAATGCCGATACTCAGACTCTGAATTACAAAAGTGCTTTATTACCGAGTAAGTGCGCTGAGCAACTATTGCATCTCACTTTTATTGAGTTCCGTTTGCTTTTATGCGGCAAAAAACCCCTATTACAAATTAGAGGAAAAGGCTCGCATATCGCATAACCTATTCTTTTTTGAAAGCTTTGTAAACAAAACTTATGCAACGGAAGCAACAATAAGGTTAAAAAACCGCTTGCTGTTTTGCATGAATCATGAATCTTTTTCCCCTATTTTTTAAAAACATGCTATAAAACGTTGTGTATAACAAAGATCGAATAATACGATTATCAGAAAGCACGTTGCAACGTTATGATAAAAATAAAATGCACACAATAATTTCAAATCAGGTAGAAAATTATGAAACTTGCATGCAAAAATATTTTTCGAGCAGGTGCGCTTTATAAGCAGCTACCGTACAAAAGCAGAAAACAGAAAATTTAATGAATTTTCAATAAATAAACTGGGAATCGAATTCAGGATAAAGGTCCGGATTTGGCATTGAAATCTGGTGGACGCCCGTGATAGTGATCATATCCGGCCTCAGTAACATGTGAATCCGGTATTTAACCCGCATGCTCCGGATCGTGCAGGTGCATGATAATTCAGCAACATCCAGCAGATAATGAAGCTATTTGGCATGTTGTCGTCGATTGTCGTAATCCCTTTTCCAATCCCGCAATGGAATTCGGAGCTCTGTTGCACGGCTAGTTAGACGGCTTGTAATAATCCACCCACAATTGAAGATGTTAAGCCATACTTCGCGCGTAAACTTTTGGTTGTTAATTTTTACGATTATAATGCGCACTATGACATATAATGCATCCCTAACCAGTAACCCAATCACAATTGCCAGTGCCAAGTATTCCCAATTAACCGGACAAGCGCAGGTGCAAAGGCAGTTGCAAGCCTCCACGAATTTCCTTGACCCGTCATAAACCACAACCGAAGTATTCATTGTAAGAGAAAGATTAAAAATCAAATGTGAAGTCAAAATGCAACGATGATAGCGGGCGTTAAAATAATGTTTAAGATGAGCATGACATTGCTGTTTAAATGCACTTAGAAAATCCGTTTGCAGCAGATCCAGGGATTTTCGGCCCTGAGAAATAATACTTGCAACATGATTCCCCATTGTAGAAAGGAAATAATGACGCCAATTGTCGACGTCGGCAAAGTAGTACCAATATTATTAAATGCTGTCTAATAAATTAATTCGAGTTACAAAAAAAGTTCGAAATGTGACCGGCGACCGTTACCACAATTTAATAGCATCACAACAACATCATATGCGCTCAAGTTACATGCTGTTCTTGGGACCATTTCCCGGATGTTATCGGAAGCTTTTCCTTTTCGTAGCTCACAGCACTCAAACGGAAAAAACTAACTTCTGTCTGACAACCTCAATTTTCACTTTCGATTTCGAATACAAACTGCTTACAATTACTTTAATTTATTTCCGTTCTCATACCCAGATCACCGTGGTTTAGTTATGAGCTCATTGCAGTAAGATTTGATGCCATCGATGACCCCAAGGATTATAAAACACCGTTGTGCGCTGGACTTAATCATTTCCTTCACGAATGCATCGCTTGAGCAGAACCGGATGTCGGTGTGTTATTTCAATAAATAATTGCATAATCACGTGCCTATTTAAGGGAAGTAATTATACTGTAGTAAATTCATAAACGAAACGAAAGATAGCATTATATGTAATTAAGGCGCTCTTCAAAAATAAGCGAAGTACGAAGTAAATGGTTTGTACATGCGCAAATGAAACTTTTTCGTTTTATTACACTTCCCACAATTGTTTTATGCTTTGTTTTAACCAATTTGGGCGGTAATGCGAAGTTCGGGAGTGGGCCGTTTTATAAAGTCGGGAGTTGGCTGTAAGAATAGTTGCGTTTTATGATAATTCTACCCTTGTAATAATATTTACCTATACTATATATATATGCGTATGGACAATGTCTTGATTTCAATAAACTACAGTATAATGAAGCAAATCTGACTAAGAACGGTTTTGGCATTGAAATGGCGAAAAGGTCAATGCACAGCCGGAATGTATGATATTCATCTGACAAAGCGAATGCAAAGAATTAAAAATGTACACATAGCAAGATCCGAACAAATCCCCAACAATTCGCATACTTAATTAGCAACATTCAGTCAGCATCAGTGTTATTTACGATGCGGCAGCAGATAACACACTGTTATTGTTCATAACTGTTATTGTTACTGTTATTGTTATTGTTGTTATTATTGTTCCTACTGTTATTGTTCATAACACATTCAGTTTAGCCGATTGATATATCCATTCGTGCGTCTCACGGTGCGGCCTAAACCAAAACTCCACTGGACCATTATCACGCGGCTTGACGTTTTCGAAAGTGAACCGATAAAGTAATGATCCCACAGTGTTCTTGTCCGGAATTCGACCAAACTGAACCTGCATAGGAATCCACGTTGGTGGCATGGAAGACGTGTACGGCTCTTCCTTCGGCACACTCAACCATTGTCCCTTATGACGCCACATGCAATGAGTGTGCAAATTGTCCAATACACGCTGCGATAGCGGCATGCGAACCGCGACGGCAAAGGTCGCCGAACCACCTTGTGTCACATTTTGCGGGACCAAAGACTGAGCGAATATTTCTTCGGCACGGGTGATCAATGGCATTAGACTATAGCGTCGAATTACGGCTTTTTTTACCAATCCTTCATAGCACACAATCTCGCCAGTGGACTGCAAAGTGACGTTGAAAACTTGAAAAATTAAAGTATCACCGTACTGAGCGAAATGGTAGCGCTGATTGTTTACGTTCTCCACGGGCAGCCTTTCGCCCTGTTGGAACAGCGTTTGGCCTTGAAAAGTCAAAGAGATTGCCCGGGAGTTTCCTTCTGGCGATGCAAAGCAAGTGAAGGAGACGTTCTGACCAAGACGCGGACGTCGGATGATCACTGCGGGGTCGTTCTTTTCCAATAGAACAGCTTGAGGAAATTTCAGGGTCACTTTGTCATCTTCCTGGTACTGAACCGCACGGGCAATTATTTCGTCAACTATAATGAGAACAGCGCTTTCTTTCCGTTTGACCAAACCGAAATTGTCGCCAGGATCGACTTGATTAATTGTAATACAATTATCTTAGCTACTTATGTTACCAAATTGGAATTGGTAGAACTATGGTGATAAGTTCCTGTTCCTTATCGAGTCTACTTTTAGTAGTTTATATCAGTACTATTTAATTTTTTTATTAAAGAACAGTGCACTAAAGAACCTGTATTTACATTTATTTGTTTTACATTTTTATTAGTAAATGCTTTGCAAAAACCAAAACTTACGCAGTAAATTTGCTTTGCTGTCTTTTTGCACAGTGCACGTGCTGCACCATCGGTACATTACACCCAATAACACGGCATGGAATACCAATGTGAAAGGCAGTGGCAAAAACATTTTCCAGGAAATATATGCATGGCGATGGTATTAAATAATAAGTCTAATAATTTATAAAAGTCGTGTTAAAATGAATACAATACGCCGGAAATTATCAGTGAAGCATCAGGAACCGAGCGACGTACTGGTGCTTCCAGATCGCTCGTACAGTGACTATCCAGATATCTCACAGGAAATATATTTCTTTGTAGATTTTAAAAATTCGTAGTTTAAGAAAACAGGATAAATCAAAACAGGCACAAAACATACATTATACTAAAACATAGTATTATAGTAAACGTATGCATGCAAGTTCTGCTGTTTTTATTTGCAGACGTTGCTAAGAGGCACATGAGAACTCAACGATTACGAATAATAAATTAATTTAAATTTTAAATGAGTAAGTACTTATGTGCCTACCTGTTTTTTTAATTTCCTGGCATGGTTAGCTCCAAATATCGTTACGGATGTGATTTTTATATTAGCTATGTAAAGTTTGAACGGGGCTAATACTTTGTGTATTAGTTTTAAAATGAAAGTATACTTCAAAACACGACACTGTAGATAGATACATAGTATGCGGACTGCAAATGACCACCGGGCAGTCACTGACAACGCTATCTTCAGGTTTCTTACTACAAACGATTCAGTGTGGAAATATTCAAAAATATTTCAGCGCTTAAATAAATTAAAATATGGACGCTACAACTAATAATATCTGGAGAAAGAAACGGGGACATCCCGAGACGGCGAGACCTGTGTTTGCTAGTAGTAGGCGGTGACGGCCATTGTTTGTACATTGGGTATTAATTCTGCATACAGTTTTGAGTTTATTTTTGCGCGAGGAATGAACACAGTCAGATACGTATTTATCGAAGCCAAGAAACGTCAACGGTCAATTTCATCACCTAATGATACAGCAGCGATCATAATGCACAGAAGACAATAAAATAGTATAACTGTATTATACCGATTTCAGGCAGACATATTTAAAAGGATAGAGATTTCATGTTGAACCTGTATAATTTCTATAGTGCCATTTTGTAGATCACGAAACACCATTGAAAAATTACTTAACAATCGTTAGAATTCCCAGCGGCTATTTGAAAAATGGTAACTTCGCAAAGAGTCCGGTGGCTGCTTCCTTCACGTAGTTGACACCGTTTTCCACTTGCTTCATAACTGCAATTATAAAATACAGGTTTTTATTAACCGGAGAATTGTAAACATTGCCCATGATGCCGGCATGTAAATTAATTACGAATCTAAGTATAGTAAGTCGGCAGACTGTAGATAACTTTACGGATGGACAGTAAACATGCGTTGTTCTAATATGAGCACTCTGTTCAGTATGTTCTTTGTAAAATTTCTTTAAGAATCTATGCTGCCTTGTCTACATACGTCAGTTAAGCAGTGTTAAAAAAATCATATAATTGCATGCAAAATTAGAAACTCTGGACGCGTGTACTCCGTTATTTGTCATATGGATATGCACAAAAGGACACATCATTTTTCGATACTTTGCTGTCACTAATTCGAACTGGAAAAGTTTTCTAAACGCAGTCATACCTTGTAAATAATGCACTCGTACTGTTGATAATAATAAGCTGATAATAATAATTTATGTTCGGCCTGCGAATCTTACGTGGTAAGTCCTCGTCTGCCATGGCCGCTTGCTGGGCCAGTAGAGCTTGGTCGGCTTTTGGTTTATTGAGGCGACCTTCCATGCCCGGCATTGCGGCAGGTTCCGGCTCAACGATGATCTCCTTCTTTTTTATTCCGTACTGCATTTACAAGAATTCAGTGTCAGATTTTATATAATGATCCAACCGTAAAAGAATACTAGTTATAATATGACAATTAATAAGGTAACGATAAAAGCATAATTTAGCGGCATCATGTATAAAAATTAGGTCCATAGATTATAAACATAACAGAGAAATATTCAGCTCACTGACCTTATCGCGGATACCTTGCCGCATTCCTTCCCGCTGTTCCTCCATCTTGCGGTGCTTCTCTTTGCGCGCAAACTCGGCCTCCTCGCGCATTTTCATCAGTTCAGCTTCCTCCTCAGCCGTGGCCCCGCCCTCTTCCTTTTTCTCCCCGTCCCCTTCTCCCGTCAGTTTTTTCACTTCACCCATCTTACTGGAAAGCATTTGTTTGGCCATAAACTCCATTTTGGCGGTGTAAGAGTGAAACGATTTCGGAGAAAAAAATCCCGTGCGTGTGCTTCTACAACAAAAACGTTGTATCCCAATGCCGGTAAAAAAAGGAAAACGTGACCGGTGTTCAGTAGTCACGAAATACTATTTGCATAGACTTCCTTTTTTTGTCGCATGCACTTCTGCCTATTTGAACGGAAACATGTATGTACAGTTCACTTTTATACGCTTTTCAGGTTGCGTGATTATTAAATTATTGGTGATTGCTTTGCAAGTAACAAAGCTCGGGAAAGAGCCAGAACGAAATGATGTCATGACAATTTAAAGCGTATCAGCTGATCCAATGCATGTACACCATCAAGTTTTATTGGCGACTGCATTTTACAGCTGGAAAGGATAAAGCATATATCTTTTTCAAGAAACCGTTTCTTAATTCCAATCATCATTTTTTGTAAACTTTGTTTTATTATATCACAGTAAATTTATTTTATAATAAATACGTGCACCATTGTCAACGTATGAATAAGTTTTTTTAATTGCACTTTCACTGTGCTGACGTTCATGATCATGCATGCCAACATCCGGTTGTGATTCATGGATGCATTTGATTGAACAATTACCGCAACGGCTATACATGATATAAATAATTCACCGGGATCCATTGTGATAAACGTGTTGATAATCCCGTTCTAATTGTAACCGTGTGGATTCGCATTTCATTTTAATCCCGTGGAAACTGGGAGACGGCGCTGTTACGGATTGCTGTTATTGATTATTGCCACATGACTCCTAACTGCTTTTTAACACATTGTACCCTGAAAACGGAACGACTGTCGAGCGCACATTACACAGTACAGAGTACACAGTAGCGGTCCGCTCAATCTTTTCTGCCGTTTTTCGACAGCATAGCGCCCAGCCAAATATAGCCATATACTGTACTCGGCTGAAGCACTTTTTAGCATTATGCAAATCCGTCAATATTCAGCCAATATGCATCCATTATTCACAGACTTATTCAGCTGAATAAGTGCTGCTGACAAAGAATAGCCGGCCAGTTTAGGTATACGGGTATCGTTTACGGATGCAGCGTAAATAATCCGCTATTCGCATGTACGTCCAATGTGATTGGGGATACAAAAGTTCCATAATTTAGCGCAATTTTAACAACTGTAAAACATTCATTTCTGCCAGTAATACCGCCCATGCATATGTGCTTTTTCATGTCGTATTGACAAGAGCTTAGAAAAAATTAAAGGTTTGTAAAACGTAGAACTGTACCATACAACACTGAGAATTCTGATAATTTGTGCCTGGGTAAAAAGCGTCGCAACGAATGCAATACAGCTTATTTTCCTGCACATTTTAAGCGGTTTGCAGTTCCTCTGTGCGGGAGATGTTCATGCGTTTGAAAAAACACAATTTTTTTAATTAAAAATATTCAGAAACATTTTCGGCTACGTAATTCAACTAATATATGGCTTTTTTCACTGGTGAAAATTATTTCTGCCAGTCGGGCGCTCAAGAAATGATTGTTGGTGCCTAAACTGTTGCTTACCTTGTGTTCAAGAAGAGAATGTAAATTCCCAAGTACGTGACCTTTACACGAAGCAGGCAGGGAGTCCAGTTGAAGAAGGGTAGGTGAATATATTTGCTAGTAAAAACGATTAATATCCGGGCATTACTCTTCGGATTCGGGCTGGGAGAGCGCTGCGACAACAGCGTGCCTATCCGGGAACAAGAGCATTAAAGTCCCCAGCACTTGATGCGGCGCGCGTTGGCCAACAGCGGACTCCTGTTTGCTGCGGATAATCGATACATACTTGCTGCAGTGGTAGCGCAATGGAAAGCGCGGATGTTTTCACTATACTGCAGCAAATTGCATTCAGTTTGCTGGATGCTGTGTGGGAGTATAAGGGAATAAAATGCCAGTGATGACCGGGTGGGGTAGTGACATAAACGGCAGTTACCAATATCTGTAGTATATGACACCAGTTTTAATTTTTTTGTCGGCTTAAGAGTAATAGTAATAATACAGTCCTATAGTAATTTAAATGTACGACTGTACGTACGTCGTAATGCTGCTTGTGTTGCTGTAATGCTTATTGTGTTTGTTTAAGTAATTTTTGTTAACTCGGTGCCTGACTTACCAGCCAGGATTTGCAAGAAAATGTTGTCATATAATAAAAGATTTAAAACATTTCTACGTGTTTATAAAAAAATAAAATACCGCCTTTTCTTTTGTCGCATCACGAGCAGGTCAGTTATTTATCTGATTACATTTTTATTATTTACGTACTTTTTTTAATTTTGTAACGGCTGCGATGCGAAGAGATTTGTTCATAAACCCATGCAGTATTTATACGGAATTGAATATCTGGAAATTTTTAGTACTCTTGGATTTGTGTTAGTGGTCAAGTTATCACTGAAAAAGTACTATTGGACATTTCCGCCGTCTGCGTATTGATCGGCTGCTGATCAGGCGTAATAAGAAGAATCGCAGCACTTCCGTTTAGTCAACATTATGCTCTGCATATCGATCCCTATTTGTGTATTCCCAGGGATGGCGCACTTTTCTCTGAAGACACACGTACGCTTGCTACGTGTGCATGGAGAACATCGACAAGATTCGTTTTCTTAAAGCGACTAATACCAACCGGCTTAGTCGCGCTTTACTCTGAACAAAACCGCTTCTCCATGAGCTGGTAAATCCTTAGACACATACGATACGTACAGATGTACATTACTATAATTATGTACTGCACTGGCGATGTGTTACAAAATACAGTAAACAATATTATGTATTACAAAATAATGGTTTTCCATGTAGAATACTGTACATACCAGTGTGTGAAAACATGTACAATACACTCTGTATACAGTAAGTACTTAACTATTTTGCTACCGTATATAATTACTATCAAATTTAAGTCTTTATATAATAAATTCGACTGCTACATTACCACGCCACGCAATTTGCAGCCCGGGAAGAATTATTCTACGATTATTCAGAAACACGGTCTAGTAAAGTCCAATAAAAATTTATCGTATTGTACGAAAACAGGTACCTACAGCTTTTGTCATGCTACTTTATTTTATTAAAAATATACTTTATTTTATTAAAAATAATATCAATCAAACAGGGCTCACATTGCTCGGCAGTTCTGTATACTCATACGCAAGCAGCAGAGGGGCTTTAATAGCACACTGCTATCTGTATAATCGTCAAACAAATAAAACAAAACGAACAAACTATAAGAGGTAAATTGTTTTAAAAGTGGTTAGCCTTTGTAACGTTAAAAAATTTGCGAAGATTAACATGGTACCATGGAATGCAGTGTCCAGATCGGCATACGCAATAAAGAATGTTGAGAAATCTAGCACGTGATTTCCCGAGGAGCTCATGTCATAACAAAATCAAGAGCAATCAGGATTGGTACTAGGGTAAAAATTGTTGCAGATGCAGCAAGGAAATGTTCTGCACAGAGTGGCAGTGGGAATAGAATCCGCTGGTCCAAAGTACGTTTCGCATTGATTCTTACATGCTTGTTCGACAATGTTATTGCCGACTGATAGGGAGTTACCCGATGAGATATATATGACCAAGTCGGTGCAGATATCCGTCGCGCCGGGCAATTTCCATTTGGTGGTCAGCGATGAGGGTGCAAGCGTAGTGGCCGCTGCGGTTGTCGTGGTGACCTTTGTTGTGGTCGTTGTCGATGTCATCGGCGCTCTCGTTGTCGTAATCGCCGCCAGGGTCATCCTGGCTTCGCTCACACAGACGCAGATACTCAGTGCAATAATCACAGCATACATCCATATCATGGAAACCATTTTCCACTTGCTTGAGTTATTCAAATTATGATTAATTTTCTATTCTCCACCGGGAAACAATGTAAAAGCAAACAGAGTTCGCAGTCCTATTAAACCAGAAGTATCGAAACACGACTTGGTTGGGTTTTTTAAAGGTTAATCGGTGGTTTTTATAAATTATACGAAAGCGGTACAGAAATTTCGAAAAGACCACTGCCTAAATCAACATCCGATTTATAATGTTACATAAAATTATTTTCCAGTTGTATAATGTTCTCCACCTTAGGCGGCTGTATTACGTTGCTTCCGGTCTATTAAGACATGAAACAGTAAAATCGACAATGCAAACAGGCTACCTGCAGTTCCGCATTTGCATACGTTCAGTCAAGAGTGAATATGTATTCAGATGTGATGCCACAAACTGGTAGTCGCACATGTAAAACTCATAGCCATATAGATATTAGACTTGTCGCTACATGCACAATTCTCGAGAATGCCTCACCATAATACATACCGCTAGCGATGCTTATGTAAAGATTCCATTCTTTTAGAATAATCGGCTCGATTTACGAAAGTCGGTTTAAGGAGAATTTATGCCGTGTTTATATATCAAAAATAGGATTTACAAAATTCTACAGCTGTAATAAGAAGGGTCGCAGGATCGCAGGGCGGAAGTTGAGCAACATTAGCTGCTGTAACAAAAAAAAAGAACATTATCCAAGCTTTTTCGTTGCCACATGGGACTTATATGGCGGGCTAGTTGGTGATCTTTCTAACTTACTGCCACCTCTTAGAGTAGTCCTCATCTTTCGTGTCCAAGATAGCCACTGGACACCTTGGCGGTCTATTACTCGTAATGATCGCATGCTGCTAATTTGTTGTTTTCACAATACAATATGTATCGGGAAACGCCACTGGATTATGAATAGAGACCAAAACTTGTCAGCGGTTAATAATTGCTATTATTCTCGACAAGCCAAAATGTGTAATGGGGCCCGGGCAAATATTAATGTTGCATTCTTTTATTAATTTTGTGACTGGGTATTTTATGTAACGCAAAGATCTTGGAGACCACAGCCAAATATGATTGATAAAAACTATATAACTGAAACAAGTATTGTATTTGTCTGTTTTGTTCTTAAAGGTCTATTCCTGGTAATCATTAATTTGCTTGTTTGTCGCAATTCGGCCGGATATTAATAGTGTTTCACAGTTCAGTAAGTTAATTCATATTATCACCTCACTGTTCCTATGCTATTAATCTATAACCAGAAAGAAATTTTTCAAAAGTTGTTTGTGAACTCCGATTCACAGTAATACTGTATTCGAACCTTATTGTAAGTCCACAGATATATAAAATTTTAGGTATCTGTATTATGTACCTCTGACAACAATTTTTGCTAACTTTTCATTTTACCTTTATTAATATGTTCACAAATTCTTAGTTGTACCGCACAAACGTATCGGCAGCTGCATAAAGCTACAAAGACATGACAATTGACAAGAGATTGTTGCAAGCTGTATGAGAGGCGAAGTACGAAAAACAGGCACCAAAGTGTCGTAAAAACAGTGAAATGTGCAACAAAAAGAGCGCACATTAACTATTACACGGGAAGCGCTGATAAAGCTACAAAGTGAGATAAACGAAAAAGAAAAAAGGCCTGACAAGGTCACAAAGCTATAAAGGTCACCAAACGCTACTTTACTAGCAAGAAGCGAAAGAAGTACAAACGCAGCAAGGTCTGGATGGGCACAGGCTAGGCGGAATGGGTAATGCTCCGAGATAAATTGTGCACTGGTTTTTGCAAATATCGAGCATCAGATCAGTGGACCCGAGTGCCATACTGGTGCCGGGCACGATGATTACATTGGCGCAGATATTTGTACCGGGAATATTCCAGGGAGCAATTGGTGGCAGGGTTGGTAGTGGCGTCGTAGGGGTCGGTTTCGTCGTCGTTGTCGGGGTGGTGGTTCTTGTTGTCGTCGACGGGGCGGGTGTTGTCGTGGTGCGTGCCGGTGTCGGTGCGCCGGGCGGGGGCAAGGTGGGAGCGGTGCCGCGGGCCACGGTGGGGTTAATTATGGTGGCCGTGCCGGGGGGTACAACACCTCGACCTGCATTTACCGACTGCAACCACAGACTAACAACTAACAAAACATATGCCAGAAAGGTGAATCTTTCCGTGGTGCGTGACATTCCGATGCTGGTCAGTTGTCGGTGTGCCATGATGGACATGCAGTTGATACTTTATAACAGAAACAATACTAGCGTGTACTTATTATAGATACACATTCCAGTTTACTGACAACGCAAAACCAGTGATTTGGATATGTAATACCACGAAACGGCCTGGCTTTTTAAATAATCAAGTTTTGTTTGTTTTAATTTGCATAGCACATACATGCGATTACGTAAGTACATGTTGTTCATTTTGGCGCGATAAAAGGTGGAAATTTTCCAGAATGCCGCCTCACTTCAATAAAATATACTGCAAGCAAACAAGCAGTTATGGCCCTTTGTTCACGTGCTGACATTATGCATGTACGTAAGTACTGTTTGTCGCCTAACTTTTATGGATAATTACAGTACATTTTAAAAGTGGCCATAATACGCTGGTTTCTGCAGTTTTGTTCCGTATTAAATTTTATATTACCCAGTAATCGTAGTGACGTCGAAGTTTATAATGAAGCCAACGCCTCATGTTTTCGGAATAATACGAGAATAAGTGCCGCACAAAACGTTTCCAGGGCTGAATTTTATTATTTTGCATCCACGGTTTGCACACATTTTGCGAAATAAAGATATTTATATCGAAACTGGATGTGAGCAGAACCAAAAGGTAAAAGTATACGAAGTACAACGTTGTTCTACCGGTACCGTCACTTCTGCCTTACAGTTGTTAGAGTACCTGAATGTTTCGCAAACATTCCTGTTTAGAATACGAGCTATTTCATTGTCCGCACACTTTTGCTATTAATAGCTTTATTCGTTGCGTGCACTGATCTCTTTGAAAAAACACAGAAGCTGCACTTGCAACCACCGTAAAATATTACAAAAAACTGCGGTCAAATTTATAAACGCAAAAATTCCATATCCCATAAAAACCGCAAAAAGCGACACAGGTATCCGTGGCCGAACAGTTGGATAAAACAAATAAAATTACCTCCACAGAAAATTAAAAACATTCCCCAACCTTCCAGTTCAAAATTCGAAAACCAGAGAATGACTCAAACTTGTTTATTCCGTCAAACCCGAGCACTTTACGTAGCTACAATTCAGCGGATACCACATCGCGCGACGGCGCTGCAGCAGTTCCGGTGTGATAAGCAATGTAGTCTCTCCGAGAACTTTGGTCCGGCGAAAGAATCCGTGTTTACTGCACACCGCCACATGCAGCCAGCCATGAGCCGTGTTAATGTCGACTGCCGGAAAAGATACAGTCTCCGCAAAGGTGGGGTTGCGCGATTTCTTCACTGTTTCCGTTTTGCGCTTCAGCCGCTCACAGTGTGGTTCGTACAGGTACAGTTTAACGTAAGGATTAGGGAATTTCGGCTTGGTTTTGCTGAGGGATAACAGATTGCGGCATGCCAGAACCGTCACGGTCAATGATTTGATCCGTTCTTCAAACGTCACTTGCAGTTTAATATCACCAAATGTTTCCTATCAAAACCGTAAAAAATCAGAAAATAAATCGCCAATAGTTTTGAAAAAAAGCAAAAAGCTGACAATACAACATCATGCTAATATTTACGCAAAAAAAAGGTATAAGTCAATAATAAACGGAGAATTAAAGCATTAATTAAACATAAGCAATTATAAACGACTCTGGTTATATTTAGTTGTTAGAACATTTTTTGCCTTTAAGTTTTCGCAAAAATTTGGGTATGGTCACAGTAGGAACACCGTAATTCATCTTTATATATTATTTCAAAACACTTGGTAATGTGCGTCGCAAAAAAAACAATTTAAAACCTTACCCGCGCAATGTGAACCTGTTGCTCTTCCATGGCACTACCACTGCCGACAGTCGATATCGAAATACCATCCAGTTTCGGAGCTCCCAGTTGCTTACTCATTTCCGGATCGCTTCCGCAGATAAATCGCGGCGTAGAGGCCACCAGCCCCACATTCTGATTGAGCGGCGCAGCATTCCCCGATGAAAGCAGAAAACCCTTTCCAGCAGCAAGGCTTTCCTCATTGCCGTCCGTCGGTGGGGTCTGCAATTTCCCCCGCACTAACGGGTCTCGGCCGGCGTCGCGCGCATCAACAGCAGCAACTTCGGGACTGGAATGAGTGCGGCGGGGTGTGTGCAGGGATTTCGGGGGCGTGTGCGAAAAGATGGCCTCACTATGAATGTGCATCAAAGTGGCTGCTTCATGCAGAGACTTTGTGATCTTGTCGGCTAACGTCGGTCGGTGAAGTTTGTCAGCTGATTTTGGCTCTGAAAAAATCCAGATTAGCTGAACCCATGAAATTCAGATCCTAAATCTATGTAAGAAGCGCTAATAAATAATCGAAAATCCAAAAGTTTAATAGTTTTATAAAATATAAACTCGTCATTTGTTGCAAAGCCGCGGCAAGAAAAATACTACAATACCGCTTTAAAATTAAATATGCTAACAATAAATTGAATACTACCAACTCTATTCAGTATCTGCTACGCCGGTATTTTCACAAATGAAATCCACGTAATTTTGTCAGGGAGGTTGACCAGAAATCACCTTAACGAATCAAATTTCTTTATCAACGTTAAAAGCATTGTTAAGATAACTGATCAGCGACAAACGCTTATTTGTACATCTGTACATGCAAGTTACTAGTTACACAACCATTTCCATTCGGCATCGCGGAAAATGACAGAAAATGTCTAAAAAACCGCTTACTAGCTGCGGGAAGTGGACGAAGCGGTCCGTGAAGACTCTGCCGGAATTTCGGACTGCAGATAATATTCATGGACGGAATGTGAGCGGCGATGAAGCGTTCTTCGGAATTCCTGGCCCTGCCGTGGAAATGAGGAATATGGTTATCCATATTACCCGGCGTGCTTGGTAATTTCCGTCCGTCGTCAATGGCCCGCTGCTTCAAACTCAGCTGCAAACTCCGCTTCAGCCCCAAGAGCGAACGCAGCACAAAGGCGGTTGTGGATATGCGCGGGATATTGTCCTTCCAGGGCATGGACTCCCCAACAGCGTTGCGGAGTTCCCTAGAAATTTAAATCATATGTGGTGCGAATCGGAAACGTTCAATTTTTTTCAAAGCTGGAACGCAAAACAAATTCACAATACATTTAGAAAAATAAGCAGGAGGAAAAATTTATTCGCCAGAAAACTATTGTTATTTAATTAAATTGTAATTTCAGTTTTAAAATTTCAGTATTTTGTCAATGCAAAAAAATTGATCAATCCAGAACAAAGATTCGTCGCTTCAAACAAGTATACATTGATATCGTAATATCTTGAAATTTTGGATCTTGTATTCGCGAGTGCTGTATTACCGGGAAAATCTAAGCAGCCCATACCATTCTTTATCACACAGCGTACACATCCATTTCTTCCCGTGAACAGATTGATTGCGGCACGCCTTGCAGACGCGCCGATGGCACGATGGACAGTTGGCGCCCGTACTGAGCAGACGCCCAAAGACCGTCATGCACAGCACACAGGAATCCTTGGCCAATGAGAAGTCTACGCGAGCATCCCGCGCGCGCTGCAGTGTCTGGATTTCATTCTTCAAGGTGCTGCAATATCAACATGAACCAATCTACCGTTCTGTTTTGGGTCGAGTAAAAACTCTAGCGACCATAGAATGCTCAGTTGCTAGACGGATGACTGTCGCTGATGGTTACCCGAGGCGCTCGTCATGCTCACGACGCAGTGTTTCATCCCGCTCCGCCACAGTCCGAATTGTCTCCCGCTCTTCTTCCGTCAATTTTTCCAGGTTCTTCAGAACAAACAATGTGATGTGCTCGTTCAAATGATCCATCAGTTAGAATGGTTACGAATCAGAATCCAAAAGATGAGAAAAGACCAGAAAGACTAAAGAGGAACCAAAAAAACTGGAAATAATATGGAAACGGTAGTAAATTTAAAAAAATATTTCTTGTCAAATATCTTGTGAACGTCCAAAAATAAAGGGGAAATCCTGCGCCCAGACGGCCAGGCCAGTGCTGTGGCGCGTTTGCTTTAATACGTCATGCAGGCACAAAATAACAATAGGTACTGTACGTACGTAAGTACCGACTGTACTTACTTCAGCCTACAGGACGCAGTGCTACGCACTCGTCAGCGCGGTCAAGTGACCACGCTTGGACTTCTGCACTGTGCAATGTACGTTTTTAAAAGCTAAAGTTAAAAAGCTTTCAAACAGTTATAAGACGTAATTGTTCTTCTACACATAATATCAAGTCTGAACAATAAAAAAACTGCGACAGCCGCAGATGTGGTAACACTGGTAAGTACTGTATGTACTGTAATTAACGATAAATCTCTCATACACTCCAAGTTTACCGGCAGATTTATTTACTTAGCTGTAACTATAACACCAGGTCATCAAGTTTAAACGTATAATTATTACTGTATTGGAAAAAAAATATTGCAGTCACATAGGTACTTTGTTTATCGTAATATTAAACTGTGCTGTCTGTACATAGTACTACATATCTATATATAATATAAATATAGTATACTCTATCTTTATGTACATATAACGTAAATATTTGTATAGCTTTAAACTTGCGTCTATTGTCTGCAACTAAACTCACGCCGCGCGGTATACTAATTATGTTTTGCGCATTACTGCCGTGGTTGTTAATCATAATTATGCCGGGTTGTTCCCGATACACGTATGAAAGGATTTTTGTTCTTCTGTTTCCAGGGCGGTCCCCTTTCTTTCTGCTTTGTCTACGTAATTAGTCACAAGTTATTTTAATATGCAGTGCAAACAGAAACGTGTTTCCATAATTTTGCCCGCTGGAGTCGCGCGTCCGACCTTCGGCTAGTGTTGATTTCCCAGTCGTGTCATCATCCTGCTTACTTTAATCCGTATCCTTCTTTCGTGACAAAATTCATATGTCATGTCACGCTACGCAGGAAACGATGCAAATTGACATGCATTCTATTTTCATGGATATGCCATTGTTGCGAAGTGTGGATGTGTGCCTGCATCGCCAAGCAGGACATTCGTGTGCATGTACCGTATATAAGGACATCTCCAAAGTGTCAACGCTTGTATATGTTTTGTGGAAGCTGTTGTGTGCTGGATTAAGGTGGCCTTATACCCGGGTGTTAATTTGACCATTTCGCCAGCCAATATGGATCGGAGGGAAGTGGCCCGGGCTATTGCTTCCCACCGGGGGTGTGGGTCTCGTGTGGTGTTGCTATTGTTTCCAGTTCTATTACTGCTGGTGCACACCGGAAATGCCGCTGAACCGACGTCTTTGTCTGAGCGGAATGAGGTAAGCGGTTTCCGCAGCCGTTGTGGTGTTCGGAAAAATCCTTCATCGGATGTTTTTACGAAAAAAATGAATAGGTTAATTATTTTCAGTGGGACGTAAACAGTGGTGACACTCGCCTTTAAGTCTATGTATACCTATTACCAGAATGACGTGCATGAGTGTGCATTTACCGCATTGTCGACTATCGTATGGGTAACCCTGTTCGTCTGTTACAATACAAAGTTAAAAAGTTTTCGCCATATAAAAAATTTCTTACTGAAGTTGCTGTTAGATCATGATGTTGTTTTTGAATTGATATTTAATCGTTTTTCTTTACATTACAAGTTCATCGCATTTAATGTGCGCCGGTACAGCTAGTAGGCAGCGCCGCATCGATGACCTTTCCTAATAAAAAAAATGACTTACGTATTTGCATACTTATTATAGTTACGTATTTGCAAATTAGATGTGGCATGTTTTACGGCAAAGATATCAAAAACATATCAACAACGGCAACAGGATTCGTCCGTAAGCGTGCAGTACCGTAAATACATGTACTATACTAGAAGTACAGGATACAAAATAGCGTGTGCAATGAAAAGATTTGGAAACTTTGTTCGGTCACAGCAGACGAATTTTTTTAGTGATCAAAGTGACGTTTAAAAGAATAGCTGCAAACGGTAACAAATTTTACAAGTTGACTAATGGGTTTTTGATAGGCCAACTCGCCATCGGATAACGGCGGTACTCCTGCCCAACCGGAAGTACATCGTCAGCCCTTCGTTAAGCGTCCTTTCTGCAACATCTATGGCGGCTGTTCAGCCGCATACCAACTGGGTTCCCGTAAACGCTGGCTGTTTGCCCCTAGCGCTGCCGGTGGTGGTGGTGGTAGTGGTGCGTCATCCGCAGAAGGTACCTTTGTCCGTTCGACAAATAATGCGGCCAATATGCCCAGTGAAAAGGAGCTGGATGACGCACTAACCGTAATCGCCGCCGCGGAGGGCAGTTTCCTCAAGAATGCCTATCGAGCACGTCTTCGGGACCTATTTCGTCCCTAAATATAAAAGGTCAATGAGGCGGAAACTCTATTTTTAAACTGGGAAAGCATACCGATGTAAAGAGTGTACAGCGTACCAATGGTGTCACGTAGTAGTCGGCATTAAGCGTTTTTCCGTAGTTTTTGATTTGCATATGATCAATAAATCCTGCTGACGTACACTTTCCGCTCATCAACATGAATGAGCACGAATTATTTGAACAGTTATTTGTTAAGAACACATGCATGATAACAATTTGGGAATATATGGGTGGACGTTTGCGTAATATGTGTTAGCAGCAGCTTTGATTTGTTGCACGCATATTGGTTTACGGTGCATAATGAGATCGCTATTAAATGAAAACCTGCAGCCAGCATCTGTTGCATGTGATTATTATATCGCACAATACAAGCTACTACACTGGCGTTCCCGTTAATCATGCAAGAGACCAGTAAAACTCAAAATTGCTTCTCCTCGCAATTATTATACCTGCATGCTTTACAGACACTGCTAACCGCGTTGCCGCGAAATAAATTGTTCTGGAAATTGCTAATTTGTATCTGTAGATTACTTCGCTGTTGTGCTGTTTGATAATTTGCAACTACCAATGTTGTACCAATAACAGCTCGAGATTTGTAATAGCCATAATACAGGAATAGCTGAACTGTAAAAATTCTTTACTCTTACTCGCAGCATCAACGTCGAACTCTCAATATCAGAATACATTAATTATTAACCCATAATTAGATTTGGATATATGTATCTGTATATCAGTTCCCGAAGTAAATAAGTATATGACTCAGAGTTATATTTTGAACCTTTTAAGTCAATGTAGCCTTTCTTTGTTCGAATTCTGCACCAGCCCGTTATGTAAAATTATTATGGCCATTTTAATGAAAATTCACTGTCTGTGCTGTTTCAATCTATGTTATGGAAGGAAAATTTTGTGTGTCTGCTTTCCCCTACAGGTCACACAGTGAACCAGAGTTTATTTGCCTCATTGTATACGAGCAGCCTGCGTTGGCGTACATACACCTTCATGCGCACAGATTAAAATTTGTTTAGCTGATTATGTATATAACAAATTTTGTAAAACAACCGGAAGAAAAAAAGGTATTTACTTACTAGATAAAATATCATGACAGCATTTGAATAGATAAGTTCGATGTAATACACAGTTCAAATATACTAAAAGATACAAGATCAACTGGATAAAGAATATCCAGTGCGTTTTCATGTTAAATGACAACATGCAGCAACAAACTATAGGTTATGGCGAAAGCGACATTATAATTAATTACACATGCAATCACATTATAAATCGGACGATTTGTTTATTGGTTGCTGTTCAGGTTGCAGAACTTTGGCCGGCTGACAGCTCCACGTGTACGGTAAGGTCCGGATTGGAAAGGTCATGTTCATATTATACAGCGATCTGGTGGCTGGTTACTGCCGTAAAATGGCCAACTGGCGTAAGCGATTTACGTCTTTGGGGTACAGGTCATCCGACGGTAAAAAAGCGGCTACATCCTTGTCCATCATTGGTGCTTCCTCGCTCGCCCATCGTTTACTGTTGCCAAAACGCCCGGCCCCGCCGCATCCACCGAACCGATTGCAAAAAGGCCGCTTGGCCATCAGGAATCGCGTGTAAGGCTTGATCGATGGTTCAGGCTGCACAAAAAAAAGTTTGTTGAGAACTAAGGTTTCGCATCCACGTTAAAGTTTGTTGAGAACTAAGGTTTCGCATCCACATTAAGGTTATGTAGTTCCAAAATAGCAGTTACTCGTAGGAGTTCCTTATGTACGTACGTAATTACGTTTAGTAAATATTTTTCCGATTAAATCGTAATTAACTGCCGATTGAAAGAACTTGACCAGCTGATGTAAGTACGAGTATCTAGACGAAGTTCGTGCACTGACCGTTTTGCGACTATATTTAGCTCTTCATACCCCCAGATTTCCGATTTTATTAATATCAGATTAGCATTGCAGTACAGTGTGCATAAACATACAGGCAGCACTATGCAGGCAGCAGAAGTGCTAGCTTCAGCACCAAAGGAACTGACCTTTAATTTAATTTTATTGTGTTAATCGAACATGGTACGTTATTAACAAATTGCGAATATATTCGAAGACATCTGAGCTGTAATGGCAAATAAAATGCTTGAGCGCACGTAAATTCATTGGTTTTCTCGGGACTTGCAAAGTCACTGCAAATCAAATATCAAAAATTCGAAAAATATGTAAAGCTTAGACCGGTCCGATATTTAATTCTGGAGAACAATCGGAGGTTATACATGTGCTTGCAAACTTGATATAATCCTGATACCGGCAAAATATTTAATGTTCGGATTCTTAGCAACTTTACTCAGTACCTAATGTTTGGTATCACTGAAAGCGCAGAAAGGTCACGCTTGAAAATCAGCTAAGTTTAGAAATTAGTAACAAATGTCTATTCAAAATCAAATAAAACATGTACATGACTTGCCTCGGACGTATCCAAGCTGATGGGGAGGACGGCCATACCGGCAACAAGGACATCCGTAATCAGCAGTACACACACTACAACCTTGACCATCAGACGCAGAGCGGGAAACATTATAGCACCCAGGTGACCCGCGAAATGGCGCAAATTAGTGAAGATGTTCCACACAATGTTCGTGATCGCAGTGTTTATAGGGGAGCAACTAGCAAACTTGGTTGGATAACTGGCCATTTATCAAGGCTATTTATCCTGTGCGATCATGAGGCCATAATACCCGTTAAACGTCACCAATTCCCTGATCATTTCCGGTGGCATTCATTGCTACACCTTCTACCCTTCAACACAGCACGGGATGCGGACAAAAAACCGGCAATGGTGAACGCACTTCTTTTTGTCCTCACGGTGTATTAATCCCCACTCTACGCAGAACTAACGCATTTAGTTTAGGGATGTTCGTCGCCAAATATTATAGGATCAGCCAGGGCTAAAATTGCATAATTTACAATTTAATTGTATTTCTCGCAGCGTAATAACGCCATTTGTTTTTGCACTGCTGCACTACCACTGTTTTCCGGAATTTCAGGAATCAATTAAATGTGCATTTTTTTGAAATTGTTTGGTCTACCAGACTCTACTGTATCCACGAAAGAATATATCACAGAAGTGAATTACTTCGCAGGCGGTTTAACGTTGCCCCACACATTTTTCGATTTCGATTTTTTTTACTGCAGTTACCAAATAATGTCCTAGCTCAGTTACTTATTTAATTGCTTTCTTAATTTTAATAATAATTAAAACCAAGTGTTTGCACCGTTAAATCCCGTCTGGGCAGCATTACAAAAACGTTTACAAGTATCCAACGCAAATCAAAGCATCACTGCTGCAAAAATATCACAGAGCAGGTGAAAGAACCAAGCGCAAAAAGACCACAGTTTTACGAAATCAAAGCTCGTGCGGCAAATCAGGAAAGCCAGAAACAAAAGGCAAGAAAACATTCCCTGACGTTAATTATGAGCAAAATTCCATCCTGTATACTCCGTCCTGCAGTCCAATGTACATTTCGAAGGGTGTAAAGCACAATCCATATACCGAGCAGTTTGCTTTAGTTTCTCCATGTTTTTGCACAATGGAATGAGTCTAAATAAAAAAAACATATTGTGAATGCTACTTTTACTGCTAATTTATGTAATAATATTAGAAACGAACCGTTCTCAAATGCATGTCCTTATTTAATCTTTCAGTTATTATTACTGCGCATTTGCGCTCATGAAATCGCTAACATTTTTTGCTATTTACAGTAGTTCAATACTACGCTTTATGTCTTTAGCAATAATTTGAGTATAAATCGTTTGATTTAACAGATCACAATAAACAACTTCCAATGCGCACTAAGCCATCCACAGAAAATAAGAGTTCGTCTATTTACGTTTTTCGTTCTTTCATGCCTTTTCGAATCTTTCCCTAAATAAACTTCCGTGACTACTTGCCTGAATAGGATAGCGGGCGTATCGACGGTCCCACAAACAAACGGCGTTATAATTAGCGTGACCGGTGGCAATGGTGTAAGCGCCATCGGTGCAAAAGCAATACACAGCCGAGTCCAGGTCAGAATCCAGTTCATCCACACAACGATACTGCAAAAGCAAATAATCGCGATGGTAATGCCGTCATGACGAGCTCAAACATAAACAAGCCGAAATGTCCCCAATCTGGTTGCAGCAAATAAACCACGAACAGGAACCTCGGATGAATCTAAGCTGATTGCAAAATTTTCAGTTCAAAGTTAATTACGTTACCCAGTTCCTAAATTTTCCTAAAAGCCTGATAATTTATTTCAAACCACGTACGTATTTGATTTTAATGTAAATATTAGTTTTGTTATCTCATAAATATTCCTGCTTACCCTCAAGTAACAATTTCGTAGCATACGCCCACTGAAAGTCTTCCCTAAACCAAATCTACGAATTCCGAAAACCGCGATTTTAATTTATCAGTTGATCACAAGCGGCAACCGAAATACCGGTAATTGTATGTGTCCGTAATTTTCTGCCGAAATGCGATTAAATCATTACAAAAATCAACAGTATGTCAAGGCCATCATTATCTATAAACTATCTCTATATAATCATTTCCGGTACAGCTAAGCTGATAAAAATCACTCGCAGTTTTCAGGTGCCTTGCCAATAAAAGCGGTTCTCCTGGCTTCGCAAGTGCCAGACATAGTTGCTCCGTTGTGCCGAAACATTTACCCTAAAAATGCATTTATTCGTCCTGCTCGTCGTTGTACTGGCCGCTTCGGCCCACGCTGCCCGTAAACCGGCGGATCCGGAACCCAACCCAACCAAATGGTCGCAGATCCGCGGGACGGGCACACAGATTTCCGCCCGTGGCGAGATCATACCGGTGTGGATTATTAATAAGCACAAAGAGCTGCTGCGACGGGACTTCACCAACGGCGGATGGGCACTGGAGAAAGACAACGTACACCACGTGGGAGCCAGCTTTGACGAGTCAGCTTGGATTGTACTGGGCAACAGCTGGAAGGTGCAACGCGGACGAGGCGGTCTGTGGACGACGGTGGAGGATGCACCGAAACTGCGACAAATTGCTGGGCGCAGCTACTATGAAGCCATCGGTAAGGCGCGGGAATGGTTTGTCCTCTTACGCATTATCACCAGAATAAATAGAATTATCCAATAAGTTTTTGAGTAGTACTGTGTCCCGAAATCATGGTAAAAAATTGGAACTAACACTAATGATTTGTATAAAGCAGAAGTTAAAGAAAACTAATAACGCAAATCACTAAAATTTTAGTGGAAACCGTAAATAAATGTAAATGCTCGTTATACGAGTATTTTCAATGCCGGTAAAAGATATTACGTAACTATTTCCGTTCGTTCTTAAATAATATTTCTATCTTTTAATGCATTTTCATGCTCTTAAGGTTAATGCGATAAATTACTGTCATTCACAGGCGTGGACAATAACGAGGACATCTACCACTTCATTGAGGAGAAATGGCGTAAACTCCCAGGGAAAGCCGTGTACGCCGCTATCGGAATCGACGGTGCAATCTGGGTAATCAACCGTGAGCAAAGCATTTTCCATTGGGACTGGGCGCGCAATGACTGGGACGTGGTGGAGGGAAAAGCTGTCAACGTAGATGTGTACAACACCCATCGCGTCATCGTCAGCAACAAAGATCATGACATGTTCACCTGGACCGGCAGCAACTGGAAGAAGGAAGACGCCAAATGCGTGCAGGCCTCCATTACCAGCAACAACATTTTTTGCATCCGAAAGAAAGGAGCAGTCGATAACGAGATTTACCGAAACTGAATTTAAAAATGACTGGGGAAATGAGTTTTACCACAGTCTAACTCAACAAAATTAGCAGAAGAACTGCTCATACGAACGGAAATAAATTATCAAAATCACCGTTTTGTACATACGCAAAAGAGGAGCAGCATTCAATTTAATAAGTTCAAATCACATTCAGCGAAACCGGCATACCATCACTTACAGCTATAAGAAAAAGAAGAACAAATCCAAATTAAGTAATCTACCTCTCTTAGATCCCAAATCCGCAAGAGTCCGTCGTGTCCACCACAAATCAGTGTATTATCATCAGTAAACATGGCAGTGAGTATTCCAAAACCATGTCGAAATCCACGATTTAGATTGCGCAGGACGGCCTCTGCACACAAAACATCAAGTGAAAGTTGGTGCGCTGAGTCTAATTTTTCAAAAGGGCAGAACCTTAAAAACTTCAATGACACTGCATAGAAATCTGATTCAGAGCCATGCACTGCAAACCAAAGCTTGCCGAAACTTAGAAATGTACCGATAAAAAGTACGTATAATTATCATGTTTTACTATTAAACTGGAGCGTCAACATGCAGGGACGTAGCGCACCAGTAGTTCCAGTACGAAGATATAAACGCTTACCTGACTGGAAATCGAAAATTCGTAAATTGCACTGTTCCATAAGAAAAGGATCTCTTGCGCGAGTACTCAATCGTAAGAGCGGACTACGGGTTGTACCGGATGTTCCGATGGCCACTAGGGGAGCCCTACGATGCGGTGCCACACACCAAATCCGATCATCCAAATTTGCCAGCAATAGGGGGGATTTCTTATCTAAAAATAAGAGTGTTTCAATTCGGTATGCTAGCAGCGTGGCAAAAACGTCGCATGCACTTCATAATCCGAAAATTGCATGTATTAATGTTCAGAGAGAGAAAATTATCTGTCTCGCAACTTCCTTATAATCATAAGTCAAAACTGCATAATAATTAAACGTGTACTACCACTACGAATAAAATAGCACCATAAATAAGAGATGTTTTAACGGTGTAACAAATAGTTATAGCGACAAGTGATAGTGACAGTACTACCGAACTCAGAACTGTCCCTAATTTGGCGTAAGAGTACCTAAATCGAAGAAGGAGACCGTATGATCACGAGATCCACTAAACAATAAACTATCCCGAACTGCAACGGAATGGACATCCGATAAGTGTGGACGGCATTCGTATCTGCTTTGGAAAGTCGATTCAGCTTCCACGACAGTAATAGAGCCATTCCTAGAAAGAAAAAATCTCCTTACTAAATTTAACTTCTGAAGTAACAGCTCTGGAAAACTGCTGAAGTGATGTAAACATCAAGTGATAACTGTAACGGAATTAAGCAATACGAAAAATTTTAAATTCAAAACATGTAACTTCAAATTAATTAATCATTACGTTTCTCTTGCACGGTTGCACCAGAGATGTATGATGGTGCATTACGAACAACAAAAATTAGGGCATCAAATTTGTCATTGTCAAACAAAAAATCTTAGAAACTTCTTGTATAAATGACAACTGGTTGCGTGTGCTTAATTTTGAAAAAATATTGGTTCCTGAATTTTGGTGAAAATCAAGAGAAAAGTTACCAATGCCCCGCCACCAAGTATCGTGCGGATACCGTGAAATCCCCAATGTGTCGTGCGGGATCAGAGCATTCCAGGTAGCTCGTGAAGCGCGCCGCATCGGTCGTCAGAGAAGCATCGACAAACTGCCACGGGAGCTGCATTATCTTCTCTAGACTGCACGTCCAAATGCCCCGATCATCCAGCAGCACGCGATGCATGCAAAGTGGGCTCTTGTGATTAATGCCAGCAGCCAACTGGTATAAGTAGGTCGTTCGACTTTTCTTCATTTTCCGCTCTTTAAAGCCATAAATCAATTGGCACTGCGTTTTGGCTGGCAATGACTTCCACACCATGCAAATGCTGCAAAAGTAAACGCAATTAATTAATCAACGCCACACATGGCGCAAACAGTAATTTTACAGTGATCAGGTAGCCAGACTGTAAGACACACAGGGAGTCACACGAGTCACACCTTATCACGTAAACCCAGTGTGTACATTAGCTTTTTTACCACCAAATTAATTACCTTTTTACCACTGAATTACTTAATTGAATGAATCTAAAGACAAATGAATGCGTTTATGGAAGTCAACAGATTTGTCTAGCACGCACGATGCATGAGATTTGCTGGCAAATTCTACATACCGTTCCGTGTTTCCTGAGCCCATACTGGGACCTTGAACGGGCAGAAATGTGCTGCGGATTATCTTGCGCCATAGTATTTCATCCGCACAGAGGGATCGCAGTTCGTGGCACGCTTGCGATAGACGCCCTAGCGATGGAAGATCACAAAAGTTGAAAATCTTCAATACGATTTCCAAAGGCAACTCCAGCAAGCCGAGTGCGTCCTGCTGAATGCTTCTGGATGTCGACATGGACGGAATCGATGGCTCTCTGCTTCTCAAAGTAATTTACAGTGTTTACAAAACGCAAGGATTTTTCAACCTGAAACCATAGCTGAAAGTTTACATGGATTAGAATATTTGTATAGTAACTACAAAACAAGCATAAAATACATAAAATTGATAATAAATTAAGTGACAAATCACAAAAGTAAAACGAAAACAAACGAAGTAGCTTAGTAGTTTTGATGGACAGCCAGATCGGGTATCAGTTGCGCAAGTAAAGTGGTCGCCTCGTCACAGTGGTTGCCAGTGGTTGCATCGATTTTGTGAACAAAGAGCAGCACTCGACAGTTCTCCCCGGGCGGGAGTGCCGGCAGCGCCGTAGCGGAACGGCACTAGCACGGCATGGATGACTAATCACAATAATTTCGCAATCGTAACATTTGTCCACATTTTTAGTAACTTAAAAAATGTCAAATTAAGCCATTAAGGATTAAAGCAGCAAAAAATGTCATTTTTGTCTTTTTTTTTCGATTGAATGATACCGATATTCAGTTGCTTGTAATGCTTACCTGCCGACAGCTGCCGTTTATGTATAGTGACTTTATACTCACAGGTGTAAAAGCTGAATTCGGGACGAATTTTACCGTTCTTCATGTTGGTCTAAATTTTCCTTATTGTACCACTTTTAATATCTGTACATGAAAAATCATGCATTATCACAAGAAATGCTTTCGGAAGCAGATATAAATCTTTACTCACGGGGATTTGTTGATTCAAAGAAACATCCGCTGCTGTTAATGCGTATTTTTTTGCGTTCTTCAGCAAACAATGACTATTCAAGGTCCGGCACGTTTTGGTGATCTGTTCCATTGTCCATTTGTAACAACTCGTCTCTTTACTGCATTGCCATCCTTTGTGCATCGCGGCAGCCGAGTGCCAAAATCTTTGTTTGGATAGCTGGAGAACGTGGACTGGCATGTCGGTACGTTTGTGATAAATACTCTGATAATGCATACACTTGGAACTCTACGTTTTATTTTCCACCTATGGCAGACGGAATGTGCTGCATAGTGAAGTTATTTAATGGGCTTTCAGCACCAGAATCGTACTTTGCTCGCCAGACGTAATATTTTTGAAGCGGAAGTCATTATTCATTTGGCTACTGAATGACAGTTTTGTTCCAAAGGTCACGTATAAGAACCGCAGCGTATCTAGTTATCCTTGTATTCTGAAATAACTCTGGACGGATCGCATATGCAGTTATCATGCAAGCAGGCGGGGATAATTTTGGAATATGGGTCTCACATTTAGCAAGCTGTAAGATTGCATATGTATTTGCAGTGCACAATTAATTAGCGTTTACCAAAGTAACATGATCGGGCATGGTTTAAATTATTATTATTTAAATTTCCTTGTAGTGATCTGTTCGGCTCTAGCGCAGCTTACTCCATCATTTACTTCATCCTCCCAGTTACGGCCGTACAGTAGCGGTGCTAGCGGAAACACCGGTGGTCAACAATCGTACTCTTACTACACATCCAACAATGTCAACGCAAATGCCGGTATGCAGCCGCAGGCGTACAACTACAGCTATTCATGGCAAAGCGGAAATGCCGGCAGCGGAGGTGCCGCAAGTGGACAACGTCCAGCTAACAACAACAATCAGCAGTGGTCTAACGGCGGAAGCATGAGCAGCAACACCGGCAATCAAGATAATTCCTTCGATTATTCGGGTTCGAGTGGTGACTATCAGACGGGCGGCCCTGACAGCTATCAGCAAAATGGCGCCACGGGAGGTTCGATCTCGGTTTACTCCGCTAGCGATGCATCTGGTACAGCTAATCCTTACCGTCCATTTTCAGGGAGTTTTGATTCTTACAACCAGGCAGGATTGGGGTACGCCGGTGTCAGTGGTAGTGCCAGCAGCAGCGGTAACGGTAACACTAATACCCAGTCCCAGTCATCGGGACGAATGGCGCCCCCTCGACCGTTGGGGCCCATTCTTAACACAAACAATCCACAAACTCCCGGCATTGGGCCCGATAGTTATCAGCAGCCGACGGGGAGCAGCGGCAACAGGTTGCCCTTTGGGGGCAGCGGTGGATCTTCTTCCGGCAGCCAGAACAGTGCCTCGTTTTCCGGGTCGGGAGGAGTGCAGGCATCCAGCGGTAGTCAGTCGTATACCAACATTGCGGGACAGGGTGACGCGTCGGAAACGTGGCAGGGCGGGAATGCCATTTATGCCACTGGGTACACCGGAGCTCCGGGGGCTTGTGTGCTGGACGGGACTGATTACTATGTAAACATGCGGAATGAGCTCATAAGAGTCGATCCCACGGCGGAAATGGTAGGAACGGATACTGAAGTGCGGATTACCGGCAATGTACAGTATGCGTTTCATGGGATGGATGATGCGGTATGGTTTGTGGATACTAATGGACGAGCTTGGCGGCTTCACTATCGAAAAAATCCTGAAATGGTAAGCAAGCGCCAGCTGTAGAAATTTGTCTTGCAGTGGTCAATTCGATTATTTTGCTAGTACTTTGTAACAATATTTACTTAGTACAACAAAAATTATCTGATCATTTACGCCGTATATATAAATGAAACGAATCACAAAACATTTTAGAAACGAATATACATATAGTTATATATGTATATATATATATGTAAGAATTGCGTAAATTTTCACAGGTACCGAACCAACCACAAGTTCGTTTTACTCGCATTTCCCCACGAAACTGGGACGAAGCTCTGGCGGCAACTGACAGCGGTGACCTTTACCGTTACACAAACCATAAGTGGATCCGTGACCGCAGCGCATCGAACGTGCGGGATGTCGGTGTGGGGAACGACGGAATGCAGATGTATGTCGATCGAAACCAGCGAATATTTATGTGGAACTGGGAGACCAACGCTTGGGTGCCGTACGAAGTCAACGGAAAAGGTTTCGATCTGTACGATGCCGATCATGTCGTGGTGTTTGACAATTCCAACAATGTTCGCAAGAGAGTGAACGGACGATGGGTGGGAGATGCTGAGAAGTGCAAGGACGTCTTTCTGCGCGACGATTCATATTACTGCATTACGCCTGATAATTCTGTCCATATTGTGCTTTATTAGCGAGAAATTACACTTTGAATTTATGATACAATGTCCCGCTATTCGTGTATCCTGGAAGTTGTAATAATACTGCTCTACAATTTAACTGTGACTCTGCATATTTAATTAGCAGAAATTCAGAATTAATAACGGAGAAAATCCTTTTATTCCATACGCATTCATTAGCGCTTATCCGTTTAAATATTTTATACCGATTGCAAAATTTCCGAAAAAACATGCGACTACATAGAAGAGTCAAAAACCGAAAATTCTCACACGCGCAGCTCGTATTAACGCTGGACTGGCAAATCTTAGACATCATTCTTTCTAGTAAAACATAACGTGGAAACACGAAGCCAAAAATGCTGGCCTTCACTTTTTGGGTTTATAAAAGAAGTTCATATCACGGCCTACTGATATAAATGGCTGCAGCGGCATCTGCGTGAGCGGAGGATGTGGGATCGCTGGCTTTTTAAAATGGAACGTTCCATTCGTGTAATCCATATGCTGCTCTCCGATTCCGTAATCTGCCAAGTGCGTCTGACCAAATCCGGAAAAACCAGCCCCATTTACGTGACCATACTGTGCATACTGCGGGATCTGTCCGGCCGAGAGGTACGGATGGGAATTATAAGGTGTCGGGACAAGCTGTGACTGAAGCGGCGGTTGTAGCTGGTTAATAGGACCACTCTGCAGCGGACTCCAAGCAGACGGAGGGCTATTACCTGTAGCGGCAACGTTCAAATGTTAAAGTACGAATAGGGATCTACAGTGCTAATTTACGAGTGATACCGAAACATCAACACTACATATTCAAAATCAATAAAAATGATAAAAATAAATCATGAGTTTTCAAAGCAAGCACTGCGGAGTACGCTACTTACTATTGCTGTATGTCAGAAAAATTGCGAATTTTTTTCGGTAATTTCCAGAAAATGTAGTAAGTAGTGTGTAATAAATCGTATAACTCGATTGCTCGAATAAACACACTTACTCGGAACAAGCTGCACTGGCGGGAAAGGTGGACGCTGTGCGGAATTCGCAGTCCAGCTCAGAGCACCAGAGTGCACTCCTTGCAGGTTAGTGGAATTCTGGAATCAGTCCGAAATTGCTAACATCCAAATTAACGAATGCTAGTGATTTTTGCAAAGAAATATATATATATATATATTTGTATATTTGCAAGCAGTATGTTTGCAAGCAGTCAAGAAAAAATGTATATTTGCAAGCAATCAAGCCTATGTCTACGTCGAAACATTCAAGGACCTACCGTTCCTTCACGCGAATTCAAAAGCGCGTCGACTTTCATTTCCAATTTTAAAAGTTTCCGAAACATATCCTCCGTGCTCAGCGTCCCCATGTTTTCGTTGTTTGAAATCGCAGCTGTTATGTTATCAGTATCCAAAACCGTATGTATAGCGTCGCTGGCGTTTCCACTACACCATTCAAGGTGGCAAGAACAAATGATCAGAAAAATCCAGAAACGACGAACCAAAAAAGTCATGTTCAAAAGTGTAGATGAAAATTGGAATTATGAAATGGCGAAATTGGCACGTACGCACGAGTAATAATTGTACAGTAGCCAGTTCAAAGCGAATAATGACAGATACTCGTGGTCAGGTACTAAAAAATTTTATACATCTGCTGAAAATGTTTGATTTGGCAAAATTAATAAAGGCGTTCTGATTGATGCCACCGCCACCGACAGCGAATGCTGCATCGCAGGCAACGCTGAGTTCAATGGCAAGCGGTCTAGACTCTGCTCTACAATAAGCACTAGATATATTATAAAGCATTCCAATAAATATTTAATCATTCTCAAATCTCAAATTAATCATTCTGATGCTCGATCTTTATGCTTCTGTTTTCCCCAGAACAGTCAGAAACGTTGAAACAGGTGAAAAGGATAACTATAAGGAAAAAAGATTTTCTGTGGGCATGCAGTTATACAGGATTCATACTTTTCTGTTTTCCTTGACGCAGAAAAAGGTTTTTCTGTTTTACGAAGAAAACATTTGGAAAAAGTTTTGCTGTTTGGATTTTGCACACATTTTTTCTGTTTACAACATATGCGATTGTGTGGTTTTTTTCAGTTCTTGCTCATACTTCAAAAATCTGTTTCCGATTTCTCCACCCCGTTCTACTAATTTGAAAATAATAATAAGATTCGAAATAATACGAATGTACTTTCCGTACAACTATACGTGTACGCGTACATATACATATATATATATATATATATATGTATCTCTATATCTATATACTGTAGTACTGTATATAATTATTAACGATAACTATGTTAGGACGCAGGCGCGAGCGAAACTTGTATAATTACGTCGTGACTCGTGCCATTGTAATGGTACGAGTACTGTTACAGTATTTGTGAAAAATTTCGTGCTAACAACAAGTTTTCTGAAGTACATATTAAGGTTACCACTGAAGTTGCAACAAGTTTTCTAAAGTATTACAGTACTAACCTAATTATTACAATATTATATGCCGCTAAACCATTATGATTATGCTATACGTCACTGCCCACATTGATCGCCATTGGTCGAAGGCAAAACATTTCTGTTTTTGCAAATGATTTTGATTTTCCAAAACATATGCCAAAACAGAGGAAACATTTTCAAAACAGATGACTTTTTCGAAAATGTGTAGCATGTTCATACTTTCTGTTTGGATGCCCACAGAAAAACTTTTTTCCTTATCCTCATACTTTTTCGCCTGTTTTAACTTTTTCGACTGTTTTGGGGGGAAACAGATAAGTATGAATCCAGCATTACATATGCTACACATTTTCGAAAAAGTCATCTGTTTAGCAAATGTTTCAACTGTTTGGCGAATGTTTTGGAAAATCAAAATTCAAAGTAATTTGCAAAACAAATGTTTTGCCTTTGTCAAATGACGATCGATGTGGGCACTGGGCAGTGACGCAGCGGTAGTAGAAATTTCAAATACAGGATATACCTAAGTGTAGCATAATTAATCGATCATAATACTGCAACGGCAACTTCTAATTGTAAGCTGCCCCTAGTTGGTGGGGTTAATCCACCCGTACCACGATACAACGAGGTTTAATGGTTCGTTGGTAATTACCCAGATCTTAAGTAAATCACAATCCTGTCGAGGCAGCGTGAGCACGTTTACTGATTTCGCATCCAGAAAAGTTTGAACATCTCAGAATTCTGCATAACAGATAACATGAATTCACGATCTACTGAGATAGCCGGTACATCTGTTTCCGGTCGAGTTGTTACCAATGACAACCTGTAGAACATGATTCTACGGCTACAGTACGATTACGTACAGTGTACTACAGCAGCCTGTAATAATGTTGTTAGGTACGAGTAGTAATAATGTTAGGTATGTTAGTGTTGTAATACTTCTGAAAACTGTTGTCACTTGGCACGAATAATTTCACAGTAGCAGTATTATTACAGTGTCAAATATTAGCAAATAGCAAATCCCTGGCAAAATTGACCGAATTGTACCACTACGGCTGCCAGTAGCAAAAGCCGTTTCCGTTCGCGAAACGTATTTATTAGAAATATTTTGAGGAAATTTAGGCTGCAAATAGCAATTACAATTTTTCATGTTCACTTTGCAAAGTACTCGATCGAAAGCGCTTTACTATTATTTAGAATCCTGATTTTGGCCTGTGTACTAAATATTTCGTGGTTAATATAAGAACGGGGCGGAGAATCCGGGAAAAAGATTTTTGAAGTATGAGCGAGAACTGAAAAAGACCGTCCCAGCGCCCATTTTGGAAACAGGAAAAAATGTGCGCACGGGCCAAAACAGAAAAAATGTTTTCGATGTTTTCTTCGGAAAACAAAAGCTTTTTCTGTGCCAAGGAAAACAGAAAAGTATGAATCAGGATATAATACGCGCAGATACCCCGCAACGAGCATCAGTATCGTGGCCACGAAAAATAAAGCGGCCATGGCTAATTACCAGCACCGGCAATGTTATTCAATCGCCAGACTCAGCCGCTTCGCTCAATCCATTAATTTATACAGAAGGGATTTTTCTTCTTCGGGAGGTACTGTAATTTCTGTGTTACTGAAGATGGAGGATGGTAACGGCGCACGCAGGCTTATTAATTCTGGCAAAGATTAGACCGGCGCTTCGTGAAATGTCAAATGTAGTTTGTGCGTATCTTATCGACCGATGTAGAATGGAGCTCTTGAGGGAGACTCCGTCAGGATAGTCAGGCTATGGACGCCTTCGTACTATCGGGAGTGTACGCGTGAGCCAGCACTATATTGTCAGCCAGTACTATTGTTTAGAGCCATTCTCACTGTTATACGGCATTGCGAGCCATAGCACGGCAGCGTATGTGCTTGTACGAGTTTACTCGTGCAGTGCACTACGTACAACTCGTACATCAGCCACTCTCACTTGAGGCATAGTACTTTGCAGGTAGCCAGCACAGTCTTTACGACTGCACAGATCATTCAGTGATTTCCATGCTTGGCATTCCCACCTGTGTCATAGGATGATGTTTATGTTGTGGTTTATATATTTATGAGCCATAAATATTGGTATTTACGTCTTCCCAGTGCGTTTCCCGTATTTCCGGTAGAGTCGTAGGCTCTAGGCCCCTTACGTCGTGTACGGCCTAGATCGCATGGTAGCAGAGATCGTGTCGGTTCTCGGAAGAACAGCGTGTGGAGTCCCCCTCTGGATTCTGCGCGTTTTCGTCCCAGTCGACAGTAACACCGAAGCGAGGAGCAGCACCTGGTGCGCGAAAGACTGCTAAAACCAGTCACCAGGTCCCTCAAGGATCAGCCCAACAACGGATCGAAGTAAGAACCTTCTAACAGCCAAACCAACTCATTTTCCTTTTCATTTCTATCACTAACCTAATAACCAGCACTTTCTTTTAATTTAATTTTCCACATTATCAGAACAACAGCCTTCACCCAGAACAACTCATATTTAGTTTGTATAAGCCAGATTACATATCAAAACCACCTGTTGATATTAGGACTTCAGCCAGCTCTACATTGCAGTCCTACAGTTTACACATCCTTTTATTTGTCAGATCTCTATTTCATTCAACCAGTACAATATTTTTCCATTTATTTCAGTACGAATAGTGCTGTGAATTTGTGGAAAAATTAGCCATTAAACCCAGTGAGTTTCTTCGGAAATTCACTACTTATCAGCCAGCCGAACACGATTCGTTTCGTGTGCAAAAATACGTATTCTTGCAGCTAGTGAAATCTCCGTTATTTCAGTCCAAAATTCAGCAATTTTCAGCCAGCGCAAATCTCTGGATTTTTTTTTTCGAAAGGTTACAACCTTTCGGAAATTTCCGGGTATTGCGCACCGTTCATCGCTCTTGCAGGCAGGTAAATTCATGTTCAGCGTTGGAAAGATTCCAATCGCTGATAACCAAGCCGCCTTTGTATTCGGCTCGCTTGAATACAATAGCCGCTTAAAGCCATCGCACTCAGAGACACAGCAGAGAGAGGAAATTTTCAGAAGTCATTTCTGAAAAACATCCTCTTGCATCACTTAGCCAGACATCCAGGTAGCGAAAAACGCCGCTGATTTCCATCGATAGCGTTTGAAGTTACAGCCATTCCAAAGTCACCTTCTAATTTAAAATTAATTCAGCCAGATCTCACACAATTTAATCCTGATTATTACAGCATCATTTTCATAACACCAGTAAAAATGTTCAGACGGCTGAGAGACACACTCTCACCGTTTGTGCGAGCAAGCCAGACGCCAGAAATAACCGACAACGAACCGTTGTCAAGTGAGGCAGAAATACCGGCTCAGGAACGTGTTTCACATTCCAAGGCACAAAAACTGAAGGCAGGAGGACATGATGTCCCATACCACACTCTCGAGAGCATCAATCAGCAACAAGCATTCGCCAGAAGCAGTAAGGTGGCACGTTCCCCGGAACGGAAGTCCACTGGAACTGCACAGCCAGAAACTATTCAGGCAGAAATCCACGCTCAGCCAGATGATGCCGACTCCATCATTGGAGGTCAACATGATCTGCTAGAGCATAGCGATATGTCTCAGTCAGAAGATGAGCAGCAGAAGCCAGAAACCCCGTCAGTTCAACACGAAAATACGCATCAGTCACCATCATCAAATGATCCAGCGGCATATCACACACCACAGGAAGAGGACCCAGACCCACAGGAGGAGGTGAACCGACTGCGTGAGTTATGGGCCAAGGCAAAAATCGAATTGTTTCGTGAAAAAGGGCAGTCAAATTCGCAGGGTGCTAAAATCCAGGAATTAACCGATTTCATAAAACGCCAGGACGAAATGATCAATTTTCAGAAAACGTACATCGAAAAGAGGGATCAGCGTTCGCAGCAGCGGGACGCTGATAAAGCCAGTACAATTCAGAATAACGCTGAAATTGAAAAGGCACTCCAGGAATCATACCTGGAAAGGCAGA